TTCATGATTTATCTGCTGCATATCAGTTTCATTTTGACAGCTGATCTTGTAACTAATCGGAAATAGTAAACAAAGTATATTGTAAACAGGAGATGAGGGCTAAAATTTTAACGATTATTCATTACATAGATTTCTTTTCTAAGGTTATACAAATAGATGGTGGCACCAAACAACATAGAGCCGACCACGATTAAGTTATATCCAGCAATTATATCCTCCCTTCAAGGAATCAAAATATAATATTGTAATATTATACTTTCATTAATCATAATTTCCATTATTTTGGAGTTAAGAAATAAATATAAAGAATACGAAAAACTTAGTTTCAGTTTACCCCTAATTTTGATTTATTTTGACATTAAACTATTATATATCTATATATATTGAAATCAGCTTCATTATGATTCTTTTTCTGTCATTTACTTCCATTAATAGAAGAAATAACAGCGAAAATGGGTGGCTTTACATAGTTCTTACCATGCTGACAAGGGATCAACAGTCTTTTGGTCACTGGAGCATGTTTTACGCGCTGCGGCATTTCCTATAGATATTTGACGTCGCTAATATTAGTTAGCATATTGTTGGTATAATTTGTCACTAATAAAGATATACTGAGACAGGTACTCGTAATTATAGATTATGTACGAATTAAATCCGAAATTCTTATGAAACGAATTAATTAGTATTAAAATCAGAATATTATACGTAAATATTTCCTTAAAGTTCTGAGATATGTGAACAAGGCTATCAACAGGTAGTAAATAATAATTTATCTTTGATAGGGTCGGTGACTGAATGCACCATATTGTTTTTACCAAAGTTTTAATACTTTATCTAAGATTTACCTAAGAAAATTTAACTTTTAGTGGTAGGTATATTTACATGCACTTCGATTCATATTTAATCGTTATTATTAAAAACTATTATAACTTGCATCTGGTCTAAATTTTGACTCCTTTTAAAACGATTGTTTTAAAAAGTATTATATGCAAAAAAATATCTACTCAAACTTATTTTGACTAAAACTTTATACATAATACATAGATATTTTAACTTTTATTTTGGGTGGGTAAAAAACCTACACCTGTCGATAATATACATAATACGTATTAATAATACACGCCTTACCATGGTTGCGTCACGGATTTATAACCAAATGTCGGTGGAAAATCAAAGTTGTTAAGTGAACAGCTTTAAACATTACAGGTAAGTAAAACTTTAACAATTTATTTACGATTTTATTTATGTTTCACATAAAAATCAGACTTATTTACTATAAATACATTGAACGTAAGCAACTAAAAGTTAATAAACATACGAGACAAGCCTTTTTATTGTTATATTAATATCGAGTTCTAACAACTTGATTAATACTTACATATTTTAGTAAAGTACAAGATTTAAACTAGCTAACTATGTACGCTTGATTAAATCTATATCAGTACAGTAATACTTGTCAAGTTAAGAAGTATCTTGACAATTTTCTTAAAATTAGGTATAGGTATTTACATTCAAAAGTCCATCCGTTTTTCAATATAATAAAATAATAGTAACCAAATTAAAATCTTTCATACAATCGGCAGATATGACACAGACTTATAGACACAGATATTATTGTTTTCTTGGTAATTACATACTTATTTATCCGCTAAGAAAACATTAGAAAACAATCGTCAAATTTTGATGATATTGGATGTAATACGTAGTTTTAATATTAATTATCACATATTTTCTATATAAAACATCTTCCTCATAATTATTACCACAAATCGTCATCCCGATACGATCATAGAATTTAAATTAGCAATGACGCAAACAGAAATGAAAAAAATACATTATAATTATAACGAAATTTTAATAGATGTATCTTTAAAAAAATCGTATAGAATGATAATATTTATGACAGAATAAAATAATAACTCTAAAAACTCTTAGGAAAGAAGGCTATATTACTAAAAAGCTTAGTTTATTCCAGGTGGGCCTCTACAGTCACTTTCTCTTAGACGGAGCTTATTGGACCTAAAAAGTCATTTAAATTAAGGCCAAATATAACATATCTGTTCTCTGAGCTGGATATAACAGCTCTCAAAAAAATCTAAAATGGATTTCACGAATATAACGCTTGTTATTCATAGTAACCTTTTTTCTAATTAATCTTGAAAAATTAAAAAAATCTGTGTGAATTTTTTTAACGAATACTACGTTGGGAAGATAGCTCTATAAATCAAGAATTCCTTATCATCTACTAAGTCACAAATATGAAAAAAAATTGTACTTCTAAAAGTTCACAATTATAATTTTTTTGTAAATACCAATTATGTTATATAAATTCAATACAAATTTACAATCGAGACTGAACCCGAATAAGAAAAAACAACGAATAAGGGTCACTGAGGCTCCGAACATAGAAAAGATGGCAAGCAGCTATCTGCCCATTCTATCTCTATAGATACATACTAGCTTCCGCCCGGGGCTTCGCCCGCATGGATTTTTGATAAAAAGTAGCTTATGTTCTTTTTCAGATTTCAGACTATCCATATCAAATTTTGTAACAAACGGCTCAGCATATTAGCCGTGAAACAAACATTTACACAGTTATAGTAAATTTATTTGAATATTAAGGATTATAATGAAGGAACAGTGTAGATTTGGGTATAGCATTTGGTTAAAAGAGAGTAGATATGTTTAAAAAAAATAAAAATATCTGTTTACAGTAGGTAATAAGTACAAGGTATGTATTCCATTAAGTGGCAGAAAGTTACCTCTGTTAATAAATTAATCCACTGTTTACTAATAAACTAATTAAAACCTATTCACTTGTTTTTAGAAGTTAGAAAGACAAATGACAATATTTAATAATAATAAAATGGCGAAAAAAATATATGAACAATTTACCGACCAATCAGAGAGCCCCGTTTCATTAGTTAGTTGTCAAATCTAATGTCTAAAAAACGTTTATAAAAAAACAACTACTAATAAATTAAAAAATAATGAAAAATACATTGTCCAGCGGACAAAATTGTGAATCTTTTCCCAGATCAGCTTGAACACACACAAAAAATTTCATCAAAATCGATCCAATCGTTTGTGAGTGAGAGAAGTTCGGTGACATACACACTCACAGAAGAATTATATACATATATAAAGATATTGGTTGCTGAAAAGATGATCGTAAAATTCTTGCGTCTAGACAACATTCATAAATAAATTAGTAGCTGTTCCTTATCCCGTGTAGATAAGATTAATTGAAGATTTACTAATACATAGATGGCAAAGACTGGATTTGGAAGAAAAATATGGACAGAAGCGTCCTATTTAATTGTTATTTATTAAAGTTGAAACGTTGAGAATCTATAAACGTTAAAAAGTTATCTCTAGTTTATTGTACAAATAATGTGGGTTTTTCATTAAGTTTTTCTCGTTAGAAAAGAGAAATTTCTTGAAAACCTCAAAGACTAGCATTTGGGAACACATAGAATTGGACTATGGGATTTAGAGAACATCCGAATATAAAAAATCCCTCCACTAAGCCAAAAAAAATCGTTATTCTTAAATTTTCATCAGCAAATACAGTTGTACCAGTAGCATACCATCAAAATATACATATATTTTGTTATATAATTCGATATTTAGAGATGAAAGCAGACAAATAAATTCTGCTAGTGTATACAGCTAATAACCTAAAAAAATATCTTTAAACTCATTCAGAAACGGAAGAGAGAAGAAACCTTTAAAATGCGCATCAAGTACTATTTTTCAGTAAAAGTCAATCGAATATCATAGGTTAATATGATTATATAGTTTTTTTTTATAGCCAGACATGGTCCCGGGTAGACCATCAATAATAGGTACTTGCAGACAGTTCTTAAGAGGTGTTTTACAGCTTTGGAAAAGATTAATGCTAATGAGATTGGTTATATTGGATATGGATTAGGACTTCATAAGGTCAAAAATGGAGTAGGAAATAAAGAATACGAATTTGAAATTATTAAATATTAATAGAAATTTCAGAAACATTTCCAAATGCCGCATTGTCCTGGTGTCAAATATTTGACACATTGGGGCACAGTTCAGTTTTGATAAAAAAGAAGCCCTTATGATCAGCAAGTTGACACATAAAGACAAAAGATTATCGACATTAAATATATTGAGCTTTTTGGGGGGATCAAACGTTTCGGGAAGTCATTTAATGTATTATGAAAAACTATATAAACATTTATATATCAAATACCTTACTGTTGTTTCATATTATAATTGATCGAAACTTGTACTTGGGATTTTTTTTTCTAAAATACGTCTTTATAATTTTTACATAACTGTTTTTGTAGACTAAACATATTTTAATAGACAGTACCACATTTAGTTTTCTTTAAATCTATTCTCTTCAGTATTTTTTTTATGTAAAGATCTTAATTTTTCAATAAAATCAAATTCTATATTAACTGTGGTCGCTGAGTTTGCAGGGTATACAGACTATTAATATGTTTTAAATCAAACGTCATCCAACTTGTTGTCTACGTGTAATTGAAGAATGTGTTCTTTGAATGCGATACTTCGTTCTTTACTCTCATTGGCTCGCCGTGGACATATATACCTAGTTTAATTCTATAAATTAAAGTTTGAAAAACGGACAGGAGCAACTTTGTTAGTATAAAACTTTTAAGAATATTTCGTATATCCTATTTAAACACATGGCTTCTATGCTTCCATGTCATGTTTTAAAATTCGAAATTTTTAGCGGCATCTTAAAAATAGTATTTTTACAAATTCCTAACCTAAATAATTTTGAGTATTAGGTTATCAGAGAAAGGTTTTTTTACTTCTTAATTCATCACGAAATATATTTTTATGAGCCAACAATACCATTGTATAATATTTGAAATTTCTTTATCAAAAGTGTTGTGATTGAAAAAGTTTTATTTAATTTACATTTACAACTCTTGAAACTCACGAACAAACCAAATAAATGATTTAACCGAAATTTTCTTTCTCAGATAAAAATGTCTGCCTTAATACACGAAAAAGTTTGGCTCGATAAAACCGCCTATAGTGATGCCGAAAAAAACTTCTACGAATCACTATCAAAAGTAAGTAATGTACTATTTAGTTGCATGTCCAAAGAAGGTTGGTAAATTAAAATTTCTGTACTATTCATTTCTTTTAATTAGGGAAAAATTCCCTCCATTGGTGTTGGGGCTACATCATCTTTGGCCAGTGAGGTAGCTAAAGCTAGACAGCATATCAAAAACTCACTGGAATGTGTAAGTTTTCTCTTTCTTGAATATTATGAATCAAAAACTCAGTATATACTTTGCACATTCATTTTGTATTTACTTTTGTTATACCTGTTGATACTAACACTAGTGAATACACAGCCTTATTTTGTGCTTACTTATGTTTCAGATGGACAATGTTGCTTCATTAACTGGAGTATCAAATAATGAAATAAACAACAAACTTAACTCTTTGGAGAAAGAGAACTCAGACCTTAAAAAAGCAATTGATGATCTCCGCAAGTTGGTTATTAGTCTACAAGCACGAGTTGAATCATTGGAAGCATTTGAACCCAGTGTATCTAAACCTGCAGCTCCTAAGGTTTGTTTTATTCATAACATAAAAATTATTTAATCATAATACACATATGAGTAAAAGAAATTAGTTATAATAATGAATATGGAGAATCTGTGTTACCTATCCCTGAGATCTTCAATATTTATTAAACACGAGTAAAAAAATGGAGAAATTTCATAAATTATTAATTTCTGACCCATAAATTAGTTTACTTTCGATGTGATTCTTAAGAACATCATCATTATGCGTATGTCTATTAAATATTAATCATATAAATAATTTTTCACAGCTCGATTGTTTATTGCAACTAAAGATTACTATTAAATCTTCTATATTCTAATAGGCAGCAGCACCTGCCCCAGCCCCCGCTGAGGATTCCGATGATGGAGTAGATTTGTTTGGATCTGATGATGAGGAGGAAAGTGCTGAAGCTGCGAAACTAAGAGAGGAACGGCTAGCAGCATATAATGCAAAGAAATCCAAAAGTATGTTCATACACCTTTTATCACTACAAATCACTGAAATCTATACAGAATATCGACTCATTTGAATAATAAAATTCTTTAGATTTCCCATTTCCCAAATACAAATTAACATCTGATTTACACAATCTCCATTGAAATGGTAATATCATAAATATTATTTCAATGAATTTTATGAATCTGAGATGTTTCTTCACTTAACTGACTGGACTAAAATTTAATAACGTAGTTGAAATTAATATTTTCGCATTTTACTTCGCGTTTTTATTTTTGATTACATTAAGCGAGACACTCACATCTCGTCTGTCATGAGTACTCGCTAAAAGCTTAGATGTCATTAATAATGTTATATCTACTATAATAATGTAGTTAATAACTACTTAAAAAAGATACAAAAATATTTGTTTTTAATAAAACAACTCTCATTTAACTAACTTTAAAGTCAATTACTACTGCTGTATAATTCAAAGATATGTTATAATTATCATATCTTTGACTAGACATTACCATTTACTAGCCAGTAATTAAATTTATTACTAATTGTTTTACTTGTAACTTTTTAGAACCAGTCCTGATTGCAAAGTCTAACATTATATTGGATGTAAAGCCTTGGGATGATGAAACCGACATGAAAGCTATGGAAGATGCCGTCAGAACAATCAGCATTGATGGCCTACTGTGGGGTGCTGCTAAACTGGTACCATTAGCTTTTGGTATTCACAAGTTGCAAATATCCTGTGTCGTTGAAGATGACAAGGTTTCAATCGATTGGCTTACTGAAGAAATTGAGAAATTGGAGGACTTTGTAAGTATAAATACAATATAATGAATTTATTTTTATTTATTTATTTATTAATTTTTATCTAGTACATATATATTTTGTCAGCAGTTTTTACTTGATATCTATGTGTTAATATTATAATTTTTTTTATACAGGTTCAAAGTGTTGATATTGCTGCCTTCAACAAAGTTTAAACAAGCAAGGCTGCATAAATAAAGACTCATTTTCAATACAGGTTTTTTGTCATTAATTAAATATATAACTTTTAAATGTTGTCTTTTATTAAAAACCAAAGTAGAAATTAAATTTAAAAAAACCATTATTATCAGAATACTTATATCACTTGTAAACCATCACCAGTGGTAATAATTTATCTATTAAAGTGATTGTAAAAATGATGCAAACAGTTTCAAAAATGTATCAGAGGAGTTATAAAATATTAAAGATGAATACTACAATGAAATTCTTTAAATTATCCAATTACTGGGAAAATTGAAACACTTGTGTTAGTTTGAACCAAAATAATTTATGTAAGATTTATATAAACAAAATATGCAAAAATATACTCCTGTCTAGTTATAATGAAACATTATGTTCATTCAATATCCAAAACTTAGTTTAGTATGTGGTTAACAAGTGTTGCTGGTGAAGAAGGTGCTTTAATTTAATTATTACACTATGGTAAGCAAACTATGACATGGGTAATTTGACAAATTTTTGTTCTAGTATTAACATTCAACAACCTATACTTTTAAAATTTCATCTAAGCTAAATAAATAGTAATAGGTCAAATTAAATCATTATCTGGCATCCTTAAATACTGACATGTGAATTGTTATTACTAATTTCATTAAGGTAAAAAAATATTAAAAATTCTATTTAACAGAAATTTAAAGAATATTAAATTATACATTATCAAAATAAAATTATTAGCCATGTTTTTAGCTAGATGTGCTCCTGGTTACAAAATTCTATTAGGACTATTATTTTTATTGTTAATATTAGTTATGAAATTGGTAAATTTTACTTGGAATACTTTGTCAATGACAAAGTTCTAAAACTTTACAAGAAAAAGATTGGTATTGAATAATTGTTTTGATGCGAATCAAATTTAGAAATTATAGAAAGAACTATATGAAGCCTCGTAAAAGCTTTATTAACATGAAACTTTTTTTTAATTATATAGTAACACTGAAAACACGTAAAAAATGAATATTGAAATAATGTTATAACTGTCTGTCAAAATGTCATTCAAATTCTTAAACTTTTTATTTTACTAATAATTTAAATTCCCAAATATAATTTTACATTTTTGAGGTTAAGTCGCAAATGGGACTTACGTGAAACAATAAATAAAAATTAAAAATACATATACATACACGTTACAACTTAACCTGTTGGCAAAAACTGCCTTAACATACCAATAAAAATGAAAGACAAAGTCTGTAGAAAATGTAATGGTCCTGGTACTGTAGTCGTAAGAAAAGAATATTGTTACTGTAATGATTGTTTTATAATTAACACTAATCACAAATTCCGAGCTTGCATTGGTAAAAATAGAAAACTAACCTCAAACGAAAAGGTCCTCGTTTGTTTATCTGGAGGAAAAAACTCAACAGTTTTATTGGATTTGATTTACAATGGAATTAACCTAGATAGCCATAAAAAACTTAGGATAGTCCCATTTTTCGTTCACATAACAGGCAAGTATTTTAGTAGTGAATGTATGACACATATACTCAAAAAATAATTATTATACATTAACACTTCTATAATATGAATTAATTTTTTTTTTTATTGTGCTTTGCAGGAATAAAAACAGAGTGTGAATCAAGAAAAACCATTGACATGATTGTTGATCAATGCCGTAAATACAATTTTGATCTATATGTTGTTAATATTGAGGAATATAAAACTAATGAAGACATTCGTTACTGTATGAACTCATACTCCCCAACAACTTTGGAATCGAAAAATTTAAACTTCACAACCACAACTGGTCAAGATGTACTGACTAAAATTAAACACAATCTTTTTATAAGAATGTCTAAACAATTAGGTTGCCGATTTGTATTGACCGCTGAAACCACTACACTATTGGCAATGAAATTATTATCTAATATTGTTATTGGAAGAGGATCACAAGTTGAAAATGATATTGTAATTATTGAATGCACTAAATGACAATAATTTGCACAAAAAATTGTATCATCTTAATATGTTTTTTTCTTTCTAGGGTTTTGCTGATAATCGAGATTGTAGTGTTGAGATTTTAAGGTCTATGAGAGACATAACAAATGAGGAAATAGACATTTATCTTAACATAAAGCAAATGTTGGTTGATCCTAAGGATAATGATCAGGAAATTAGTTTGCAGTCAGCTATTAGAGATTTTGTTTTGGATCTGCAAGAAAATTATCCATCTACAATTTCAACAGTATGTAAAACTGCTGATAAGCTTGGCTCTGTAAATGGAAATAATAATATAAAAAAATGTCAGGTGTGCCAAGTAAGTTAGTCTTGTATACTTTATAAATTAAAAAATAAAAGAATTGGATAGTCCTATATTTTTTTTATGAATTATATTGGTTTTCATAGGTAACTTTTTGTTTCAGAGTACAATTAACTCTAAAGATTCCAAGTTGACAGCTGTTGAAGCCACTATATTTTCAAGAGTAGTATCAAGTGAAAAGAGTTCTGAAAGTGCATTAGAAATTCCATTCAATACTAAAGACAACACAATGTTTCCTTACATTTTTGATAGATTTTGTTATTGCTGTAGTAGAAACTATTTAGAAACAAAAGGGACTGATCTTAATGATTTTATGTCACAGAAAATTGAAAATGAATCATAAGTACATCTTTTTCTATTATATAGAGTTCAACTTACACCTGAATTACATTTATAAACTAATCATTATGGATGCTTAAAGAATACTGTGATAGATTAAGATTTAAATGTAAGTTATAAGCAAACAGACTGTAAATGCATTTTTAAACATTGTAATGTCTAAATTTTACATATGCTATCTATCAATCATCACATAAATAAAACTTATACATATGTTCGGATTACTACGCTTATTTTATTATTGTAAAAACTACATAATACATCCATGTCAATGTCTCCACATTCACATCTCATCTGCCGGTGATCACGGTTGCTGAAAAGTAACCGAAATGTCGGGAGTATGTAGTTTTAAAATAATAAAATACGCGTAGTAATTGGAATAATATTTGTTTCATTTAAATGAATACTCACGAAAGTAACCATCACATATATTGCTTAAATACCTATGTGATGATTGATATATAATGTTTTGAATAAAGTCAAATCAATGAGGTCAAATCTTGTTTATTTCATTTTTTCAAGAAATGTGACAGTTATTTGTTCATATCACTTGATCCTTTGTCCTAACGAATAAAACAAAATTATTAATTTAATAATATAGTGCTTCTAAATTGTCGTAGGAACTCAGGTTGCTTCTCATTGCACAAAAATTTGTAAAATAAAGTAATTTGTGTCATTAAATTACTTGTTCAAGTGAAACGTTTTTCACAACCTATTAAAAATATAAATTTACCAGTAAAATTTTGATTTATCTTGCATAATTAAATTCAGATAATAACACTGGTTTTGCCACATGAACTTTGATACCAAATTTTGTTTTATCAATCTATCCTCATTCTTAAATCATAGTTTTCATAAGTCAATTAGCCTTATATTTGTTGTGATACGGTAATTCTCATAACTAGTACTGCGGCTGTTAATTAACAGATGCGCTTACAAGTAAATCGTTATCAAAATATTTGTCGTTAAATTTATTTATGAATCATTAACCCTGTGAACATGTCGAGGAAGCGTAATAATGATTATAACTCTTTTTGTTACGTCTGCGGGGAATTAACATTAAAAACACAATGACGAATTTTGACGAATCTTGTGTTGGAGTGTTATCTACAATATTTTGGTTTTTCCGTCGCCCATCAAGACAAATCCTGGGCCCTTCATGTCTGCTGCATAACGTGTGTGAAAAATTTTACTGACTGAAAAAGAGGTGTACGCCCTATGCCATTTGCTGTACCTATGATATGGATTGAACGGCGAGATCATGTTTCAGATTTGTTCTTTTTGTCTCACTGATATAAAAGGTATAAATTACAAAAAGAAAAACAGTTATTTATCCCAACCTATCTTCGTCTATAAGACCAGTCTCTTATTGTAAAATATGATAAAACAAATAGCAGTTATAAATTCATCTGTTGAGAGCGACCATTCACAACCGTCAACTTCAGGCCAATGTGTTGCAGAGGATGATGACTTTGAGTTTGTAGAAATTGTAAGCAAGCCACATAAGATAACTCAAAGAGACCTAAACGATTTGGTTCCGGATTTAAATTTATAGAAAAGTAGTCAGAATAACTAGGATCCCGTCTAAAAAAATGGAATTTGCTACATCACAATACGAGAGTGTTGGTTAAGTAGTGAGAGTTGGGTAACGAGCTACTATTGTCATATCAAGGATTGGGTCGCAACATTTCTCTTAAATTACATTTTTTAGACTCTCACTTGGATGTTTTCCAGACAATTCAGGGGCTGTCAGTGACGAGCACTGTGAGAGACTTCATCAGGAAATTTCTAATATAGAAAAGCTGTCCCAAGGCAAATGGGGCCCGTTTGGGCCCATTCTATATTAGAAATGCTAGCAGCTTATTGATGGACAATTAAAAGGAACCAACCAGAAGCTAAATAATCGAGAAAATCTTAGATTACATTCAGTCGTTTAGAAAAAAAGAAATTTTTATTTACTAGATCGTTGTTTTTTCTTAATTTTTTAATTACTCAATGAAACAAAATTCTTGGCCAGCAACTCTTTATTAACTGTTTATTTGGTCTTATAATTACCAATTAAAGTAAAAAATAATATAAAAGTCTGTGTGGCATTAAAAAGTCAAAATTATGTTACTAGTAGACTAGTGTAATTTATTTGGGGGGAACCTTGATATATTTTTAAATTACTATGTATGTACTGAATTTTAAATATAAACAAAGACTTCTCTATACTTTTTCGTACAAAATACCGTTTTGGCGCATGATCACCTTTCAGATCTTATATTTTCTGTTTCTTTTATGGGAATTGGAATTCTTCACTTCTTCGTTTTGCATGTGCCTAAACTATAGAATTTGATTACCAAGAACCTTTAAATTCTGAATTTCAAGGGTGGGTCCCAATGGAACCAGTCATTCTCCCGGGTGAAGCTATCAAACCCAACAAATCTAACTGCAGTGGACAAGACGAAAAAAAATAGGACATTAAATTTTGTACACAGGTCGTCTTAGAACAAGGGCAACGATAGTCAATAGCTTTCTATCTTTACCCTTTTTCAATAATAAGAAGTGCCATAAAGCTAAGTTTACATATTATTTTCTTATTAATTTATCTACAAAAATTATTCCCACATAAAAAGGTATCATCAAGGTATCGTTTTTGGTGTACAAATAGCTCGATATGAAATTTGTTTCCATTGTGGTTGTTCAGGGTTCTATGTTACGACACAAGTAAGTAAATATTTGCCATTATCAATTTTAATATAGATATTCTATAATTATAGAAAACCTATATATTCTACTAGCTTTTGCCGCGACTTCGTCCGCCTGGAATAGTGACTTCCGGCAGATTTTTGGTTCTTCCCACATAGTTCCCGTTCTTGCGGGGTTTCGGAATGGTCGAGTTCCCGTAGAATTTTCAGGATAAAACCTATGTTTTTTTTATTCACAATGAAGTACTCTTAACCAACAACATATTTATTTGTTTATTTGAATAAAGATTAATATTATTATGTTGATACAACTTAAACAAATTATTTCGCCCAAATTAGGTACCATAAAAACGGTTTTTGTGAGTTAATCTTAAAAGATAGACATATACTGTCGCGGACTGTTTTTTAGATCATTAAAAGAGCTATTATTCTTTCATACATATTTTTTGTGTATCTTGAACCCTTTTCACGGCGCACGCAACGGAAGGCTTCAAGGATGAAATAATTTCTCCCGTTTTTTACACATTTACCACTATATCTTTGCTCCTATTGGTTGTAGCGTGATGTTATATAGCCCACGGCCTTCCTCGATAACTGGACTATCCAACACAAAAACAATTATTCAATTCGAACCAGTAGTTTCCGAGATTAGCGCTTTCAAACAAACAAACTCTTCAGCTTTATAATATTAGTATAGATAATTATAGAAAACCTATAAGTAATTTGATGTATTATTCGTCAATAAAAATATTAATAGCGTAGAAAAAAGTTTTAGTTTTTTTAATTGTAGGCCTACTAAAACCTTTAGCTTCTAAAGGGTCTACCTACAAATTGATATCTTTTTGAACTCTTTAGTTTGTGAAGAATATTTGCTATACCTAGTTTAACGTCCATGATGGTATTCAAATATAAGGGCTTTGGCACTTCCTGGGTATTCGACAACTCCTCTTGCAGATTCTTTGCAGGTTCCTGCTGGAGTAGCTGTTACTCTACATACTATGGGATACATCAAATATACATAATTAAGCGATGCAGATAATAATCATATTGAATAATTTTAAACGAAATACAAATATCTTAAATAGAAAGTCGCTTAAGACTCTCTTTGTGTATTCATTTACATGAACAATTTCCTTTTTTCGTGCTAAGAAAATGTATCATGTTATCATCCTTGTTTCTAATGATATCTTGTTAATATTGTGTTATATACAAAATATGTTATTTAGTTTTTTTTATTTTTCTTTTTTTACGCATGACTATAATACCAGAAAGTGATTTATATTCTTGATTTGTAATGTTAAATAAAAACTTCTTTACATTTGTCATCTTTAATTTTCTTAGTCAGATCTTCCACGTCTAACTTTGGAAAATATTTAGATAGGTATATTAATTATACAAATGTCCACAAAAAATATAAATTTTAAACACTAATAAATTTCTTACTCCAAAGGGGACAAAATATTTTGATCGAATTCCAAAATCCATAAATTCAGTTCAAGCAGTTTTCCTTGCTATCCAAAAACGAAATTCAAAATGGAGGTAGTTTTGATGCTACGCATACGTAAGGAAGGACAAATGCAAAAAATATATAATGGTCTTTACAGCCAATTAAGTAAATTAATAAGTTTTCGATACTGATTTCAGGAGATAGCTATAATTTTTATATATTTTATAGTAAACATTAACAATGGCTAGCTCAAGAAATGATAAAAATTGTATATGATATGCATAAAGACGTTTTTTTTAAATAATTATTGCTAACAGTAGGTACATATCAATTTTTCGTTTTGCTTAAGTTGAGACTGAGACAATATTAAGGCGTTATTGGAAATTCTACTCATCATTATTTAATATGTAGTTACATTGCCCCAAGTGATTTCAAACCTAGTCAATTTCGTTTATTCCAAAAATTATTTGTATTTTTATTTTATTTCTTTTAATGCTGCTTAGTCTTCTCTTTATCATATTTATGAATCTAACATTTCAGAGACCCTTTGATATTTGTATCTGTAGCTATATTGTTCTTTACTTTTAACGGAAACTTTGTGTTTACACTATACTAAATTATATATTTATTTTCATAATTGAGCAAACTATTTCCTTTATATATGACAAAGAGCTTTTGACTTAACTAATTTTTTTCGTCACCTTGACATCGTCAGTTCAGTTATCAAAACGATTATAACCACATCTCATTATATATTTGAGAATAATGTATTGCTTAACGTCGAAGTTTTCATGTTTGACCTTGTAAAAAGGAAGGCATTTGGATTCCCTTTTGCCACTGAGAGGTTTCACTTTGTTAATGAGCACTCACCGCTTATTGTGGGTGCTTTCTGTAAAAAGTCAGACTACTTTTGCGTTCATTAAATTTAAATTATACTGGTTTTTATTCAGATGAGTTTAAACCCTGATTAGACATCATTTAAGTTGTAATAAATATCGAAAATTCTTTTACAATTTAAAAGAGGATGTTCAATAAAAACCCTTTGAACCAAGGAACTGATTATAAATTAATTTTAATCCTTAATAGAAGAGATTAATATATTGCGCACTCTCTTAAAAAATAAGACGAAATTATAACCAAAAATAGATTGCTGCATCATAACTTATATATAGCCAGACTTCTTTTACATTGTTTGTTTACATAAACAATTAAGTGTCAATTATCAATCGATATATAATTCCTAATTTCTTTCACCCTTGTCAATTTAAAATAAATATGAAACTTAGTTCACCTCAAAGTGTTAGTTCAAATTTAATCTTAAGTACTTATTTTAATATAGACCACGTAGAAATTTCATTCTAAATAAGTTTTTATGGTATTGTAATGGCGACCAAAATCCAACATCTAGTGGTGACAAATAGTTTAAGATCTTTACTCGGAATGACAAAGCATTTTTGTGTCTGGCTTATTACATATTAATTTAACTAGTGTTATTATCATTTGAAGATAATAGATATTAGAGTCGTTATCTGGGAACTTTTCATTTAAGAAAATATATTTTGAATGATACTTTCAAATCACCTTGCTTTTGGGATAGCTAGAGAAAGACTAAGTATGGAAAATTATTCTATAATTATAGATAAACTTTCATGAAAACATTTATTAACACAAAATAATGTGTCCTAATCCCTAAATGATTTTCAATCCTAGCAAATAATCATAAGGAAATAGCAAAGTAAATAACAAATAAGTCCAAACCATTTCCAGGCAAAGTTAGTTTGTTTATTAAGAAAATTTTGATGCAACAACTTGAAGTTATCACACTAAAAATAAATTATAATCCATGAGGCCCATTTCAATGTTGAAGATTGAATCAAATTTTTATATGGGACACTAACATAACTTACTAAAAATATACTAATAGAAGCAATATTTTATTTCACATATCTAATAATTAAAATTTACTGGTATTCCTTAAAATCATTCAATGAAAGAGGCGGTGTTACATCGTAAAATTTTGTATTTATCACACATATCTACACATTATCATATTACATAAATACAAAATTTTATATGAAGTACCAACAAAAGTTCTAACCAGTATTTGCAAATGGTATGCAGTGTTATCAATATATTATACAAGTAATTACAATATCATACCATAGGTTAATAAATGCAAAAGATCAAGTGCAATAAAAACTCCAGGGGTTGTTATTTCGAAAATTCATACGGAATTTGAAAACAAAAAAAAAGATCTTGGTTCTTTCTTATACCCATCATATTAAGATACTTTAAAGTAACAGTTAAGATCATTTCATTAACTTGTGGTTTGTAGTTTGTACCAGAGATAAGACACTTCAAAACAATGAATTAACCAGATTTTACTATAATTAAACACTAAATTATATTGTCTTTCCAAATTATACTTCTATTTAGTAGAACATTGGAATTACAAAGTTTTTAACTGAACAGAAATGGCGCTCAACACTGTCCCATATGTATGTTATTCATTTAATGGACTATTTGGTGTTTTCAACTCCTCCTTCATTAGGAATCTTGTACAGGTAAATATTTCATTATATAATGTTATAAAGAATGTTATGGAATTTTATAACAATTATTCTGCTGCATTTATTGGTCCTTGCAATGCATTGGGACTAGGAGAATTAGAAGACACCATCAGGCCTTGCACTTTCACAATTGGATCTGAAAACATATAAAATATTATTTATTTGACATTCAGACCGAGGTTTACACAGAACAATAACCTTAATAATCAGATGATTGGTATGTAAAGAATGAGTGATATTAAATAGGTCATTGAATTATGTGTATGTATATAAAATAAATATTTTATCTTACAAAAGTAGGGATGATCCATTGCTTCACGGGCTGTATGACGTTCATAGTGATCATAGCGTAACAGACGATCCAGAAAATCTAGAGCTTCAGGGGACACCAAATGCTGATTCTCCGAGTGTACAAACCTTTCCCACCGTTTACGAGAATGTCTGAGACAGAAGAATATGAATAAAATATACATGAAAAAAAAATATATACATAATAACTGTCAATGAATGTATTAGTAGCAATATATATTACGAAAAATATTACCTTCCAAGAATATCATGAAACCGTGGATCCAATTCTATATGATATTTGTCCAAGTATTCAAAAAGCTCTTCAGTGCCCAGCACTTTGGCAATGCGTACAAGCTGGTCGTAATTATCATGACCATGGAAGAATGGTTCTTTACGAAAGATCATAGATGCCAACATACAACCTAGTGACCACATATCCAAGGAGTAGTCATACATTTGATAATCCACCAAGAGCTCTGGACCCTGGAAACATGATTTGTTTTAATAATCATAAGAAGAATAATATGAATATTGTTTGTAAAGTAAACTAACCTTAAAGTATCTAGATGCCACACGAACATTATACTCTTGACCCGGGTGGTAGAACTCGGCTAACCCCCAGTCTATGAGACGCAGCTTTCTATTATCATGATCAATCATAACATTATGGGGCTTCACATCTCTATGCATAATACCCATACTGTGGCAATAATCTAAAGCCTTCAAAAGTTCATACAAATAATACCTGGAATATATAAATAGATTTTGATATTGAAACATATGAATTACATATTGTATAATAAATAAACATAATTCTAAATACTACAATGCGTTACCTTATATCATAATCTGACAATGTTTGATACAGCTGTTTAAAATCAGTATTGTTCACATGTTCAAATATTAGGGCTGGAGTACGAGATACAGGATCTTTAACAACAGCCTCTAATGTTATTAAGTTTGTGCCCCCTCTTAAGTTCTCTAATATTTTTATTTCTCTTTTAATCTTCTTCTTTTTGACAGGCTACAAAAAACAATCAATTATATACACATATGAAATAAAAAACAAAATTTTTGTCCCTGTTATTACAATATGAAATTTTTGTCAATAAATACCTTCAATATTTTAACTACGCATTTCTCGTTATTTGTGACATTTATTGCCTCAAATACTTCACTGTATTTTCCGCGCCCAAGCTTTCGTACTAACTGATAATCTTCCTGGTTACCCCAATTCACCACATAGCTCTCATAGTCCCAGTATTCACTTGGTTTTTGTGAGTTTACATCGGCATATACCCGAGCTCTACTAGGTACTGCCATCGTATTATATCTTTGCCAACCTAAGGTCTTTTCGACGACACTCTTACCGGAAATCGCATATGTCTTGAGTAATGATACTGTGAATAAAAATATTTTCGACGTCACTTTCAGATATTCACTAGCACACTTGACTATGTAATTTTAATTGTTCAATTTGTCACTGGGAATCATTACTAAAGATTATGAACGATTACGAGTCACTTGTATTGATGTATAACCTAAAAAGACATCCAACTCAATTATTAAAAATCAAACCAAACGTCGTTCAAAAAACAGAAACTAATTATTCTTGATGTGTATTTTAACGAACAATTGAAATTTCTTAAAATGAAGCTACTTTTGAAACGATTACATGAATTAAAATTTGAAAGTCTTCAGATAGAAAAACGCACGCCATTACTCGTCAAATGATTAAATGAATCAGGCACATTCCCATACCTAGCACATTCCTGTATGTAATCCTATTTTATAAAATAAATAGTTTAAGCATACATAAACGATTTGAAAATTAACAATTAACTCGAAGTCTGTTATACAAATTACACTTTTATCACATAACCGGCACAAATTCAGCAAAATTCAAGATGGACGCCCATCTATCTACTATTGCCACTCTAGTCTTGGTGTACTCTCTCCCTCCCGCCCCTGCTATACACCATTTTGTCGACTTGTTGTTTGTTTGACATTGGCATTTTGGCTACGGAACTAATTTTACAGACTAAAATAAATAAATAAAATAATAAAATCGTACAGTTTTGCAAAATATTTCCTTTTCAAATTGTTTATAAATATATCTTTTTCATCTGCCTACGTGTAATCAATACAAACATACATTTGCTCAAATATCTAGCACGCTGTATTGCAATAACAACTTGATTCACTTGGTATTTTATAAGGGTACTTATAAAATAATGTATTAATTATTTTCAAATTAAGACTGGCATTTTGTTAATTTTATATGTATTTCAGATTACATGAATTAAGAGTAATTAAATTCTAGTTTTCTGTTTTTATTATGTATTTTTTACTATTTCTCTCCCATTAAATATATGTTCTTTTTTAATATTGTGCTAAAGTTAATTTTCGTTATTAAGTCCAGTTTTCGTTTCGTTTTGGTTTCCAGTCCAAAAATAATTTTAACCAAGGAATATTTTTATTTCTATTCAAAGTCATTATTGAAATTCGTTGAAATAAAACCACTTAATTTATTTTTGTCAATGGAAAAGATTAAATATTAGTGCAAAATGTTCTGTATTATACCATTATGTGGTGTATTACACCCGATAACCCCCTTTTATTTTATAAGGTAGTCAATGTGATGATCAATGGTTAACTTTGATAGTTTTAAAAGATTTTGCAGCATCAGATCAAGAACTCTTTAGTTTGTATGTTTTAGAAAAAATAAAAGTGAAAATCGCCAACCAACAGTCTGCGTCCCCAGATATCTTATGCTATGCTATACTTTGCATTGTAAAGGGTAAATTCTTAAATTCTCTTTGACACTGCAAAATTACAGTCGTCGACGGAGTTGCAGGTGTGAGAAAAATGTAACGTTTTAGTGTTACTTGGCATTCATTTAACTTTCTTTTATTATTAAAAAAAGAAGGAAAATCTTTCTATAGTGATTTATCTGTTCTTTAATGCTTTATCGAACACTATATATAATTGTTTGCTGTAAGAACTTATTCATGACCTAACTTAAAAAGGAATTTATAATCTCCGAGGAACTATGAGAAGACGATGGAATTGTTTTTCTGTGATTTTAATATAACCGTGTAAAGTAATAAATCAGATGTTATTCTTTTTATTTATTTTTGTCTATCTAACGGTTCTTTTAAATTAATTTTAATAGAACCTTCATGATGTGATAGAATAGTTTATATGGAATCACAAAAGTGTTTATGTTTTAATAGTTTATTATTATTGACGACAAACCAATATATTTAATGCGGAGTTGATATAATAATTCGATAAACGATCAAGTGAATAAATAGTATTAATTTTTCAATAATATATCACATAGACACCGATTACCAAATAGACAGTAAGAAACAAATAGTTTAATTCTTTTAAATGAGATTTCAGTATCTAAACAACTTGTACGTCCATTTTAACACAGCTCCTTTAGAAACATTTTCTTTGTTTAAAAATCCGTCAGTGATTTTTGCAAGAAAATGTTACACAAAAAATCGCATATATATATTATTTAACAGATATAACTCTCACCTGCAATTAATGAAATTATAGTTGCAAGAAAACTCATATTTTCTTTGATGTATCTTTCCTTATTTTAAAATATAACACGCTATGAACAATGAACAAATCATTGCGAACATTGTCGTAAAATTCGATCGTAACCATTTTGAACATTTCAGATTATATGCAGTAATGCGAAATGAGATTGAGGCAGAAATGGGTTTGTTTGAATTTATCATAAAAATTTAAAAGTAAATTGTTATCTGAGAATTATGTAACAAAAAATAAAGAAACGTTATTGGATATAAAATACTGGCATTATGAATTAAATGTGTTTATTTAAAAAAGCTTAAATATTTATTCGTTGATTTTAAAATAAAATTCCGATATAATTAAGAAATATTTTATTTAATAAAGAATAAATTGCACTATACAGATTAAATTGCGGCTAATCTTTCAGAACATTCGCTGTTATAAGGCATTAGGCAAGAGGTATACTGGTCTTTTCAAGTTTTATAGTACTAGATCCCTACCACATATCTAATCAATCAGAAATAATAGACTACTCTGTACGAGGATAAACTAACATATTTCGAATTATATTAAATATAAACTGGATAGGTTTCTATTACAACAAAGTAAGACCCCAGTGTGTCTCTGCCGTTACATCTGTTTGACGACCAAAAGTGAAGTTGTGTTAGGGAAGTACGAGTTGAGGATTTGGTCCTGTTTGGTAGTGACGTGGAATGCACCGCCCACCAGATATGTTCCTGGAGCGGCGCACAACGCTCGGACCTGGGAATAAATAATTAATATTGCGTATATAATAAAAACAAAACATCATTAAACAGTTCTGATTGCAAAAATGGTGTGATAATGTATTTTTAGTAGTAAGAGTATAAAGATTAATATCAAGAATGACACATTTAAAATAATTGCATACTCTGAATATTACATTTAAGGACTATCTATGTTAAATACATTTTAATGAGTTAATTTTTTTAATGAATCATGTTCTCCCTGTTATATTACTGTATAAGTACCTCAAATTAATATTATCATTTACATCTATGTAAGAAAAGTTTTTATATACAAAAATATGTTTTAATACCTGAACTCTTCTCGACTCGAACTTATCCAATGTCACATTCACACCTAATTCCTTGGAATCCGCATCTAAGCCGTTATTAAGAGCACCGGCCCATCCAATTTCTCCCGAAGAATCCCTAGAATTATTATTAGATAGAACATTATAATAACATTAAGATATAATGTTCATGAAAATTGTTAAATATAAAATAAATACATACCTGTTCTGTTGTTTATGCATATCAATAAAAACTGTTACCGGTGATCCTTGACAGTTGACTATGTTCAATACTACGGGTATCATGCATAGCTTATTTGCTTTAAAATTATGATTAATATAATTGGAATGTTCAACTTTAATGATGACGAGATCGTTATTATCATTTTTGCTTTTCGTATCTGTTATATCGGTGGCGCTGTCTAATTCGTCGAGTTGTACTCCGCTTGTCACTTCAACGGGTAATTTTTCTCTTTCCCTCGATAATGTTTTAGTAAAGCAATCCATCCAGAGGCAGTGTTGGCCGACGACTCTGCGATTAGTCTTTCTATTGTTCGCTTTCCATCTCAACACCAACATGGATTGAATCAAGCCAGAAGTATTCGTTGGACTTTGAATAGATTCCAAATTTTCTAGTAATGGAGACATGTAGTCAGTTACAAATTTAGAATAGGGTGGCTTATTTATATCATCTTTGGTTTCTGGATGATGTTCAGCGAATTTAAGACAGGAATACTCGACGCGACCATCTGGTAATTCTTCAAATATTCGCGTACTCTTCAAAATGAAATGAATTCTTTCACGTGATATCAAACAGTTGTCTGTTTCGGACGAGTGTCTGCTGTCCGCCAACCTCCACTGTCTGCTCAATAGAGAAGCTTCTAGAACTTCCAGCGTTATGTCATCTTCCTTCTCGTTACAAACATTTTTCAGTTCGATGGAAAGGTGCATACTTTCTATAACTTTATTGTCAACTGTACTCAAACCTCTGCGAGGAGTCACCGAAATCTCGACTGTTTCCTAAGAGAAGATGCAAATGGTATAAAGCTACATCATTACTTTATCATGGTAACTCAAAAAACTGAATCTTATAGGACTATGAAAGAAGATAATCGCAAAAAAACATAAACATGCAAATGAAATCATTAAAAAAAGGTACCGACAATGGGTTTAAAACGGAAGACATGTCTAAGGAGGCGGTGCGGGCGAGCTCGTTGGCCGGTCTCGTAGTAGGCGAGTAAGTATAAGTCAGAGGCGCGAGCGTGTGGCCGCAGCAGCAGCGTGGTCCGCACGTGCGCTCCCGCCGAGCACTGCGGCGCTACTGACGTCACACGACGAGCAGCCGACATGGCACGAGCTGCCGCGCGAGCTGCTCTCTCGTCTGGAAATATAAATGATTCTAGATAATCTGACGTATCCTTTGAAGTAGCCTTTGGCCGAAGTACAGATAAAGTTGTGATTATCAAACACATATTAAATAAAACATAATTATTGCCAGCTTCAACAGATCAACAACAATTAAGCAAACAATTAAATTTATTGTGATGTTGAAATAATATATATAAAATAATGCTCCAATACTTATATAATACAAAATATAGTTACAGTAAATTTAATTACACTCTCATACAATTTATTAAGAATTAGGAATACCATTTTTTTTATAATATAACATGGTTTAAAATTTGGATGTAAAAATACAGCAAAAATCTATCTTATGTATACCTGTAAAGTCGGGGGGCGGTCTATATTTTTCGTCATAGAGAACGCCAAAGTCGTCTTCACTATCACTAGAGCCCACCACACTCATACACTCCGGGTGCGAGACTGCTAAATACAGATTGTTCAATGCTACGGGACCAACGTTACAGAAGTCCACGTCCACTGTTAATATTTCTCCACTTATTACTTCACTCACAGTTTCTGATAGTGTCATCTGAAGAAAGGTTAGAACATATTAAGCCACGAGTTTTTGACATCCCTACTAATATTATAAATGCGAAAGTAACTCTGTCTGTCTGTTACTCATTCACGCCTAAACCACTGAACTGATTTTAAAGAAATTTGGTATAGAGTTGACCTTGAGAAAGATCATAGGATATTTTTTATCACAGACTTTTTAAAAGTTCTCTTGGAATCGTGATATAACTGAACTCGACGCGGGTGCAGCCGCAGGCGGAAAGCTAGTAATTTATATCTAGATATATATGTTTTACCATAATTTATCCTATCACTATATCATAAGGCTTTTTATATACAAAAAAATCTACCATTCTTTTCATTATGTAAAACATATCAAATGAAATTAATGAAAACAAAAATAATGAATGTCCTATTAAATAAAAGTAAATTGTGTAAATGAATGATAACAATAAATGAGTACAAAAATTTCTAAAGTTAACTTGTATCTGTTCATAATAGTATCTTTGTTTGGTTATTATTATACAAATATAAAAGTTGTACCTGAAGACACGGAGCATGTTGTATAACTGTTATTAGTAACAATTTATCAGAACAATTAGCACCATTCTGTAAGTTTACTTTACCCAACACTGATACGCCATTTTCATTATTCTTTCCCTCTCCGACGTTTATCAAACTAGAAATTAAAAAAATTGTATAACGTCAGTTTAGAAGATGTAAATTTAATTAAGAACTAGATGATAATTATGAAATACTGATAGAAGGCGAAATCTTTTAAGGATCTGTAGCATTATGAAGTCGATCAACTTTTAATAGTACAAAAACAGATTGGAAATAAAGATCAGATAGTAAAGGTCCTACAAATATACTAGGAAACTTCTCAAAATATTAGTGTTATAAAAATTAAAGGGACATCGAATAAGTCACTTTAATTTTACTAAAAAAAACTTTTTTTAAATTTTCTCTCCTTCATTAATTTATAAAATGCTTCATATTAAATATGTTAGTGTTTTGACTTACTTGAACGCTAATCCTTGTATGGACAGTTGTCCAGTCTGTAAGGGGGTGACCGTTAAATTTAGCGTCTTTTTACATTCCCCTTCCAGTAAGAACGATTTCAAATTCTGTCCACGTATAACATTACTCTCTTTAATTTGTCCCGACGCTATTAACGGCTCGTTGTTTAAGATCTCATCGCTAGAAATCTCTGTATTATCCGCATCCAAAGTAAACTGCCACAACAATTCCAAATCCTTCAAGAGTATGGGAATTTTTAATGGATTATATAAAGTTATGGCAATCTGAATTGGTTCTGAAAAACAAATTGTTTTATTGACATATAAATATATATATATATCTATATTAGATAAGCCAAAAAAATATATAAAGCTAATTATATTGTTTTTTCATGAACCTACCTCCTTTGGGTACAATAGGATTGCTATCTGTTTTCTGCGTATATAAATCTATACTTGGCTTAAATATCATTGGGACGCTGCCTTGTGCCACTTGAAGCAGATTTTCCTCCAATTTGTGCCAGAATGGGTAATCTTTAGTGGAATTCCTCTGCGGGGGCAAAGATAGTGAAGAAGCAGCGATACGTCCCGGAGACGATAAAGGCATAGGACCAACACACAACACCGCAGTGTCCTCTACCGATAACAACGGTACTGGCAAAACTGGAAGGTGTTCTTTAAACTCCTCTAAAGTTTCAACGAATTGCTGGAAATTTTATAAGTATTAACTATAAAATCAACCTCAAAATTTCAATATCAATGATATAAAAAATAAAAAACAAGGATAATAATTAAAATGGGTACTTATTAAAGTTATTCGGTGGAAATTCAGAGCGTAATTTTCAGTAGCCTGTGCACACTTTAAGATGAGCAAGCGGCGTTAAAACAAAAATATTGTTTTAGGATGAATAATTAAAATAAAAACGTCATTTAATATTAATTATTATTAATTAATTTTAAGATAAGATGACTATTAGTGGTTTGGTTTTATCTGCTTAAATATATAAAAAATGTATGAAAAACTAAGACAGTGAATAATTGACTTAAAAAACACTAAATTGAGTAACCAGACTAAAAGTTATTATAAAAAAAAATTAAAATTTCCACTAGTACACATTTAAATAAAACTATGTTTTTTGGATAGGGGAGAGTTGGTTATATCGTACTAGCATTTAAATCGTACCACTTCTAAATTTCCCATTTAATGAATATTTTTTTCTACACTGACAACGCCAAATCGTGGCCCTGTACCATCCCTCTTCACCCACTAGTTTAAATCGACGTGAGTTAACAACTGTGCACGTAATAAAAGAAAAACATTTTTTGTAGGAATTAATATAAATATTGTCGTACATTCGTAAGGAGATAACTCGTAATCAAGGTAAGCTATAGTCATTCAGATTTTTTTTATTATTCCACAATTGTATATTAGATTATTGGGGGTTTTTGTTGCGTGTCTAAGTTTTGAGTTTATGCCGGATATTTGCTTTTGTTTTAGAATTGTACTGGTACGATTTACCCGACTACCAACCGCAAGTACCTATAGTAAGTACTACCCAAGGCCAAAAACAAAAGTTATAAGAGGAAACGATCTCATTCCATCACCAGTAGCGATGATTCAGGAGAGACACTTGTTGTAGAACTAGATGATGATGATGACAGCGATGATTATCTTGAAAATATATGTCGAAAGTGCAATTGTTCCTACTACGATAAGAAGGGTCCAAAAGTTGATTGGATTCAATGCGTTCGCTGTAAACGGTGGCTACATGAGACGTGTACTTCGAATCCAGACATTTGTGATGATTGTTTCCATTAAGAAATATGCACAATAATTATATTACAAATAACATTCTTGTTAACTGTTACTTTATTATTATAGTTTACTGTTTTTTTTTGTCTCATTTTTATTAGTTATGTTGATTGACCTCATTATCATAGTATAATCATGTTATTTTACTGAGAAAGCTTATAGTTCCTTTATATAGCCTAAGAGTTAAAAATTATGTTTCTATAACCTAAAATATATAAATAATGTTGTTTTATTACTTACCTAACAGTTAAAAATAAATAATTTGATTGAGAATTTTAATGTCTTTCATTCAGTGGTACGACTTAAACACCCATGGTACGATTTAAAGACTAAGTGGTACGATTAAAACGACTAGTCGGCTAAATCGTACCATAAAAAAGCATTTTTAACAATGTTAGAATAATCGCAAGGATCTGTTCTATTCTTCTTATGAAGCTGAAATATGAAACTTTATTTTACATATGTATTAATTATTATAAGACGTGTTATAGTTGAAATATTTGAGTTAAAGTGAAAAGTGGTACGATATATCCGACTCTCCCCTATATAACGTCAATTGTTAGCGTTTATAAAGTTTCCTGGTTTAATACAAGACTGACAAAGTGCCTATATATAGTCGAAAAAATATTAAAATGCAAAATCTCAAAAAAAAAGTCCCAAAGTATATAATTATTAAAATCGCGTACTAAATTTGAAAAGCAATAGCTTAAGATTTGAATTGAATTTCCTTTGATAAATATAAGTATACATCATTCACACGTGAACTCCCGAAAATCTTTTCATTAGAATATAAGATTCGCATCTCAATAAAGTTTTAGCAAAAATATTTATAAAAGACTCATACAAGAAACTAATTGACAGTAAAAAAAACCTAAAACAAAAGTTTTTCCTTAGGAAGAACGACCCTCAATGTTGCTATTACAAATGAACAGTGATCAATAACCAAAATTTAAACAGCATAAAGATCACTCTACGACGTATAATTTACAATGATCATTCGGGTGTAGATCTACAAACTTTGATTCTAAAATCAGATCTTAACAAAAATTGCCAATATCCAAGAGTATCCATCCTACTAATATTATAATTGCGAAAGTTTGTGAGTGTGTGTTTATGTTTGTTACTTCTTCACGCTCAAACGGCTGAACCGATTTTGATAAAATTTTGTATACAGAAAGCTGACGTCCAGGAATAACATATAGGCTACTTTACATCTCGGAAATCCCGGAAATCCGTGGGTAACACCGCGAGGCGCAGCTAGTTTTAAGTATAGCTACACGCCATCTATATTAAATATACAAGTAATAATATAACATATGTCACCTGATGTGCCAACATGAACTCTCGAAGGAAGGCGTCCTGCATGGCGGCCGGTTGTGGTGAGTGAGGTGCGAGAGGAGCCGCGAGCCACGACACAGCTTCCTTGACCCTCAACGCACCAGCGAGACGACCGAGGGCGAACTGAACGTGGTCCGTTGACAGGCGCCACCCACTATCTTCATACACCTAGAGAGATTACAGAACACATTTAAAAACGAATATTTTTCGGATGTACTACGTTATTCTTAGAATCTTAGATGTCATTACATTTTTTTTTAATGACGCAGGGAAACTCTTTTTACGAGCCGTCCAACCGGTCTTGGTAAGGCCGGAAGGGATGTGTGAGACTCGGCCTAGGAAGGCCCCTACTCACTAAAAGCACTACGAAACTCGTTACATAACACAACATATGTTAAGGATCAAAAAGTATGTAACAGTTTTTATGTGTTTCGTGTTGTATTTTGATCTATCTTTCTATATATTTGTATCATTGTTAAACTTTATAAAAAGAAAAGCAATCAATAAATTAAACTTTTGTCTCGTTTTACAACTACATCTTAAATTTATATAGTATATAATTTTGCTTATTCGTATGGAGCCATTGAAGGCTCAAGTATAGCTATTACTTTTAAAGGAAAAACTTTACTAAGAAAACTTTAAAGAAACAAGAGTAGAAAATGATACTGTTCTATTACCTGATACGCCCGCTTGTAGCAGCGGTACGCGTGTTTTTTCTGTCCGGCTTTGGAGAACCTGTGTCCGGCTAAAACCATGTGGAAGGCGTATTTTCTCGACATAATTTTGGTTGAGGGCCCTTTTAAGAAACAGAGTGCCGCCTGTTCTAGAAGCATAGCACTCCGTAAATCGCTGTCTTCTGAAGTCATTCGGATAAGTTGCTTAGCGGCCTCGCCGTAGAACCCGGCGCTGATGAGACACGGCACGGAGAGGAGAGTAGCTCTAACTGCATATTGTACCATTCTAAAAAATATTTAGATAATAGTCTTCATACAATGCAGAATTTGTGTGAGGAAGAGTCTTTGTGATAACGCTTCTTGAAATACTATACACATTGATAATTCGGTATAGAAACAAAATCAAAATTACAATTTAACACCATATAAGGATTGATACCTTATGACTACACTACTACACTTATTATTATTATACACTATTTGAAAACAAACATTCAATAGTCAAGCGACACCAAAAACTAACCTGCACGTATTGAGATATGTGACAATGCTTTCCTCCATATAGCCGAAGGTCTTGCGGTTCGCATCGCCGGCCATGAAGGCACTAACAGCCGCCATTTCAAGAGCCCCTGCATAGCAGAGCCACGCGCTATCCGCGTAGAACTCACGCTTCGCCGCGTGGTAACTATCGAAAGCCCGGGACCATTGACCACACATGAACCACACGTCCCCAAGACGACGAAGCTGTAGTTCTGGACAGTCGCTCGAATAACTGTAAAAATATAAATGACGATAATAGATATATCACTAATGTAATAGAGGCAAACACAATACTGTATAGAAGAACACTATTGTTAGAGTATCCATACATAGAATTCAGTTTGCTCAAAGGCAAGAGTGAATAGTTGATTAAATGGAGCAGGTTTTGAAAGAAGACTTAAATAATATTAGAACTTAAACACGGTATAGTACAATACTAAGGAATAATTGAAATCTCTTCTATAGATTTTCATTAAAATGTTATACATAAGCTATCCAAAAAAATGTATTAAAACTTACATGACTGTATTATTCATAGTTGTTGTCCCAGATTTTCCAGCAGTAAACCAACGCTTTGTTGCGGACAACAAAGATCTACTGACGCCTTTTTTATTTGCTACCTATATATTACACATATTATACATAATCATCTCAAAAGTCATAGCAAAAATATTTTTAATATTTATATGATTTTCACTAACTCACCACTTCATTAAGTTGTGCTATAAGCTTTTCTAAATATGGAACAAATGCTTTAGATACATAGTCTTTTAAGAACGATTTCATTGACTCAATGTCATTAGCATTTAATGCTGCTCCATGAATCTCACTCTGTCTCTCTAATTGTCTTCCAGCAACATTTACACTCTCCGAACTACCAGAGAATGAATATGGCTGAAATTGATACAAATTAATCACTATTATGATAAAACCAAAGTAAATTATGTATTTAAATACTTACCTGTAAACTATTTGCATTGTCATATGTGTCTGATTCAGCATTTGTCAAAGGATGGACCCCATCCACATTAGTTGATGATGTTAAAGCAATTTGTCTATCATCTGTAAAGATGTATTAGTGATATTTTAACTAAAATAAATTAATTATCAAATATACAATACTATATTGCGTGATTGGTCAAAGCCACTAATATAAGAATTAATAGAATACTCCTTCTTTAAGAATTAATAGATTACTCTTTCTGGTTTTAGATTATAATAAAAATATATTATGCAAAGCAATATTTATGTTCAGCACAGAATTTTTATACTTTTTATACTTGATAGCTAGATAGATAGATAGTAATGCATAATGTAATATCAATTCTTAATTATAATTTCCACTAAATAGTCATGAGATATAAATATACAAAGAGTTTAAAATGTAAAGTAACAACAAAGTATTTAATAATAATTATAAATATAATATAATGAATACCTAATAAACTAGCATGTCCTGGTTGAGATGTAAGTTGAGCATCATGTATACTAGAAGAGCTTGAAAGTGAAACTGTTTCAACCTGTAAAATATGATTAAACATTACACTTAAATAAAATACAAAACAATTTGAAACTGAACAATTATATAAAATTAGAAAATAATTACTTCATATAAAAAACACAAAAAATTTAATCAAAATTAACATGAAATGATATCAATCTTTATTAAATTATTTTCTAATAACAATTTTACTTACACTACTCTCTGATGATTGTTTAAGATAATTTGTCCAATAGTCTGTTGCTAACTTAGGTTCCATAGAAGTCTTGGAATTTATTGCTAACATAAAACAGTTTGGAGCACCAAATGTTTGTTTCATTGTTTCAAACATTTTATCAGCTCTATAAATTACAATAATGTTATATATTAAATACTAATAATAAAGAGATTTAACATTCAAACTTACTTCTCTTTGGGTATTGCAGAAACATCATGTAATAAGAGATAAGACTTCAAAACTGAACTGTTAAACCACTTTGGTAGTTTGGGAGGGGTGACATTTTGAAGTTGTGCATATTGTTGGTTAAGAGTGTTGTATGTTTCAACTATGTCATCTTCCAGAGTGGTTGCGACTATTATACAAGCCAGGAAATGTTTTGTAAATTCATGATCAGAGGGGAATTGCACTTCCAAATATGTTTCTCTCCATGCATCAAACCATGGTGTTGCTTGAGGTACATCAAATATTTCTGTATCTGTAATAAGATGTATCATAAAAATCCAGGCATCTTTATGTTAAAGGCACTATCCACTTAATATTGATACTGTGATACTGAACCTATTTTCATCATAACAGTTTTGTCATCATAATTATGTAAAACTGCATTGTTAAGTTGTCTTCGAGCCTCAGTTGGCTGAAGAGGCTTCCAAAGCACATCTCTAATGACTAAATTTAAATTTCTTATTGTACAAAAATTTCCTCCAGGTTCCCGAATTTGACCTTTATAACAGGAATAAATGTATTAATTATATTTTTATGTATTAATTATAAGCAATGCAAAATAAAGCTAATACTAATTCTGCACCTTCCCAGTCTAGTTTCGTAAAAGGCTGTAGCAACTCCGGCAATGTTAAATTATTTTTACATACTATATTATCCACTTTCGGACTGCATAACGTAGCAATTATTGGAGAGAATGAGTTTTGTATAAATTCTTGCGCTGTTTTAGTCATTGCGACTATATTTTTAATATTTTGAAATACACAAACATATATTATAATCAATGTAAAAAGAAATAATATATATTTACGGTCAATATAAATTTACATATTTTATTACTATACCATTAAAAATAACTAGAATAAAATTTTAAGACATGTATACTGTAATATCAGTATTTATTCACATATCAAATTATGACAGCTGTGAGATGTCAAGTTACAACAGCAAGTGTCAGAACAGTCAAGTACATAATAAAGTGAAATACATAAAAATATTTTTATTTATTTAATATTTTTCACATTTTTAGAAAGACTAATTTGAGGATACATTATTTTGCCACAATTAACAATTTCAATACACATGTGAATCACGCGTGTTCGATGAAAATCTATGATGTTTTACCAATCTCCCACTTTTTCTTAATTTTTATTGTTCTCAATAAGTGATATATAAAAATTTTAAACATACTTGTATCACCAATTAAGTAATACAAAACTTTGGTGATAAAATTATTTAAAAAACACACGATCGTGTAACTCTTTATAATAATGCTATAACTTGAAGGTTTAAGTACTTGTTTCGTCCGAACAGATAAAATTTAGGAAAGTTGTATTAAGATAGGTTGTTTGGTATTGAAGGATTATGGTACCTATCTTACCGGGCGGAGCCGCGGAATAATCTAGCCTTGATCCGACAGTGGGAGAGAGAGCTGTTTTATCTTTACGCTGGGCTAATGACGCCGATGAACACGGCCTCTTATACCCTGGAGGAATCCCCTTCTTGAATCTATCTCTTCGCAGAGTTGGCGAAAAATTCTAGCTTCCGATTTTTATAAGCACCATGTTTAGTACTTGATTCGCGTGTTCGGTTGTTATGGCCTCGTTCTATAAGCTGATGTGGTCCAACAAAGAAGGCCACAGAGCGGGACAGGTGAAAGAGTTGGATCCACTGACACGGTCCGCAGAGGCGACTGATTTTAAGGAGGCGGGTATATATCCGCCGTTTCTTCTCCCAGCTGTAGGTTTTTGGAAGGTTGGCCTAGAGCCTACCCACGTTCTAAGGCCTATATGCCGCTCTCATCATTCCCGGTGATATCCCGCTCGGTCATCATGATGAATACTAAATTAGCAATCCCTCGATGTCATAAGATGGCGATAAGGATTACCATTAGTTGTTTTAGTGGGTAAAACACCCAATGGTAACCCTAATTCGTGGTGGTTTAATCTACCCTTTTTCTCCCTACGTAACGACCCTGCTGATTCCGGTAGGCTATGGGGTATACATAAATACATTTTTTCCAATGTATAAGAAAAAAATTACCTACCACCATAATAAAGTATACATCTAGAGGCAGAAGCGATTTTCTGGGTCAATAAATGAAAACTACATGATCAAATCCGTAATTAAAATATTACAACTATGTATACCCTTTTACATTTTATATACAATTACACAAGAAAGAAAAGATAAATCATAAAATTAAATTGTTCTTAATAAATGATTTGCTACCAAAGTCGTATAGAAATTAAGCTGACCGGTATTAGGTTTCAAATCGTAATTTTTTTAAATTTCACTAAGCTTAATGAAAAGCAGCTATAAGACATATATGACAACTATTTTATTTTTACACAGCGAATCCAACAATTGCGACCTCTTTTCAAAACTTCAGTGTATTTTATAAAATGACATTGAAATAAAAGGAGTAAAAAGAAAAACAAATTTAGGTTGCTTAAATTTAATGAAAAAATCTTTTACAAAATTTTGTTTTACCTAATCTTGATTTCATTCAAATTATATTCATTTTAAAAAATAAATCTTAAATGCAATACCTATATATTTTTCTGTATAAAAAATAAAATTATAAACTAATACAAACGTATTAAAATAAATATATTTATTAAATTTCACTTTCTAATACATTATTAAACCAAAATATACTTTTGGGGGAATGTTGATTAATATGTAGTGTGAAATACGTATTCCAAAGAGACTCATAAAATATAATACTGTAAAAAATTAAATCAAAATTTCGTTACCAATAATATAATCTCATTGATAAAATAACAAGAGGAAAAATAAAATAAATATACAATTGATTTAAAAAAATTGCAACAAAACCTTAAGTAGCAATGGAGCATAATTTTGATATAGTCTTAATCATTTGTGCCTTCAACAATCCATAATTTCCTATTTAAGACACAATATTTTACTAAATCATAAGGTTTTGTATTGTAAAGTATAAAAAAAAATTACTAAATCTTAAAACTTAAAATCTATACAAAAATATTTTTGTATTAGAAAGTGCTTAAAATTCCGATAACTAATAATTTTTGATAATATAATTTTATAATGTAATAAAACATGATTAATTCACTAAAAATAATCATAGTAGCACAATTTTATTTTGTAATACTAACAAAACAACTAATTATTACAAATAAAGTACCAAATTCTTTATCAACTTATTTACTCCTTCAAAACATTTATTTCCAACAATCTTATATTTATTTCAAGCTTTGAAACTTTTCCTATGTTAATGATTTCAATGTTGATTACAAACGGTGCTGTAAGATATGCATTAAAATTTGTGACAACACTTTTGTGTTCATAACTTTTGTAAAAAGTTTAATATCTTTTGTTTAGTTCGGCGTGAACGTGAGCTGCCAAACTGTTCTACATTTGTGGTTGAACATCACAGGCAACAATTACAGGTACTGCTTTAAATGAACAATATTACATGAGTGTTGAATTACATTTACTTCATGTATGATGTACTGTACAATTATTATTTTTGTTACATTTCATAATTTTTGCAACTATAACAAAATCAATATTGCGTTATTATATACAGGCATATAAGAAGCTGTTTCGATATATATTTTGACAACCGATTATAAACGTATTGACTTATGCGTTACCAGCGCCACGATTACCTAACAAAGGTGTATAAAAACTTTGTTGTGCAACAAAATATTGCTTTCATTTGCAAAACAACACGTGAATTTCAATTAAAAAAACTGTTTATATCTAGCAAGTAAATATAACTGGTAATATTTACTCATAAAACATAAGTTTACACATTGCTTTTTGTTTCTTATAACAAACATCATGCCCTCAAACTCAATTCAATTCGTGATACTTGAGTAATCTTAAAATGAATCAAGCAGATTCGCATTGTCACGAAAAAATATTTTAAAGTATACATTAACATATACAAAGGCTTCAACGTCCCCTTTTAGCATCAAAACGAATCCCAAGAAAAGGGAACTTTCAGCTCGAATATTTCGGCTAAAAGATACTGTACAGTGCTATCACTATTCAAAGTTGGAATTAAACATGTTTATGTTGAGGTCTTCGAAGGTAGCGGCACCGCCTTGGTCCAGTATTTGTAGCATCTCTGAGAGCTCGTGTGGCGCGTGTCCTCCCTCAGGAGCGCCGGCCGCGGGTCCACCGGCGGCCCCAGCACCGCCCTGCCACGCCCATATACCCGCTGGAAAATAACATATTTGTCAGACGACATATTATGATGATGAAATCATCTAGTGAAGGATTATCTAGTTATTATATACTTTCATACAACCTAAAGATTATTATTTTGTGTATTTTGGTATCTTTTTGTACTGTAATTTTACAAAGAATTAAAATGAAGTACAACTTGTAACTTGTTAATACATAGTTATAATAATGAAGAACGTTTTCCATAGTATACTAACCATGCGGGGGATGCGTGGGATGTGTGGGATGTGTTGGATGTGTCGGGTGTGGCGGGTGATGGTTGTGGTGGTAGTGTGCTGGCGGCAGGTAGGCGGGCGCGGGCGGCGAGCGAGCCGGGCTGCCGTTACCAGCGCCCGCACCAGCCGCGTCGCCGCTGTACGCGTAACTTTCACCACCACTACCGGCTCCGCTGGCCCCACTCTGGATAACGAAATGTTGGTTAGTTTGTATTATTATGTCGATACATTTTACCTACGGAACAGAAGGAAAAGAAATTAAAGAGTAGTTTGGGGGCAGAGAAATGCAATTAAGACGATTTTCAGTTACTTTTGAGTAAAAGGTAACTTTTTTAATAGCAACCTTTTTGAGATAGGAGATAACCGTTACCGAGATATATCACATGGGCTTAAATATCCCGGGCCTAACAAAACAATAAACACAGTTTTTTTTGTTCAGAATTAGCTTTATTCTTCAACGTAATCTCCATCAAGAGCAACACATTACGCAATCATTCCAGCGCCACTCTAACATTCCAATATCACTTTTATATAACGATTTATCTTTTGCCTCAAACTAGGCCTCAGTTTCAGCGATAACTTTTTCATTCGTAAGATATTTCTTACCGGCAAGCATTTTTTTTTGTCTGCAAATAGCCAGTAGTCGCTGGGAGTCGAATCTGACGAATACAGTTGATGTGGGAGTATTACGAAGTTCGATTCATATAGTTTTGCCACTGTTTAAATTGACTTGTGACACGGTCCTTTTTCTTGATGAAACATTTTTTTTTCTTTGCCATATGCGGTCGTTTGTCTGCAATTTCGGCCTTCAAATTCTTCAATAACGCTATATAATATCCACAGATAATGATATTTCCTTTCTAAAGACAGTTGATGAATATTACAAAACGCACATCCCAAAAAACTAAGGCCGTAACCTTTCCAGCGGATTCTTGTCCTTTCGGGCGCTTTGGACGAGGTTCACCAGTTGCTATCCAATCAGTTCACGATCATTTTGATTCCGGAGAGAAGCCATGGATCCATGGTCACATATTGAAGCAAAAATTCCAATTTGTTAGGTTTAAACATTGCCAAATGCTGCTCAGAATCATCAACACTTTGTAATTTTTGGTCAACAGTAAGCAAATGCGGCACCCACTTTGAATAGAACTTTCTCATAGTCAAATGCTCATGCAATATAAAGTCACCACATTTTTTGATATCTTTACGATGTCAGCTAACTCGAGCAACTTCACTTTTATTTTATTTTACTTAGGAACACCAACAGTATACACATGCAACATTTATACAAAAATATAGCCAAAAGTATAGGTCTTCATATGTACACCTATTACAGGTATTCACAGCATTGTCTAAAAAGTTTTTAACAACAACACCTTAATCTAATTAAATTAAATTACTTCTACAAAAAAAACAACAGAAATTAATAAAAACAACACATAAATTAAAAGTGAAAAGTTACAACTTTAGAAATATTTATGCAAGGTATGTCTGAATTTTAAATATGAATCGCGAAACATGTCCAAATCTGTTATATCTTTATTTAGTAAATTGTAAAGGTTGCACATCCTAGCAAGTGGAGAATGCGCACCTAGATTTGTTCGGACTCTTGGACGGTAAAAATTTTTTGTTATGCGTTGACGAGGAATTTTATTGGGTACCGAAATAGTAAGCTGAGTTAGTAGATGGCTGCTATCAATGTTACCATTTACGATTTTAAACATAATCATCAAATCATGAATTGATCGTCGAGCATGCAAGTTCTTCATGCCAAAATGAATTAAACGTTGTTCATACGGGCATCTGAATGATATTTCATGAGAATGAAATGCTAAGTAACGAGTAAACGCTCGCTGGACTCGTTCGATGAGCTGACTGTGTATACTATAAGTTGGATTCCAAATCGATGAAGCATATTGTAACTGACTACGGACTAATGCGTTAAACAGTATAATTTTGGTGTAGGGATTTTTAAACATCTTTGTATTGCGTTTTAAAATCCCTAGCATTTGCATAGATTTTTTAGTTATGCAATCTACATGGGGCACAAATGTCAGTTTATTATCAATTGTAACACCTAAATCCCGAATTTCGTTAACCTTTGTAAGAGAAATTCCGTTAATGTTATAACATGTTACAATTGGCAACCTCTTCCTAGTGAATGTTATATACGAGCATTTACTAACGTTTAAATCCATCAGATTGTCTTTACACCATGCATTTATGTTGTTTATGTCATTTTGCAAATAGGTTACGTCAAGTTGAGAATCGATTAATTTGTATATTTTTAAATCCGCATTTGGACGTCCACTGTGTAGTCGGTGTCTCTACGACCACATTTGAAGTTAGTAAACCAACGTTTTATTGTTGTCTCTAAAGGAGCAGAGTCCCCATAACACTTTTCAAGCCACTGCTTTGCTTGAACGGTATTTTTTCCCATCAAGAAGCAGTGTAAAATGAAAACAAAATTGTTACTGATCCATTGTTTTTAAAATAACAAATATAGAGTCACTCTTAACACAATAACTCACAAACAAATAAATAGAATATCATGAAATTTTAACTGGTGTCTTTTGAAGGTTAGTATTAACTGAAAAAACAATTGACTGCAATAAAACAAGTGCCATCAATGTGTTAGGCCCGGAACTATACAGCCCATGTAATACAATACAAGATACAGATTATTCAATTGATTTAAAGTATCACATATTTATATTTAAAGAGTTTATAAAGATTGTACCGGTCGCAGCGTTGTCCAAGTAGTATGTGGCGGTGTGTTGGCTGGTCGGTGGGGGGAGTAGTCGGGTGCATAGTGAGGCGCGTGTGGAGCGTAGGCCGCAGCGCCCGCACCTCCCGCCTCACCCGGCGAACGAGCACCAACACCACCACCTACTAAAATAATTGATATAAAATTCAGTAATAACAAACGTGCGTACGTTTTAATATGGTAATAATGGTACCTGGTGGAGCATGATGTTGCTGATGTATAGGCGGAGGCGGTGCTTGGTACACATCACGCTGACGAAGGTGGTAATCGTAGTTTTCATCTGCAACCGGCTCGCCTCCCGTGCTGCCCAATGAACGGCTATGAACAAGATATGACATAGAATAGGGCTTTCATTTAAAAAAAACGATAAATTGAGAAATTATACATATATTATACTCACTTGGCCAATGTATTTGTGCACACAATATATTCCACGTCATCGTTGTAAGGATTGAGGAATGCAAATGCGGATGTTCTCAACCAAACCCACTCTCTGTTCTTTGTGCGAAATCGATACATCAGCGAAATGATCTGCCCTTTCAACTTAAGAACTGAAATGATAAAGTTGTATTTACTACATGCTTAAACTACTTATATAAAAAATTAAGTTTATTGTTTTCGTACAAAGGAAATAAGTTAAAAAAAAATTTAAATAAAATAGTTGCACAAAGAAACCAAAAAAAAAATCAATTAATTTACTGTTTGCTGCCATGTGTTAACACTAGAGGGGGAGGTTTTATTTTATTAGTGTGCTTATTATTAATAAAAAAGAATTGATAACTGCTGTTACAAGGAAATATTTAAACAATTTCAATAAAAAAAAGTCATAGAAGTCACATTAAAAGTGATAACTACACACATGGCTGGCAAGTTGTATATAAGATTACATCTCGTCTGCCCGTGATCACGGTTGCTGAAAAGTAGCCGAAACGTCGGGAGTATGTAGTTTATAATCAAAAATAAAAACGCGAAGTAAAATTCTGCAAATATTAGTTTCATATAAGATCACTCTACCTTGATCAAAGTTATCTCTCATGTGCTGCTGGTCTTCTGGGTGGTAGAAGTCATAGCAGAGTTTCCCGAGCAGGTCCGCGGGCGCGTACCCTAGTACTTGAACCGCGCGCTGGTCAGCGAACGTGAAGCGACCTTCTACTGAGTGACGCGATACAAATTCAACACCACCACACGCGCTGCCCTCAGCACTACTCGGGGTCGACGTCACCTGATCATACATTAGATATGTTACAACACTTATATGAATGTTAGCTTACGTTATAAACAAGGATAGTAATGATATATAATGTGTTGTAGTTTATATACGATTTTTATAGTGTAAGAACTTATATTATTTAAAATAATATTATTATAATATTCATACATAAAGTTTATACAAAAATGGTAATGGTATTATTATAAATGTTGGATATAGAGAATATTTTCGGAAAACATATTTATCTAACACATGATTCATATAAAAAGGAATCCCATAAGTAGGATTTTTTTACTTTTTATATATTACATAACCTAATTTAAATGTAATTTGAAAAACATTGTACCTGTAATCTACCAATAGCGACCAGACAACAATGAGACGCGTGCAACTCGTCTTCAACTGGTCGGTCCATCTGCATGCCTGGAAACAGATCTGATTTCCCAAAAGACATAAAATCTCGAATTTCAATATGAGAAAAACTATATATTTTCTCTGGATACCTCACTATATACGTTACAGACCTGTCGGCGGCCAGTTCTTGATGTAACCGGTGCAGTGTACGACCGCGTAGTTGTGTCCGTCGTGTGAGGGGCCGAGTGAGTTGCGCGCGCGCAGCCTGCCGAGGTGAGCGCTCTCCGCCGTCCCGCCCACACGCATGCGGCATATGAACCCGCGCCGAGAACCCATCACTTGACGCATTGAAGCTGGAACACAACATTACTCACATTATATCTAAATATGTAACAATAGTTGAATAGACATTTAGTGCCAATAAAGATATTTTGGATCTTTCTTGCATTGTTTGGTATATTTTTTATTATTTTGTAAATCTAATGGATTTTATAAGTAAAAAAAAAACTCAACGTCATCTTTTCTTTTCCACAGTTTTCGTTTCTCGTATTTATGTATAGACAATATACATACAGTTTTAGAAATATTTATATTATTATACAACAAAAGCAGATGTTTTCGTAATAATCAATAACATAACTAACATTGGTGTCCCTCCTTCTTAACGGTTCCCGTTTTGAGGTCCAGAATACGTCCTGTGTTCTGTGGCTCCTGTGTGCTTAGCTGTTCCCGAACTTTTTCCAAATCGTCGGGATGTACTTGGTCGTAGAAACATGATGAGTACCATTCACCCTGAAAATATTATATTATGAGAGAACTATATACAAATAACATATCTTTATATATATAATTCTTCTGTGAGTGTGTATGTCACTGAACTTTTCTCAAACGACTGGACCAATTTTGATGATTTTTTTTTTGTGTGTTTTCAAGGGGTTCTGGGAATTGTTTAGATCCACAATTTTGTCCACTGGACAATGTTGTTTTAATTAATTTTTAATTTATTAGTAGTTATTGATACAAACGTTTTTTTTTTTGACATTACATTTGACAACTAACTAACATGTGAATCATTCTGTCGCACTTCAAAACATGGGAGATTTATGGCTTTAATAGGTAAACTCCAAAAATATAATTAAAAAAACGTAACAGATATTTCTTGAATATAGGGCGATACGAAGTTCGCCGGGTCTTCTAGTAGGTATAATATAAGGACTTACTATTTCAATAAATAACGTTTGATTTTTAAAATTTCTTCAAGACACCCTATGGAAATATCGGAAATATCGATTACGGTATTATTTTTTTTGTTTCTATCACTTGGAACTAGATACTTTTAGATATTGTTAAATTCTGAGACATATACAATGATTCTTTTTTATTTTACATCTGAAAAGTATCCTATGTATGATTTTGTATTTTCACCTTCATATTGAAATGTTACAATATTTTTCAATCTAATATAAAATCAATGCGTGATATAAAATTACTTTATATAATAATTAAAGAAAAAATGATAAACAATGATATTTATGTACCTGTGAATAATTAAGCACTGGGGCTATACTATCACTAACATATATAATACGTCCAGTGTCACAACTGACAACGAATAAAAATCCATCGGCCGCTTCCAGAATGAGGTGCTTCAACTCTTGATCCGTTAGAAACGATGGTTTGTATGTACCGTCTGTAGACGTGTTGCCGGTACCTGGAAATATATAACGGAAAATATTTACACTTGGATTTTGAGTAATGTTATAAATAGAACAATTGGTTGTAATATTTCTGTGTTGTCCAAATAATTAATCAAATTTACTAGTTAAAAATTCTATAGTCCATTCATAACCCTATAATTGTTTTAAATGTAATTAAACTGTTTAAATATAAATAAATGAATATGCATATAGCACAATTTGTTCGAAGATGGTTGTAACTAACGATTTATATTGTTTAATGTTCCTATTTATTATACATATAAGTAATTTATTATATATTTACCTCTTAAAGCTTTCATATGCGCCACTGCCATACGCAGTATAGTTAGTTTGTCTGGTTTCCTCGCGAGGGCAGAGCATGTTGGAACCATGTCAGACAGTTCCGTAATATACGCCGTCATCTTGTTCCTGCGACGACGCTCGATTTCGCAGTGATTTTCACGACTAAAAATATATGAATAATTTAAAAAAAATACTTTATCACCAGTATTAACTGACGATTATAACAAAATATAACCTTCATACCGAATTCATTACTTTTCAAATTATTTAATAAAACAAATATATTTCGCTTTCATAGGTTTATTTTTATCATGTATTTATAAATATGTCCCCATTCGGTGTTTTTATAACGTCTATAAACAACATAATATCCTATCTCAACAAGAATCATTATTAAATATTAATAAATACATAATCGAAGCGGGCGCAATCCGCGTTAGGTCACGTTTTCAATCATTCCGCTATCTATGATATCTTGAATGGGTGTCATTGCTGTGAGAAACAAAACATTCATACTTTTTATGTAACCCATTCATTGACATTTGTTCATTGTAATCTTAAATTAATTATTTGATAAAAAAAACAATATTTAAATAACAACTTTTTACACCGATTAAAAAAATTCAATAGTAAATGTTTGCAAGTAATTATGTTATTCTATTAATCCAGCCTTGAAACTTAAGATATAGATCTTATAATAGAATCATATTTATATTTAAACTTCTTTAGTTACATGAGGTCATAACTACAATTTATTACTTGTTCAGAATGTCATCAATATTTAAAAAGAAAAAAATTGTTGCAATCAACATTCTTTTTTTAAATAATGCTTAGTTATTTTTAAATAAATTTCGAAAAGAGAAAAATAGAAATAAAAACTATTGGCCAATTAAGATTAAGACTTCTTCTTCTACCTGGCAATTTCCCAACTATAGCTACAGCTGCGTGCAAAAGTATTAGGCACCCCTATTGTTAGTCACTATCTCATTAGATAGCGGTCAAGTGTGTGTTTTATGGTTTAGCTATTGTATTAGCGGCAATTTTTAACCAAATTAAGATAAAAGAAAATATTTATGACATCCAGGTGTGCTCCTCAGCGGTGTTTCTTCGAATTTGCTTTTTTTGCGTTTCGGGTTATAGTGTGTTATCAGTGCTTGCAGTGAACATACACGTCTTCTACGCAACTATTCCTATCACAATTCTAAAGACTAACATTTAACGTGTTAATCATGCCGAAAAAATCTGAACTTAGTGCTGAACAGCGTCTAAGAATTAAGATTTTACATGAACAAGGCATGTCTCAGGTTAAAATAGCCCGAGAAGTGAAGTGCTCGCGATGTGCAGTTCAATATGCTATAAATCGCTTTAAAGAGACTGGCACCCATGAAAATAGACCAAGAACAGGCAGAAGAAAAGTTACCACTGAACGGGAAGATCGATTGTTGATTAGGCAGTCTCTACAAAACAGGAAAAAAACTGCTTTAGAGCTCGCTGCAGCATTATCTGAGGCAAAAGGCAGCTCAGTGAGTGTTTATACTGTGAGAAGAAGACTTCTTAAAGCTGGATTAAAAGGATGTAAAGCAAGGAAGAAGCCGTGGCTGTCAGAACACAATAAGAAAAATCGGTTGGAGTGGGCACTCAAACATAGAGATTGGTCAGTGGAAGATTGGTCCAACATACTGTGGTCAGACGAATCTAACTTTGAGGTATTGTTATTTATTTTATGTACAATATTAAAACACATAAATGTTTTTAAAATAACGTACTGCAAGAAAAATAATAACTTTGAAAATAAATGTGTTTTTTTCGTTTGGCATAGGTGTTTGGAACACCCGGTGTGACTTATGTTAGGCGAAGGGTTGGCGAAGAATACAACCCAGAATGTGTGGTTCTCACTGTTAAGCATGGTGGAGGCTCAATAATGATCTGGGGCTGCATGGCTGCCGACGGAGTGGGCGAAATGGTGTTGTGTGAGGGACGAATGTATAGTGTTAAATACACTGAAGTTCTGGAAACAGCACTAGCAACGTCGATAACGCAAATTTTCGGTGATACAAACACCGATGGCCTGAAATTTCAGCAAGACAACGCCACTTGCCACAAGTCCGCGCATACCATGAAGTGGTTTGCTGAAAATCATATTGATCTCTTGGACTGGCCACCACAATCACCAGACCTCAACCCGATTGAGCATATTTGGTCCATTTTAAAGAAAAATATCCGCAGGCACTCGATTAGCAATAAACAAGCTCTATTGGCCGCGTTACAGCAGGAATGGAAAAATATATCAAGAGAAGAATGTTTCAGGCTGGTAGAGTCAATGCCAAAAAGAGTGGCTGCGGTTATTAAGTCAAAAGGTGGACCTACAAAATATTAATTATTTTCTTAAAATAAACCATTGTATTCATAAATGCAGTTTTATTTACACTCGCTATGCTAAAACACTCTAAAACTTGTCTTACTGTAGGGTGCCTAATACTTTTGCCCGTGGCTGTATAAACTATACCATAGAAATAATATGAAAATACAAAAAATATCATAAGAATGATTATAATGTGTTTTTTGTTATATTACCTGGCAAACCTCTCCTTGTCTTGAATATTGTCCTCCTCCATCCTTGTATATTTCCCACCACTTGCGTCGTCTTCATCTGATCTAGAAATTAATGTGTTTCTTGTAGTATAATAATTTCTAACTTCTAATAATTATTATAGAAAATTTTTATTTATATATTTATATTTAAAACAGATCAATAAACAATAGTAACAAATAAATTAACATTATCTACACAACCTATTTAATTCTTTATGACATAGTTTTATTTAACCGGTTATATTTTAACTGAATAAGAAAAAGTGTATATAGAAGTTAATTTTAGCCAAATTTCTCATTTCTTACCCAATACTACCAGCTCGACGCTTTTGTATGTCCTTTGTTGGGTCAGCCCCTACAAATACAATTTTGTTATGAAATTGTAAGATAGTACATGAAGATAAAAATATAATACACATACACATGAACTACAACAAATTTTGTGACTTAATGAGGCTGACAAAACAGATGAACTAGTATCCTAGCTGCTTACAAGAGTAAAAATTTATTTTAATATTAAATTGACAATAATTTTCTATATTTCAAATGTATATTTTAACTAAAAGGATGTTACTTGTTATTAAATATAAGTAAATTATAGGTAAGGAACAGACAAATAGCCACATAATTTCTTTCTGTCAAATCAACTGTAATCACTTAAACTAAAGACAATAAGATTCAATTAAAATTATTGTTGATGGTTTTAGTTAATTTATATTAAATAAACATTTTCATAATCAGGTTACCTAAAAGTTAAAAGAAAACAATGATAAATCCATTAACTGCCAGCATATCTGATATTAATGACAATTTCTTCACCATGATAATAATATTTTCTCTCTATCATACAACTTTTAACCTGACACACTTCTTCAAACACTCAATATTAACTGGAGGCAATTTTGCTAGGAAGCATCAACGCGTCACGCGGAACAACGCAAGAGCAACGTCAATATTATATAGGTCGTCAAAAAAACACTTATACTAAAAAATAATCAAAAGCTAACACTAAATTATTATTTATTACTAATTACCTAAAGGAAATGCGTAAGGTTAACTCATCAATCATGAAATACAATTAAAAGATCCTGCAACAAGTAATTTTTACAAACCGGGAATAGTGGGAGCCACGGCAGACATCGGTCAATAAACTCATTAGTCCACGATTTATTAACCTATTCAAAGAAAAAAATTACATTTATTTACACCAAAGAACAATTGAAATGTTTAAATCACACAATGTATGTTTATTGTAATTTCTCAACACAACACAAACGCCATTTTTATTAGATGACATGACATTGCCTTGCCATTTGCCAACGACAGTACCACAAAGCATTACCAGTTCACAAATATTCCTAATACTAAATTCCCTTGCCAATACAAAAATACATACATTGAACAATTAAAAACGGAAATTTTATTTCGTAGTATACATATCTCGTTATATTATTTATGCAAATATTTAGCATTGTTTTTATTACAATATGTTCTAAGATTAATCTCTTCAATAAAACCTTTATGTATACATGTATAAAATAAAAAAAATACTGGTGAAGTAGTTCTATTTTGCTTATGTTTAAATTGTTGACAATTGAGTAAAAACTCAAAATAAAGCAAAAATCTGGACTACTTTTGGTTATTTCAAAATTATGTTTATTACCTAAATTTTAAATTTAAGCAACTACTTACAAAATGGATGGCGAACCAGAAGTTTTTTCAGATACCGGTACAAATTGCAATTTTGCATCGGCATCGGAAACGTTGTCAGACAACAATCAAGCTAAGTTGGACTCATTAGAAAAAAAGGCAGTTCACTTAAGGTATACTTGTAAATTATTAAACAAAAATTTAATAACAATGAGCTAGAAATTTAATCTTGACAATAAATTTACAGACTAGTGTTAGAAAAAGATTTTAAGGCCGCTGATATAAAATGGAGTCTATTCGTCGCAGCAGCATTTAGTTTTAGGTACGAAAGCTGTCTGAGGCCTTTTCCACCAGTATTTATGAAAAATGGAATCAAGGATATGGATGAATTAGTATGTGAAATTTAAAAGATTTTTTTTCTATACACATTATTCCAAATATATTTTACTACCTTTTTCTATATTCAGCTCAGCGTTATTACGGATGTACCAGCTTTGGATTTAGTTTTACAACAGTTGGACAATCTTGATAACTTGGCAAATATAAGTGACATTCTTGATTTACTTTTTTACGTGTTGGTTAGATTAAAAGAACCTAGTTTAAAAACTATACCACCAGAAGCTGTAAGTATCCATAAATTGTTATTATAAATAATAACAGATTATTATCCATAAACAAACACATTTAACTTTTAGCATGAATCCATTTTAATAAATGTACATTCGTTCCTGCCCGCGCCTAAACCTCAATACATATTCCAAGTGGTAAACTCTTGCAAGTCGCACTCTGAAATGAAATGGAAGGAGTTATCCAAAGACCAGAAAGTGTTTTATGCGTATCACGGCAATCGCTTGGAAAACTTTTACACCATTTTACATTTCGGACTTCAGCAACATTTGAACAAGGTTGCTTTGATCAAAGATAAAATGTTTACAAAAATATAAATCGTTTAATATTTATTATTTCTAATATAGGCGACAATAATGGCAAATGGTGTTTACCTGTCGACGGAATTGAGTATGAGTCTACCTCACAGCCACGGGGGCTTTGGTTGGGGGGCGAGTTGCATCGGAGGTCATCTCTCGTGTATAGCGATGTGCGAAGTTATAGACGCGCCTGAAGGCATTAATTACTATAAACCGATTTCTAACGAAGGTACTGTTCCATATTTAAATTTAGAATAGCATTTTCTTGCTTGGTTGTTGGCTTTCATCCGTACAAAGACATGCACATTGTATTCTGCCAGTATTTTTTTTTCTTTGTCGCAATATTATTTTAGCGCCATTCCAATTATCGTTTATGTTTGACGTGAGAAATGTCACTTGGCAGGTGACGGTACATACGAAGATGATAAAAATAAAGAATCTGATGAAAACGACTTGAACACCAGAACAGCTAGCTACGTTGTTACCAACAGCGAGTTGATGCGTATGCGATACTTACTTGTGTACGCCAAACAGCCAACGTCAATGAGGTTCTCAACAACGAGCACAAATAGGAATGGTTAATGATTCTAATATTGTATTTTTGTAAATGACTCTCTTTTCTAAAAACTTTGATTGTTTTGAAAGTCTAATATTAAAAAAAAGTTTTTTGGATAATTAGCAACAATAGATTTTTTTAAGGACAAACTACCAGATTCCATTTTATAAGCAATATTTTTTCTTTCAGCTGGTGGATTTCGACAATGGCTGACAAGACACAAGCTGGTTTCCATATTGCTTGGTTATGGATTAATGCTCGCAACCATTGGCTTCGCCAATAATCAACCCATCCACTACTATTACAAAATTTTGTTAAAGAAGTTAGATATTGCATTGAGCAATGTTAAATAGTGTGATGTTTTGTATTTTATTTTTTATTAAATACTTATTTTAACACTGTTTTATTTTATCGTCGGATGTCCATTGAAACAAGGAATAATAATAGTATTGGAAAGTGCACACGCTCCACATGTTGGTAATTAATGTGGATAGTATTATTTTTCCAAATGTAATATCTATTTCGCAATCAGTGAGATTTAGGAAAGAATTTTGTGTTGTATTTTTTTTATTGTTTTAAAAACCTACATTTGTATATAAGCTTTATAACCTTGTGGTTATTAGTCTGAAACGGATAACAAAGCCTATGTGATATATTCCGTCAAGATAAAAATTTTGGAATTTTTAAATTTATTAAAAGGGCCATCAATCATAAAGAATTTAAATAGGTAGATAGAAATATATGAGAATGAATGGAAATTAATTTTCAATTTTTAACAATTTAACAAGCTAAAAGCCAATTCTCTCTCACAATACATGCACAGATTTTTTTAAAATATAAACAACAGTACAATTACTACCATACACGTACATTAGTACACACATGAAAATATATACCTACTGCAAGAAAAATTTATTATTAATAGGTATATATTTAATAGACACTGAATATAAATAAGATACTTATATGACATATTCAAGCCACACAGATTCATATAAAATTCGTTATTAAATATGTCATTGTCGGTCTGTCCGACAACAAATAAAGATTTAAAGGATGTTCATTATTTTAGAACAATGACTCTCACCATTACATTTTACATTCGTCATGGGCTGCGGCACAAACATTGTACTCTTAATTTGCATCGTATCTACCTACAATGTCCACAATTGCCCGAACGAAGTACAGAAATCAGTTTAGTCTCATGCGTTCCATTGTAGTCCAGAAACAAATAATAATAACTTATTATGTCGCTCAAAGTAATGTGGTTGTGTTTAGGTACATTTAGTGTTATATCAGCTCAAGATCCTGTAGCAAATTTGCCTATGGGCCGGATTGTAGGGGTAAGAATTCATTGATTAATTGACTTTAAATAGTAATAGATTTTCTATACAATGAATACATATTTTTATAGATTAAAGTATTTACCGAAAATTCACTTGTCCCCATTGAAGTATTTTTCGGAATACCCTATGCGTTGCCGCCGATTGGAAGATTAAGATTTTCTGTGAGTATTTGAAAATTATTCAATATCTGTTTAAAATAACCTTTCTATCTCTTGCAAACCTTGAAGCCTCCAGAAAAACATCCAGGATGGAAAAGAACTTTGTTTGCACATCGTATGCCACCACGCTGTCCGTATCCTAGTAATGACACTCAAAATTTTAACGAAGACTGCCTCTATCTCAACATATGGACTCCACGGGTAAGTCAAGTTAGAAAGTCCATATTACACATTATGTCATAATGCCTACTCGCCAGACCTTTAAAATATAACACTATTTAAGTATGGAGTATGGAATTTATTCCTCAAAGTATCCAAATGTAATATCATTCTTACGTACTCTAATTATAACTTTTCTTTGACCATTATAATATGATCCTTGTCATTTAGAAATTCAACTGCTTTTTAGATAGCGGGTGGATGGAAAATTGCTCCCAGTCATGGTTATCTTATATAGTGAATCTTGGAACAGGGGCGGAATAACTCTACCTTGTCAGGATTTAGCTTCAGACGGGCTCGTTGTTGTTACTGTGGCATTCAGACTTAGCGTATTTGGTTTTTTTACTTTAAAGTCAATTTTAGCAAGGGGGAACCTTGCTCTGCTTGATCAATATCTGGCTATGGTTTGGGTTAGGGAAAATATTGCTGCGTTTGGAGGAGATCCTAATTTAATAACATTAGTTGGCCATTCAAGTGGAGCAGACAGTGTTCTTTTGCATATAGCATCACCACGTTCAACAGGTACCTACACTCTACAGACGTTTATCAATTAAACCTAAAAACAGTATATAGCGACTCACTACTAGTCAGTGTTAGAAATTTTTCGTTGTTCATTCTTCAAAAAGCTATTTCCACTTTGCTTTTATTTTATAATATTACTTATGTCCACCTTTAACTTCTCAAGTAAAGTACAAGTTTGCATATTATTGGTGAATACATAATTAAGTGTTGACTTTTTTTTACAAATACATACAGGGCTATTCCAGCGAGCTATAATAATGTCTCCAAAAAATATTTGGAAATCAATTGAAAAAGATAAGAATTCTACAACTCAGAAAATCGTGCAATTATCAGAATCCATAACAGAATCACTGGGTTGTTTAGAAGAAACAATTCAGAAAAGTTTACAGTGCTTGAAATCCCGTTCCGTGGCTGATTTCTTAGGACAATACACGGTATAATCATTTTTATTTATAAAAATTCTCAAATACTATGTGTGTTTTAATCTTATTATTTAAAATATGTTATACAGAATATTTGGACGGAATTATTTGAGCCAATTCCTGATGACTTTCTACCAGGATCTGAAAAATATTTACCAACATCACTGGCAACGTCGTTTTCATCAACCAGTACCAAAAAGATTAATCTCGATGTATTAATGGGAACTACTAATCTAGAGGCCATTGATTTGGGTTAGTACTAACAATCGTGTAGACTGACAAAAATAAATAAATGTAATATCAAAATTGTGTCACAATTTTTCCAGAAAAATTCAAAAATTCATTAAGAGAAAGTCCTAAAGCAAGAGAACATAATAATATTACAAGTATTATATCTGAAACCTTACATTTTCTTTCACTTGATCGTCCAGAAAACGAATATATTGTAAGTAAAGCTTTTATAACAAAAACAAAAAATTACAAGAGCAAAAATAAACGTATTGATAAAAATGGCTTTCAGCTTTCGCAAGCAATTTTCTGGGAATTTTTAGGGTTTAAAACTCGCAAAGAAAGCGAACAGGATGTTATTGGAATCTTAGAAGATGTAGGTAGAATGGAAACATCTGCAAAATGGGGAGCAGGGTCTGCTTTATTGGCAGCAAAATTTGCACGAAAAGTATCTCGATTGTATGTGTACCGTTTTTTGCAACCAAACTATGTGGATTTGCGAGGCTTCCGACTAAATTTTACAGGTCAAATTATAATATTGTTATACAATTTATCTTGTATTATTATCCAGAAATAGGTTTTTTCTTCATATTAATATTTTAGGTGCGACAAATGGTGCTGAATTATTAGCCTTGCTGGGAGATGCTCTCATGCTCCAAGCAGCACGTCGTCCGTTGTCACAGATCGAAAAAAGAGTATCGTTGAAATTTCGAAGCTTTATTTCAAATTTTGCCAAATTCGGGTAACCAAATACTTCACTCAACTTATATTTAAAAGATTCTAACATTAATATTTGAAAATTATTTAAGATCTCCAGATAATGAAAGGGAATGGCCACGATATATGGTAGGTGATTCGTACATACATGAGATTTGCGACGTGGATGTGATTTGTAACCAATTCAAGACGGGTAGGGAAATTGCGTTTTGGCTACAGTACCTGCCACGTCTTTCAAATACACTTTCAATTAAAGGACAGGCAGAAAAAATAACGTCGTCAGATGGTAACTCTTTGCATATTTAGTTCATATTAAATTTATATTTTTCTCAAACATTTCACATTGTCTGTTTTCTATTTAGATGGGAATCAACTTAGAGGTGGAGTTTTTGCAATGTGTGGATTTTCCGTTATTTTATTATTACTCCTGGTTGCCAGTGTTATCATGTTGTATAAAAAACGAAATATTCGACCCTTGGATTTTGATACTGAAATAGTTCATAAAATTGACAAAAACATAAGTTAGAATATAATTTCCACACTTTATTGTTTTTCTTAATTTTAAGTATTTAAAACATATGATCTGATATTCTTACTTGCATTTGAATTAAATATTTATTTGAAAAGACTGTCTATTATTTATCCAAATTCCTTTATCATTAAACAAACGAAGTAATTAATTAAAAATATATTTTACCACGATGAAATGGACAATATAATGTTTATTAACTATTGTCTTTATTTTTAAAGAGTTATTTTTGTTCAAGGTCAAAAATCATCTTTACATAAAAGAGTATATTTTAATAAATCATGATTTTTTACATTTTTGTGACTTATACTGTAGTATATGAGTGAGTCCTCGTAGTTAATATTTTTGGTTCAATGCAGATTTATATTATTTTAGACAAAATTTCATAACCATAAAACTATTTTATAATACACATTTTTTTATTATCTATGTCACATAATACAGTATAGTCTGTATTTTACGAAATGTCAAATAATGCGTGTGTCGGTGTGTCTACTTTGTCATTGATAACGCTTTTAGCTTTAATAGACAAATAATACTGTTAAACAAGAAGTACATAATATCAAATAAAATTTGAGGATAAAAAGAAGAAGTCCATTTATAAATAGTTTTAAAAAGCTATACTAATTTCCCCCTATTATGGCACTAGCTCTTCAAAGGCGGGCAAATGTGAGCAAAACAATAAATAAATAAGTTTTATATTAAGTTTTCTTTTATTTATAATTGTTATATTTTTGATTTACGAAAAGTACATTCAGTATACAACATTGTTGTTGTTTTAGGTGAGGCTACCTCCAGAAGTTAATCGGATATTGTATATAAGAAATTTACCATATAAAATTTCAGCTGAGGAAATGTATGATATATTTGGCAAATATGGAGCTATTCGACAAATAAGAGTGTAAGTAAAAAAAAGTCAATTTTATTTATGTGTATAGTATTATTACAAGAAAATTTTATCTACTTAGAAGTAGTTAATGTGTGTACTTCAAAAACTATCTTGCATGTTATAATACTCTCTATTTTGCTTTTTATATAAAAATAAACAGTCATAACGGCTCGATAAACATTGACAAACGATGAACACATTCTCCTCGAGAGTTACTATTTCAATGGAAATTAATATGACCAGTATTTATTTAATACTAAAAGAAATTTTCTTTTGCAGTGGAAATACTCCTGAAACAAGAGGAACCGCCTTTGTAGTATATGAGGATATCTTTGATGCAAAAAATGCTTGTGACCATTTATCTGGATTTAATGTTTGCAATCGGTATTTAGTTGTACTTTACTATAGATCAAATAAAGCATTTAAGGGTATGGATATTGAAAAGAAACAAGAAGAATTAGATACACTGAAAAAGAAATATGGAATTTCATCTGATGATTTAAGGAAATAAAAATATATAGTGTGAATTGTTCTATATTTAGTACTAAGAATTCAATAAAAAATAAACATTAAGCTCCAACTATCTTGATATTATTTCACTTACAAATTTCCTTGTACTAAAACTTAACAATTAATGAATTTTAAATATTTTGTTCTTATTTTATTTTGTGATTTTGTTTAAAACAATATAAGTTCTAAATTAAGTTCTTAGTTTAAAAAAACTATAAGTAGATATTAACTATTCTAAATTAAACATGACATGTACTCCTAGAAAGTAACTTCAATAACTCTTGAGTTCCAGAGCTGTTTTAAAGCAATCTTTTCACATTTTCAATTGAATCAGAAGAATATTTTTTTTATTAAGGTTTCAGATGAAAATATTATTCGACTGCTTAACTTTTGCTCTACATCCTACACCATTGTCTAAAGTATAAATTCAGGTCATTGTTATTCTGAAATTCTTCCTACCACTTTCAGTGTTTATAAGTAGCTTTTAACATCTATAATTCGTATTTCATGATAGACATCTTACAACAGACAGATCCAAGTAGCATTAGCGTTCTAGGTTAAACCTTTTTTTTTTTTTTTTTTTTTTTTTTTTTTAACGGGTGGGAAATCCTCATGGATACCACACGCCCCGGGGGGGGCGTGTGATTATGCCGGACTCTTACCGGCTAAAACCCACCCGGTTACCTTCAGCCGCTATGAGGGGACTACAAGGGGTCGCTTGCGCATTCTACCTCGTAGCCCCGGCGACAGCGACCCGCTCCTAAGGCGGGTCTCTCCCTATGTGAGGGCGCTCCGGTAAACTTGAGCGCCCTTCCTCCAGGAGGCCAGTGACAGCAGGGCGGACGGTCCCCCGACCAGTCCACCCTCTGACCTCCTAGGTGGGCGGAAGGAGGTGGGCGTACCTCCTCCTTCTCACCCCGAGGCGGCGGCGGCGCATCTGGTCCGAGTTGATGTTAGATTCTCGGACCCGCTCCGCCTCCTCCTTCTGCATCAGGACGACTTCGCAGAAGGAGGTCATGGCCCTCCAGTTCTCCTCACTCTCGAGCATCGACGCCAGGATACTCGAGAGCGCGAGGTCGGTGCCAACCACTTGCGTGAGGTCGTGACGCTGACGACTGAAGGCTGGGCACACTTCGAGGGTGTGCCGTGGCGTGTCATCAACGTCTCCGCAGTGGTGGCACTCCATCGTCGGCTCGCGCCGAGCGATCCTGTGCAGGTAGTGTCCGAAACAACCATGTCCGGACAAAACCTGCACCAGCCGGTAGGTGAGGACGCCGTGTTTGCGCCTCGACCAACGCTCGAGGACGGGGAGTAGAGCGTCGATCGTCCACCGGCCGTACTTCGCCTCCTGGAGAGCCATGGTCCACCTCCTGTGCATCTCCGCCTCGCCGTCGCGGCGCACTTGGAGCAGCTCTTCGTTCGTCGCAGGACGGTTCTCCCTCCGGGCCGCCGTCCTAGCCTCGTATATAGCGGCCAGGACCTTCGCCTCGAGGTCCCAAGGGGGCGTTCCGGCTAAGGCGCAGGCCGCTCCCGCCGACACTGTACGGTAGCCCCGGATTATCCTCACCGCCACGATCTGCTGTGCACGCTGGAGCAGCGATCTATTGGTGGCGGTGATGGCGTCGGCATAAATTGGGGCACCGTACAACGCCATGGAACGAACGACGCCGGCGTACAGGCGCCGGCAACCCCCGTTCGGGCCTCCGAGGTTGGGTAAAAGCCGCCCTAGAGCTGCTGAGGCGGCCACCAACAACCTGGGGGTGAGGACGCGGAAATGTGCCTCAAACCCCCACCTCCCATCCAACGTCAGGCCCAGATATTTCATCTGGGCCTTGACTGGGACGCGCACGCCACCGATCTCAATGTGCGCGCCCGGAGGAGGCCCTGCCCGAGGCCCATGGAACATGAGGGCCTCGGTCTTTTCTAGGGCCACTTTCAGGCCTAAGAGGCGGATGCGACTGACGACTAAGGCTGTACCTTCCTCGGCCAGTCGCGCCGCCTCTCCGAAGGTCCTTCCTTCGGCTACGACTAGGGTGTCATCTGCGTAACACAGGGCGCGTACACCTTGTGGCAGCGCACCCTGCAACACCCAGTCGTAGCCAATGTTCCACAGGAGTGGACCTAGCACCGACCCCTGTGGAACCCCACACAACACCTGGCGGCGGAAACTCCTTCCACCAGCACCAGTGCAGACTACCTCTCTATACCGGAGGTAGTCTGCCAAGATCCTCCGGAGGTAGGGAGGCACTCTGAAATGGCGGAGTGCCTCCATTATGGTTGCATGGGGGAGGCTATTAAAGGCGTTGGCGATGTCTATTGAGACGGCCAACGCCCTGCCCCCTCGCGCGACAACCTCCTTTGAGTGCGACTTCAGGGCAGATAGGGCGTCCAGTGTCGAACGCCCTGCCCTGAACCCGAACTGACAGTCTGACAGTCCGGGCCCGTCGACACCCAAGTGCTGAGTGAGCCGGAAAGAGAGCACTCGCTCAAAGATCTTTCCGGACTCACTCAAAAGGACGATCGGACGGTAACCGGACGGGGAGTCTTCCGGTTTACCGTCCTTACGAAGGAGGCACAGCGCCCCGTCCTTCCACGTTTTCGGGAAGCGCCCGGAAATTAGAGCTGTATCGAACGCTTCCCGAAACTGATCCCCGAGTCTTTTAAGGGCGATCCCTACCAGTTTGCCAGGGACCCCATCTGGACCCGGGGCCGTCCTTTTTGTCAAGAGGCACCTCGCTGCCTCTTCCAATTCATCAGAGGTGACAGGAGGGGCCTCCAAATCGTCCTCCTCTGCCTGAGCCTCTGAGGGGACCATTTCTGGAGGAGTGTGGTCCGAGCCGTCGGAGGGGAAAAGAGCACCGATGACCCGGTCCAGAAACTCTGGCTGGAGGGTTTCCGATATGGGGCGCGACTGGACGCGGAGCTTCTTCCGCGCCAGTTTGTACGGGCGCCCCCATGGATCACGGTTGAGATCCTTCAGCAACTCCTCCCTTGCCGCGGCCTTGGCCCCGCTGATGGCTGTACGTAGGGCCGCCTTAGCCGCCCGGTACCGCTCATCGAGGAAAGCCTCCTCGGTTACATCCCTGCGGGCGCGACGGCGGCAGCGGTATAACTGTCGCCTTGCATTATTGCTGGTGGTCCGAAGAGCATCAATCTCCGCTGACCACCAGTACACCGCCCGCCTCTGAGGGCGGCGTCGCGCCCGTGGCATGGACGCATCGCACACCGCCGTCAGCGCAGAGCGGAGGCGTCTCGCGGCGGAGTCGGGGTCCATCGGCCTGATGGAGGGAGTACACCAGGCTTGGACGGTTGCGGCCTCCTCGGCCAGTTGCCGGTCCAGCCGAGAGAGAACCCACCGCGGAGAGGCCGTCAGAACACGTTGGAGGGAGTTCTCGGCCGGAGCAGGGGACGTGGAGATCTCGAACCTTATGTAATTGTGGTCCGAGAGTGTCTCCACGTCGAGGACACGCCAGTTCCTCACACGGCGCGCAGCAACAGGGGTGGCGAACGTGACGTCCACCACCGAACCGCCCTGCGCACGCACGCACGTGTGGGTTGTGCCCCGATTGACCGGAGTCACGCTGAATTCAGTGGCCCACTCCTCCACCGCTCTCCCACGTGGATCCGTGACCGCGCTGCCCCAGCTGGAGGACTTAGCATTCAAGTCCCCGAGTACAAAGACCGGCAAGGGAGCCAGTCTCCTGACCACGGGACCTAGGGCTTCAAGATAGGCCTCTAAGGCCGCCAGGGGCTTGTTGGGGGAGAAGTACACGCCAACGAAGGCGTACCCTCCCCAAGTGGCGGCCACGTAGCCCCGCCCCGACTCTTTGAGGACGAGAGAAGGACTGCCAGCTCCTCCCCCCGAAACTATGGTCACGAGGCCGTCCACATCCCCTGCCCAATTCGGGTGGTCATTGGGGACAAAATATGGCTCCGCGACCACTGCCAGACCGATCTGCCACTCCACCAGGTGCTGAAGGAAAAGGTCCTGTGCACCGGCGGAGTGGTTCAAGTTGCCCTGAAGGAGATTGTGATTGCAAGCCATCAAGGTTCCTTCATCACAACCTCCGGTGTCCCTTGTTGGGGCTCGACCTGGCACGGGGCAGCGACGGTTCTTTTCGCTGCCTTCGATTTAGTTGGGGGTGGGCGGCAAGCCCTTCCCCCCATGGTGTGCGTTGACGGTCGGCCCGCCTCGGCGCATACAACACACCTGGCGGGTGCGAGGCATCCGGCAGCTTTGTGCCCGGCGACACCGCACCTGTGACACAAGTCGCTCCTGTCGCATAGTGATGGACACGTGGACCGGGTGTGGTCTGTGCCCATACACTTAAAGCAACGCATCGGACGAGGCTCAAGTGCTTGGACTTTCGCCGAGCCCCATCCGATGCTGAGCGGCCCCCCGCCGACCAACTTTTTCGCGGCCGTGACTGGGCACACGACTAGCGCCCACCGTTGACCGCGAGGTCCCATGCGGACAGGGCCCACCTTGATCGCACTAGTAGGGCATCCTCCCTTCTCGGCCACCGCTGAAGCGATGCGGTCCGGTGTAACGGCGTCGCTGAGGCCAGTGATGCGGAGGTCTGCAGTCTTCACTGGCCTCCGTACCCTGGCCACCTCTCCAACGACCTCCTGCAGCTTCTCCGCGAGAAGGTCGGCCTTCTCCCCGCTCTGCATGCCCGGGACCTCAAACATGCGGGCCCCGGTTCTGGTCACCCTGAATTTCAGAGCGCCAATGCCAAGTTGCCCCAGGTCAATGGCGCTCTGTGCCTTCTCTAGCACCTGCTGGTAAGTGACCCCCCTCTCTGTGGCCTCCGGTGTCAGTGTAATGGACACAGCGGACGATTTGGGGGGGGTCAGCTTCACCTCCTTCTTTTTGACCATACCGGCGGAGGGATCCGGCTGAGCCTGCTTGGCACCGGACGACGGCTTCTTCTTCTTCTTACCCTTTCGGGTGACCGTCGTCCAGGCCTCACCACGCGCCTCGTCCGTCACGCTGGACGGAGGGGATGTGGTGGCACTAGGACCAGCCTTCTTGGCCGACTGCGATCCTTTTTTGGGCGGCACCGGAGCCTTTTTGGCCTGCGCCGGGGCCTTCTTGGCCTGCGCTGGGGCAGGGCCCTTCTTGGGACCGGGGTCCTTCTTCGAAGGCGCCTTCTTCGCCGCTTGGGCTGCGGCTGGTTTGGAGGGCCCGGCCACCGGTTCCACCTCCCTCCTTAAGTCCGCCTGTAGTGGCGGACGGACCCTCTTCGCCGGAAGAAGGCGGTCCTCCAGGCCAGCGATGCGAGCATTGATCATCTCACCCATGGTGAGAGTCAATGCCCGCTGCAGCTCTCCCAGCATATCCGAGATGCCGAGGGGAGGCTCTGTCGCCGGCGCGGGCTCACGGGCAGGGGACTTCTTCCTTTCAGAGAAGTCCCTCCTGAGGGCCCTGAGTTCGGTCCTCAGGTGCTCGTTCTCGTTCTCGAGACGAGCATTGTTTGCCCACAAGCGCCGCAACTCCTCCGAGGCCGTCCGATTAGCGAGCATCTCAACTATGTCGCTCATAGTTTGGGCGGCCTCCTTGATGTCCCTGACATAGGGCCCCTTGAGGTTGTTCGACGTTTTCGCGACGTTAAAAAGTCGAACAACGCACTGATCGGCAAGGGACCTGAGTTCCTGTCGGTCCAGGGAGTTTATCGTGGGCCTAGGGCTTGTAGAGGAGCTCCTAGCCGTCCCAACCAAGGCATTTCTGTAAGAGGGGCCGGGGCAAGGCTCCTCCTCAGAAGCAGATGTCAAGTCCGTTTTGGCAGCGGGCCTCACGGACGCAGACGAAGGGGTACGTGCGCCCCTACCCCTACGAGCAGCCGGCTTCTTTTTAGCAACAGCGCCCGCGGGGTTCTCTGCGTCCGATTCTCCATACAGGACGGTGCTGGGCCTCTTCATAGGCGTCACAGTCATCGTCGAGACTGTTGAATGCATGGAGGCATCCGACATCGACCCGTCGTCGTCTCTAGGTCCAAATCCGGGAGTGGGGGTGACCGGCCTTGAGACAGTGTCCGAGTCCCCCCCAGAGTGGCCCTTAGAAGAGCCTTCCTTCGTTTTTAGGAAGCGACCCCTTAAGACGCGAGGAGGTAGGGCAGAAGGAGTCATAGCTCGCTTCTCACCTCCATCAGATCTCTTCCGCAAGTCCGTTAAACATGCCGTGTCGTCAGTGTCCGATCTCGCAACAAGTCCTTTCCGTAATGTATCGGAGTCCGTCAAGAGTGCCATGTCGTCAGATCCAGTCCGTGTCAGCATTTCATTTCCGTTAGTCGCGCCAGGGTCCGTGCCCACTGCACCTCGTCTCAGAGGGCCCTTAGAGGAAGGACCCTCCAGGCGTTTGCTGCCCCCCCCAGAATACGAGGGGCTGACCGGCGTACCGGTGAGGGATTCCCCAACCACTTGGTGGCTGGGACCCTCCTGGGGTAGTTTTTTTTCCACAAGACGCCATTTCATAAGTTTTTTGTTGGTGGTGTTCTTAGGACGAGCTCACCCGCTCGCCATGCATCCCAAGACCGAACACCGAAGTCAAAGATTAGGGGCCGTAAAAGCCCATCCATCACCATACATCCATCCACATTCATAAACCTTTCATTTCCGCATCCATCCACATTCATAAAAACCTTCCATTCATCGGGCTGAACCCCCAGCCCTGACCAAGACCCCAAAAGAGGGCCAAGGTCCCCCTCCCCGTGACTGACTGCGCCGGTTACCCGGCGGGCGATGGATTCGTCACTTCCCGACGCCAGTTCTAGGTTAAACCTAGTTTGAAGCAGTCTGTGAATTCCTATAATAGTGATAATGGTAGAGTATTGGATACCAGGTGATATAATCATAACATTTGTATGTTATATAATGTGTTGATATATCTGGATTATTGTTATTTGTTAATATGTGTGAATGGATGGATATAATATCCTGTTGCGAAACATACTACGTTCCTTAATTTATATTAATTAATATTCTTTTAAATTCTTTAAAATTCATAAAAATGTTAAATAAAACCACCATAGACATACAGCATCTTTATTGTAATCGTGCTCAAGAAAACATTAAGAGAAGTTTAATTAGAACAATTAAACTATTGGAATATGTATCGCCATTATAATGATTAGTGTACAGCTATTACATGCTTTATATGTAGTTTAAACTTTTATTGTAATATAAAATGGAATAATGAGTCTAATACTAAGTACAATTGTCTTTATAGGGTTTTATAGATTTTTTTAATTTTTTTTTTGTTTTGTTTTTTTTTCTAAATACATACTTTAAACAGACAACAAAGTCAGATAAGTCTTTAAATAAAATTTAAGTCTTCTAAGATTTGACTTCAATATCACAATGAACATAAGACTTAACAATTGAGATTGTTACTTATGTAATTAACAGTCAAATAATGGTCAAACACTATTTAATGAAACAAATACATCAACAGCTGCAAGATAAAAGTTAATTACTAAATAAATAATAACCTTTTAGATATTTATAAAAAACATTCAAATCTGGCAGAAGGTTAAAAAAAAACAAGAGTCGACCATAAATGCAGAAACACTGAACAATATAAGATGTTCATTAAATGTAGGACATATTTCTAGGACAGGTTATATTTAACAGCCTCACCAAGTCATTTAGCTTGAAACAAGATACACTTGAAGCTCAAAGTTTGAGTATTAAAATCGTTCACCAAGCCATAACATAGGATTATTACATTACATAGAAAAAAATAACAGAAAAATTAAATAATGAATAAACAGTAAAAACAATAATCATAATGGTAAACATAAATAACGCAACGAGTACCTTGTAAAGGATATATCACTTCTTATGTTATAAGTTACAATCCTATATGATTTTATAACCACCTAACAACCCTATATATGGAAGGAGGATATTAAATAACCATGTCGGGATTTAATCATGGGATATAGGAATATGATTAGGTAGAGGAAACTGAAGCTAGACGAGCCCTTCCCTCAGCAACCAACTGCTTGTTCAAATAAATGTCTTCATCAGTGGAGGTATCAATCAGGTCTAGGGTGACCAGCGGCTCCGTCGGATTCAAAGGGTCCTTGCCAACATCCTTACACACACCAACAAACTGTTGCTCCACACACAGTTCCTGGAATCTGATACAGTCTTCAACTGTCCAGTCTTTATGCAACGGCTTTACATCTGTAAAACATTTAAATTATTATTTAAGTTTTAAATTTCATGCAAAATTAATTATAATAATAATATTTTGAAATTACACACGATTTTTGCACAGCAACCATTACTAAAAAATGTTAAAAACGACAGAACGTTAGTAGCATGTATACTAACTTTCCCTTTCATGTCACTGACCTTTTGATTATTTAATAAAGTCGCACACAAAAAAATATTTGTACACCGAGCGCCACCTATCTATGGGCATGTTTTTCGACCTGATGAATACAAATTTCAAGATTCAAGGCTGGACAGCCTAAGCTGACTTGAAATTCGCATTCAACGGGTCGAAAAACATGCCCATTGATAGGTTGCGATCGGTGTACCATCAATTTTTTTTGTGTGCCAGTGTAGTTAAAGAAAAGATAGAAAAAAAAATAGTAGGCCCCTTTTTTAATAGTAATTGTCAATCTACTGTAAGAAAAACAAGCGACAATAAAAAAGGATACGGGAATGTTTGAATAAGTTATTTAGATTTCTTACAAAAAACCTCAAAATATAATAGCTACACAACAACGATAAGGGTGGAAGAATGATTGGTGCCTATTAATATAGTACATTTATTAGAGCTCTAAAATCTATATTTTATAGGCATATTATATGTATGATAATAATATAGCCACTAACCGTAAAGCCGAGCCTTGATAGCCTGCGGTGGTAAGGATCGCGCTAGAGGAACCGTGGCCGGCACGGGACGAAGCGACTCGTTCGCAAACAAAGCCAGATCACCGAAGTCACAGAAATACACGGACACCATCTCAGACGACACAGAACCGGCTATAGTTACCCTGAACATGACAAAATAATATTTATTTATTTATTTATTTTTGTACCAACAAAGTATACAGTAAATTATTAATAATAAATGTGTACAAGGGATATCTTATCTCTAACAAGAGATCTCTTCCAGAAATCCTGATTAAAGTGGAGACCATTTCCAATACAAATTTATAGTATTAGTGTAGGTACAATATCAACAAACTACTTATTATTATAAAATTGAAGTAGACTTTTTTTTTTAAATGAATACATTACACACTAAATACAAATAAATATACTAACACATATCTTTATCCATAACATACATACATTCAATTATATATATAAAACTGACAACTTAAGTGTGTACTGTAAAAAGTATTTGATATAATGGCAATGACGAAGCAAAGTCTCACCTATACCACGTGTCGTCTTTATCGTAGAAGGCCGTGTACAGTTCGCCACTGACGGGACTCGTAGGAGCATCAGTTTCCGGCAGCTTTGGGCATTCCACTTGCAACGAAGTCATCATTGTTTGTAGCATTTTCCTGGTCACGTTGGGCTGGACCTATATTATAATGGATAATAGAAAACGTTTATTTATTTACAACAAGCACACTTACAACATACATATTGAATATTTACAGTTAACCCTTGACTATATTATAACATCAGATATGTACGTCAATGACAAGTGTACATAACATTTACTAACTATAAACAGTGCACGATTAAAAAGTTTACATACTAATTTAAAGATAACATAAAAATATTACGTAAAAAAATAATATAACTATATAAACTTAGGAAAACTAAAACGTTGGATGATTGATATGATATATACAAATTAGATAACAATTTGAAAATAATATTTAAGAGTGTGTGGCAATATATTTTCATGATGTAGTTAAACTTAGACAAATGCTTAAACTGTTTCAAACAGCAAATAAAACAATAGATACATATGTGTCGTAAGGAAATAAAATATACTATCTGTATAGTAGCCGGTACATCACTTAGCAAGAGACGATAGATGAGCCGAAAGCGAATTTCAGGTGTTTTAAGTATGATGCGCGGCGAGAACATTTCAAGTTTTTCATAAAAAAAAATTCACACATAGTGTTAACATAAGTCTATGAATGAAAATATAGAAAATTGATAACAGCAACTCTTGCAGGGGAACTATGTAGATATTCGAATTTATGACACAAACAGGATTCGAACCTGCAATCCTCGTAATATCTGGATACTATAATTTAATATACGAATATATGAGTCTAACCACAAAGTTCCACGGGTTTGCCGCCATGGCGACGTACACATCGATGCAGGTCCCTTTAGCGGGGAGCTGCGGCGCCGGTAAGGAGCTCCGTGCAGCCTCCCCGCCCCCCGCCGGCCCCCCTCCGTCCCCCGCAGACCCCGTACCGAAGATACGCTCCTTCTTTCTATGCAAAGCTTCCAGATGATTCGTTGAGTCACCCTCCTTTTTCTCTTCTAATTTTCCTCTGTAAAATTAAAGAAATATCTTATTAAAACAATACATATTTCATATGTTTTAAACATTTTATCGAATTCTTTGTATGTATTGAATAAGTCGATGTTGTTAGTGATACATATGAATTGGTTATATTGAAAATTTATGGAATTTCTGAATAAAATTATATCTTTAAAATCGTTAGTCATAATATCTTTGATTCGGACTTTGATCAAAAGATTTTTTTACTATAAATACATACACAGAAATCAATTTATAAATATACTCTGCAATATAATTTAATTTTTGTTATTACAAAGATTTGTGTTCATTAGTTTTCAATAAATATTTATTTAACAAAATTATAGTTTCCAAATCATTCTTCTGAGAGATCAATAGATCTTTAATTTGAAATGTGTATCTAGTATCCCTTATTTCAACATAATGAAGGATAATTCAAATAACTATTTTATGATTTTAAATTTCGTTTAAAAATAATATTTAGCGAACTAGATTTGGTCAAACGTTTTGACCTATGTTTTTTCCGATTTCTTAGTAATAATCAAGTCAGTACAATCGCAGTTACCGTAAGTTCAAGTTGTTATAATAAACGCAACAATTGTAAGTTTTTGTGAGCTATACGTTGAAACCATTATTTGCGAAGAATATGTATGAAGAACGAGAAAGTATGAACTGCGTTTTGATTACGTGAACTCATAGTAGGGCCTCCTAAAAATATTCTCATTAGTATTCACGATGTTATTAAGTTTAATTGGTAGTAATTATCATATTAATTTAATATTTATTGCGCCACGTTAGTGTGCATAGCAATAATAACGTTCAATTATATTATGTACGTTAAATACCGACGGTGAAAGTGTCTGTATACAGACACGCTCTGATTAAATTTCACAACACATTTATCGCATTGAAATGAGCCGTTACCGGCTGAATATAGATCGTAAATTTAAAGGACCCAAATAATTTAAGGAAATTATTACGACTATTATTCTTATAATTTTATTTTATTACCATTCATGTGTTGAAGTGTTTGGTAATAATTTTTTTATGTCTACATCACAACGGCACGGTATTTATTGTTTTTAAGCATAAAGGAAAGAAAAATCTATCATGTTCGACATAGTTACATTTCGAATAAGTGTGTATTATATTTATAGGAAAATATCAGTCAGGTTTATTAACGCTATAAAATATCATATCTCATAAGATCAATCCTAATATTTGAACTGGTAAATATGCCCTTAATAATTTTCATGTAGGTATAGAATTTTTTTATCTTGTTTATGAAAGAAAATTGGAAACTAACTTAAGGACGCCTAAAAATAATAATTATTTTTTTTATTAACATTTTTTATTGTTTTTTTAAGATTTATAAAGTTGAGGTTCAAACTAAATATAAAACAGATAATAAAAAACAGATTAAATTGATTAACTGTGTTAGTTAGTTATTAATATGAAAACTTCAATTTAAATGTCTCAATGGAACCCAAGGGAAATTAAAATGAAACTAATATTTTCGGATTTACTATAAACTACATACTAGCATGTAGTTTATATTAGTATGTAGTTTATAGTCAAAAATAAAAAACGCGTAGTAATTCCGAAAATATTAGTTTCATTTAAATGAGTACTCGCGAAAATCTTAGATCTCATCAAGGAAAATTATATTGTATTAATGGAAAATTTTAACCATTATATGTATATGTTAAGGTTTTCTTTCATATGATGAAATGTTGAAGAGGATCAGTGGAATAATCCTTTTTTGTTTGCGCAGTTCATTATTTATATGTAGTCTACCACAACCATGTTTACATTTACAATATAGTTATGAAGTATTAGATGCAGTAAATGTATATGTACGTTTTCATTATAAATTAATTTCAACATGTTAAAAATTATATTAGAATAATTTAGGCGTTCTATAATAAATTCAACTACGAGTTAAGTTCATAACGGCTTGCTTTGTTGAACCTTAACAAAGCAAAGCAAGCCAACCGCAAACATAAGTACACAGTCTCACTGTGTATTTACAAAAAACATTTGTATGTTTACAATATCATTGAGATATGTATATATAATTAGTTTAGTTATAGAGCTGTGTGTGACATCGATACTAACAGTTGTATCAGCTCGTACTCCATGAGTATTCCATCGTTGACGGAGGCCAGCATGTGTTGAGGTCCCCAGCGCGCGTACAGCTCCACGTTGGGCGGGGCGCCGGCCGGGGGGGCGGGGCCTGGCAGCGCGCGACACAACACGCTCGCTCCTAGCAACATGTCTCGCAAACGGGACACCATACTGCCGGCCGCACGCTCCGCAGGACCAAGACGAACCTGCTTTGCCTGGGAAGGATTTTGGTTATTAATATCATTCATATCAGTCCCTTGTATAACGAAAACTTATCAATCGAATCTTTAAATATTGTAGTTAAAGAACTTTATTTTCTCATAAAGAACATACAATGTTCATTTGAATGAGATGTATTACATAATTCAATTCAAACAACAATTCAGTACAATAGCAACGAACCATACAACTCCAAGTGCTCCCTACATAACCCAACAATTTCCTTCTAAAAATCGCAAACGTTTTTTCATCAAAAACTTCGTCAGGCAAATATTAATTTGTATATTTTATATATTTTTGACCTTCATTTAATTTAGACTTAATATGCACTGTCTGTAGTCGGATGTAAAACTAAGTTAACAAGTTTCAAGATTCGTTTCATGTTAAAAAATATATATGTTTTAATATGTAAACTAGCTGATGAGAGTATGTATAATCCCATTAAATAGAAAAGTTGTGGAAAGTAAACAAAATATACCTGGTACGGGTACTCGTTGAGAGCGGGTGAGAAGGCTTGAAGCGGTACAAGGGAAGAGAGTGGAGCACGAAGGATCAGACCGCTGTCGACCAGCTGAGTGCGAACCGTACCCTCACCGTCTAAACCACTGATAATGATGCAGCGGACCCTGGGTACATACAAATAGAGACGATATTATCTATAAGAAGATGATCCACCTTATGGCAAGAGATCTTGTTACTGTGGACATCTACTTATGCAACTATCTGGCTTTGTATAAGTTATGCTATGACATAACATTTACTTTTTTTAAAGTATGCAAATATTTGATAGAATTCCCGGTGTCAAATATGTCTAGAGTATTTTATAATATTAAATAGCGACAATTAAAACACCTGTGTGACAATTTGTACATCAGTGTGTTATGCAAAAAATCTAGTTCAACATGTTACAAGTGGAACTATTTCTATAGAAATCCGAGTCGTAATCCTCACCAGTCACCAGCTAATGTTCGCACAATGTATAGCGCGTTGGGTGTAGTGGGGGGAGCGTGTGGTGCAGCTGGTAGCGGGCGGCGGTACGGCCCGGAGGTGAGCAGCGCCAGGGCCGCGCGAACATTCTCCGCCCCGCCCGCACGAGAGACCCACACGCGACCCTCCTCCGTCACACAACCAACCTCCACCTCACACAGCTTCTACCCGACATCAACATACTTCCATTAATATTTATATGAACAATACACAGAACTGCTCTATTGGTATCTTGCTAAGCTTAAACTGATAATAGTTACTTGACTAATTCTTTTATATATTATATTATATATATTGAAGTTTAGAGCTTCAAACTGCCTAAAACTTCCAGTTTATGCCATAGATCGCTATTTTATGTAATATTAAACTGCCTAATAACTACATAGTACTTTACATATAGATACCTGTGTGAGTGTGAACGCGCCGGAGATGGCGAAGTCGTGTACTATCTCCTTATTGAGGTTGAGGTCTCTCGGCGTGGAGGTGTCGTATAGAACGACGGCCACGGAGGGGTCTGTGGGGTCGTGTCTTGGTCCGGGCGCCGCTACTAGCACCTCCCCGGGCAGCCTCCGCCTCACCAACGCCGCGCCCGCCTCACTCGCCGCCAATTCCTCCGCACCTTCCAAACGACACAGGATCGCCTGCAACGATACAAAAGATTAATTAACATATAACGCATCAATTAGAATTAACATATAAAGAAACGATCAATTCCTCTAGCATTCTGTTAGGTCGCTACCGATATTGGAGTACAAATGATTCTAACATTTCGTTAGCAGAGAGATATAATAAAAAAAAACCTCCCAAGATCTCTATAACTGTATAAGCCGACAACACCACCACTTAAAGAATCTAAAGAATACATTTCTACTTGTAAAAAAATTTATAAAAATAGTAATCAGTACTGGATTCTCGTATTATATGAGTAATTGGTTATGACATCACACCTGCGCCGGTAATTTTCTAAACTGAGGTTCTAGTATCTTGATATTCTTAAAATATACTGTATCGTCGTCTCCGTGGTCTCCTAAGAACACGGTCGCTGTTTCGTCTTCGATTTCTAATATTTTCGCTCGTTGCCATCCACCGTCGTTCAGATTAACTGCATACCTGTAATAGACGGGCTTATGTAAAAGTAATAATAACTTAAATTAAACCACAAAATATATAAAAACTTACCAAGCATTTATTATTATCATGGATTTATCGACAGTAGTTCCAGAGTGTTCGTAATAAGTTGCCATATCCACTAGAAGTACTTCGAAAGCGTCCTAAAAATAGTGTATTTATTTCTTTAGCTTACATACTAGCCTTCGATTCTGCTTTACAAAATATATAAAGTTTAAAATAATGTTATTCTTACGCTGTATTGTGGTCCGATAATTCTGAGCCAGACCTCTAAAGTAGAGTTTGCTACAGTAATGAAAACATTCCAAAAATCATCCTCTGGGAACTGCAATGGTGGCAGATCTGTGTCGAGAGTGTTATCCTGGTGGAAATTTTCTACTCGCGGAGAAGTAGGTTCCTAAGTAAAAAAACTTTTAACGTATAAAAAGGCTTATTGATATTCTCCCTATAAAATATCAAAAATACATATACATACTTTAATTAATTGATTCTTTAATAATACTAACCTCGATATTAGGAAGAAGAACTAAAAGGTCATTTGCTACTCTATCCTTTAAAATGTATGGACAGTTCTCTATGAGCTCCAACCAATTGTTTGGCAAATTTTCTCCATATTTTTCCCTTAAAAGCACATCATTCATTATTGTACGATATTATATATTTGCAGTTGAAATGTACCTGTATTAGTAATAATTATTATTTCATTACATTTTACAAACAAATATAAATATGTATCTTCAAAGAACAAACTATTGTTAATATAACATTAATTTTCATCTTTAGAATAAAAAAACTTTAAAGAATTATTACATAGCATATTGCTTCTGTTATAATTTATCTCAAAAATATTTTCTAAGTGATCAGAACAAGGATTGAACACAGATTTGTAGAACACCATGTATATAGTCAGGCATAGTAAGTATTTTAATTTATTTTACTTATTTGAAACACCATTGGCATATTAACAATAACACTTATATAATAACAGTACACGGATCAGTGCAGTGTGATACACCACTACAGGCATTTACAGCACTGTTAAATTAAAAACAAAGTAATACACTCAAATAAATAATATGTGTCATATAGTCTTTATGTATCCCTGTTCATACCTGTACTGGTGTGGAACGTGTTTGGCCAGTAACCCGGCGGAATGTTCAGCGACCAGTGAAGTGAGTCCGGCCACAGCGGAGGCGGCGCTCGCCGTCACCAGCCCGCCCGCTTCGAGGCTCTCGACCTGCGCCAGGAGGTTCACAGCAGCCAGCTCCCGGGCCGCCTCCTCGGACGGAGACAGCACCGGGTATGACATAGAGTGGTACGTCCCCACCTGCATATATTATTTCTTACATTAATAAACAAAGGAAACTCATTTATATACAATATACATATCATATTAAGAGTCAGTGGTGGCCTATTGGTTAAAGGGCCCGCCTCTCTTTGCCGAGGGCGCGGGTTGAATCCTGGCCCGGGCAAGTACCAATGTGATTTTTCCGAGTCATATGTACTTTCTAAGAGTATTTAGACATCACTGATTAATGCTGATTCCCAAAAGAGGGTTGATGTCAGGCAGTCAGCCGGTCGTAAAAACAAATAGCCAAAAACTATTCACAACATGTAAGGCAGACCCTGGCTATAGCTGGGAAATTGCCAGGTAGAAGAAGAAGATACAATATACATATCCATAAACTAAATTTGGTCTAAAACTAAATTCTTTTTCTGATGTATCATCTAAGTAGTCTAAAAAATTCTCCTTAATGGCAACAATACTGACATAATACTTTCAAAGAAAACCTTTAAATATCTTCCAAAGATTAATCCATTTATAGAATTCTCTTTGTGAACGCAAGATATGTTTTTTGTACATTTAATTCACTTATTTTTAGTAACTCACCTTGATATTACAGGCATAACTGACGGGTCCTCGTTTTGGTCGTATATCATTAACTTTATAGACGGGCGGGGGCAGACCCAGCTTGCGACAAGTCCATTCCAATTTCTCCACAGCCGTTGAATCTGGAGGTGGCTCTAATTTCGGTGGAGGACATGCACCACTCACTGGATCAGTACTATCCTGGACCAAATAATATTAACATGTTATTTACACCATTATTTATTGATTATGAGACATGTGAATTTTACTTAGATAACATAAATACTTTGATTCATCACTAAAAAAAATAGTTGATAATTTACAAAAAAAATCAGCATTATAAATTAAAGAAATATCAATACAAACCAATAAATTATTGTGAGCTGGCAGCTGCAGCGGTATCAAGTCAACTGTACTCAATCTGTCACATAGCTTTGATAATCTTTGGGAAGCAGAAAACTTTCGATTGGGTTTTGAATCAGTCTCTTTCTCATTTTTAATGGAATGTTTATACTGTGAAGCAAAAAATATAATGTTAGCGATATAAAATCACGGTACAATAAATATTTATATAAAATGAATAAATATAATCCTTATAATATGAATAAATTTATCTTTCAATACTTACATCATCTGATATTATATTTGACTTTTGAATGATCTGAGATGAAGAATTAACACTCTTTAACACAGGTTTATCCTGATTTTCAGTACCTTTTGTTGACGTTTTGGAAGTAATAGAAGAATTCTTTGAATCAATTGATTTGTTGTTCTTGTAATACTGTAAAAAAAACATGTCAGCCGAGCTATAGTGAACATCAAACATAAACTTTTAATAGGTATATTTTTTTCAACTTTCACTTTAATTATTCAGTATTAAGATTTGACATAATAATAATATATGTCGTTTCGTAATTTTTGTAACAATGTTTTCTTATAAGACTACATAGTACATAGATGGATTTTCTTTGTTGAAAGATTTACAGTACAAACCTTGCCTCCATTGTAACTGTTATTGTTGAATGGTGTTGTTTTTACTCTGTAATACTGGTTTGAGTATTGATTGTTGTAACTCGATGTGTAATTAGATGTGTGAGTTGGCTTTCTCCACGATCCTTGCTTTTTTGGAAAGCGGTTCTGGGGAAAGGCGTAATGAATTGTATTTATTTTAATGTAACATTAAAATACATTCATTACATTTGGGAAAAAATTTCCATCATAATAAAAAGCTTCAAACAATATACAAGATCACAGATCTAGATAGATCAAATCGATACTAATTAACTATAATTAAAATGTAATTTTTAATTATTTTCAGTTTCAAAAATTATTATGGTAATTTGTTTATAAATACAGATTTTTATCATAAAGTTTCTATTTAATTTTCAGCTTTTTTAATATGATGAAGAATAATATATAATTTTATAAGTATTGTTTAATATCACAAAATTTGATCATAAAGGAAATGCATGATTATTTCAACATAATATGTTCTTCACTTACAAAACATTATTTTGTACTGACTGAAATTTTTTTGATTTATTTTAATTAAGTTATTAATTTATATTATTATATGCATCATATATTGAACCATTCTCTTATTTAATAAATTTTACAGTACTATAAATTATGATAAATTAGATTATGATAAAGAGTATTTCAAATATATCCATTGAATATTATGATTAAAAACAATCCCAAAAAAAAAAAACTTTTCTAAGAGATATAAAGTTACTAATGAAACTAATATTTAAATTAATTCTTTGTATTTTTTGATAATATTACTTTAAGAATCCTTAAGAGTCAGATCTAATTATCTTTCAAAATATTTGTTATATATTATGATCTAGTAATGCTTCTATAACATTAAAATGGCATATAAAAGCAATCCAAAATAGTTCTCAACCAACTTACAGTATGATTTAATTTGATTATCTGCTTTTTGTTTGTTTTCTGACGGGCTACCATAGAAGCAATGTGTTGTGTTTCCTGGCTTGCAATAGCATCAACAACCCAATCTCCATTCACTTGAGTAATTTTAAATCCGGGGACATCTTGGAATAATTTTTCAAGTGTTGGATAACCTAACTTCTTGAAAGGAATCCATTCCCCTTGTAATTCTCTATAATCTCCTAAAAACAAAGAAAATGTTAAACACAATAAGTTTAAACCATTAAATAAATATAGCCAACAAAAAATGGACCGAAAATTATGATGAAGCATTAATTATAATTAATTGGTATATAAGTACATAAATATAATAATTTTATCAGTGAATAATTGAGTATGAATAGTTATGATATAAGATTAAAAATGTTTTAAAACACACACTTACTGTTGCATTGTTTTATTGTTATAGCTCCTTTCACTGAAAGAAGTGTTGCTCTAAGTGCCTGGATTACTTGTTCTTTATCAGCCATTCTTAACTTTCGCTGCAATTGATTATTAATTAGATCATTGTTGGTCGCTTGGTCAATTTACATTGGAATGTTTAATAATTTTTTTACTTGTATTCTTTACGAATTTACATATAATTTAAATAATTTTCGTTTTTATACCTTTTATAATGAGTTGAACATGTAGTCGTCACCACACTGCGAAAGCAATCGTGGCATGTATTCTCTTAATTGTGGTTTACATTTCTAACTTGTGTTTTTATCGAGTCTTACAATTTCTGAAAAAATATGAACCCAATCATTTACGAACAAAATTTTATTTCTTATCCTGTGCCTAATAACTAAAAAAAATTCAATGAAGATATTTCGCCATCATGAAGTCTATATATGCTTATTACAAAGTATAAACACCAATTCCCTTACCAATACTTTCATAGAACTTTCAATTTATTGACCGCGTAAATATTACAGACAAAATAAATACAGAATATCTCTAATTTTTGCGTTATTGGTAGTGTTCTTACTTCCTAGGTACAATTTGTATACTTCATTCGTTACTCAACTGAGAATATGTCAGATAACTAGGGTTGCCCACAGTAATTTGCTAAAATCTCCAACCGAATTGTCAAATTTCCCCACTTTTAGGGAAAAAGGTATTAATTCCCCATAGATGAGAGAAATAAAATAACCAAACATGTTGCTAAAGTTCGGTCGCTGCATGAAAGCATTTCTGCCTAATGTCAGATATTACTATTGTAAAATTCAATGTAAGGCTCTTTTTAATGTTTATATTTATTTAATATATTTTTTTACATTTATTATCCATTAAAAAACAAATGCTTGTATGTATAGTAACTTTGCTTATTAAATCAACCTGTCAGAAACGGTTACTCTAAGATGCCATTTTATTAAGTTTATTATTTTTAATATAATATGACAAAATATAACAGAATTAACATTTTTTTTTCGTAAAACCTTTAATGCAGAATAACTGGGATTAAATTTTAATCTGGGCCCTTTTCTCTATATTTTCTTTTGAATAGCTAGGAAAACTTTACTAAGTCGATATATACAATACCCCAATCAGGTTTGCTTTTCCTGTAGTTTAGGATATTCGCCAGTAATTAGCGACCCTCCAAAATAATTGAGATATTTTACAAGCTACAAAATAACGATTTTGTCGGCACGTTATACTCTATAGCAACAATTACAGACTATATAATAGTTACCTTTCAATAATTGTGAATCTAAAATATATTCTATTCTTCAAAACATCTGATTAAGTCTGTGATCTAATTTTAAAATAATCTATTCGGTAATATCTGTAGTTACTTGTGCTTTCAGTAACTTTAACAAAATATTTTCTTAAAAAATTACTTTATAAACATATAAAATTAAATTGTATCACGCCTTAATTGCATACCAAAAATATTATTCAAATTCAGTATGTACTTTATTACCAGATTAATTAATTATTTATACAAATTGTATAAGTAGTTACAGATTGATAAAAACTCTTTGGTTATTAACCAAAGTAATTTTGGTATATAAAATAGCATTTACATAATGTACCTTCATTACAATTCCGTTTCAATAATTTGTATAGTTAGTTACTTTATATTTTAAAAAATTATTTTATTTGCCCTTTTCAAATTCTTTTTCATTAAATATTTCGACTGTTTCAATATATGGTTTTTGGTAATTGGAACCTGATATGAGATTAATCTTTATCGCTAAGTATATGAATTTTTAAAATTTAAATATAGTAAAGAAGTCACAGAAAGTATTGAAAAACGTTTTTGTAACAAAATAAATGTAAATTAATATAATACTGAAAAATTTTGTAGTTTTCAAGAGACAATTACTGATAAAACCATCTCAAATATTTATTTTGTTGGAATTTGAAAATAAAGAAAACTATTAATTTCAAAAAATATTTATATGTCCCTGTAATTCATACAAATAATTTTAAACCAATTTTTGTAAAAAAGATTTATCATAGCAATTCATTTTTGGAATGGGTGCTCTGATAGTTAACATAGAGCATACAATACACTATTATTACAACACGGCACATGAATTACGCCATCTTGTTTTATCTTTTACAATTCACAAACGTCACCTTTCCTTTGGTGAGCAAGGTGCGTTCACGTGAGGTTGTGTGGTCCCCAGCAAAAGGTCACACAATCCTCATCATTTCGTGAAATATCTTGTAAAATATAAAAAAAAAATATAAAATTAACAAAAATCCAAAAAAATAGTAAAATAATTTAAAAAACCAACGGGAATCATTCGCTTTTAAGTTAGTGTACGTAAGCGTGCAACGTGGTCTAAGGAATGCGATAGGTAATCGTAAAGAGAAAGTGAAGTAGCTTTTGTACTGTTGTTTAATGATTTTTACACGAAGGTCACAATAAAATTATTAAAATGAATCCTGGACCACCAAATTATCCGATGGCATCGCTATATGTCGGGGACTTGCACTCCGACATCACCGAGGCCATGTTGTTTGAAAAATTTTCTCCTGCTGGTCCTGTTCTCTCTATTCGCGTATGCAGAGATATGATAACTCGTAGGTCTCTTGGGTACGCTTACGTAAATTTTCAGCAGCCTTCTGATGGTAAGTAATATAACAAATTTTTAGATAAGATTTTTTTTCTATAATTTTTTGTCTTAATGTAAAAGTGATATTACTCATTAAATTCTTTATAAGCCTTAACAGTAACCAATATTTGTTTATTGAAAATTAATTACATAATTGTGTAAGATTTTCCTTTAAGTAATACTTTCTAAACACTAACAAGATAGTGGGGCTGACCAGTGGCCTTGATGCATTGTAATTTGTAATATAAAGAATTGACGAACTTGTAAATTGGATTCTTTTGATTGTAGCCATACATATAGTTACTAATATGTAATGTTTCTGTCTAAAATCACTAAAATATTTCTTAAGTACAACTATTTCATAAAAAAATTCCAAAAAGCATTAAATATCTGACCCATTATGCTTAATTTATAGAGTAATTAAACTTTTAATTATAACTAAAAACCATTTGTATAATTACACAAAGTGATTATTTTTATCAATTCTGATAATTACAGCATATTTATATTACTAACACTACTTGAAACTTGATATCATTTATGTATTTGTAACTAACTGCAATGACTTATGTACTGTTAATAGTTGCGTTTACAATTTATATAACTCCAAAATGTACATTTGTCCATGACTCATAAAATTAGATAGTATTTAATAAAAACTTGAAGTTAAATACTTTTTTCAAAATCCTTTTTAAATTTTGTCTGGATGTATGATTAAAATTTATGAAAATAATAAAATTCTTAATATAATTGATTTTGATGTCACAGATTTTATACAATTGTTATTTTTTGGTTTCAGCCGAAAGAGCATTAGACACTATGAATTTTGATATGATCAAAGGTAGGCCAATCAGAATTATGTGGTCCCAAAGAGATCCATCCCTCCGAAAATCTGGAGTTGGAAATGTTTTCATTAAAAATCTTGACAAAGAAATAGATAACAAGGCCATGTATGATACATTCTCTGCTTTTGGCAATATATTGAGTTGTAAGGTAGCTCAAGATGAAAATGGGGCATCTAAGGGATATGGTTTTGTCCACTTTGAAACAGAAGAAGCTGCTAATAAATCCATTGAGAAAGTAAATGGTATGTTGCTTAATGGGAAAAAGGTTTACGTAGGCAGATTTATCCCTCGTAAGGAACGCGAAAAGGAACTGGGAGAGAAAGCTAAATTGTTCACTAATGTTTACGTCAAGAACTTCGGCGAAGATTTCTCGGATGAAATGCTTAGAGATATGTTTGAAAAATATGGCAGAATAACTAGCCATAAAGTAATGTATAAAGAGGATGGCTCATCCAGAGGTTTTGGTTTCGTAGCCTTTGAAGATCCAGATGCTGCCGAAAGGGCATGTCTCGAGCTTAATGGCAAAGAACTTGTTGAAGGAAAACCTCTATATGTAGGACGTGCTCAGAAGAAAGCTGAACGCCAAAAAGAACTAAAGCGTAAATTTGAGCAGTTAAAAACTGAACGTTTGACTCGTTATCAAGGAGTTAATCTGTATGTGAAGAATTTGGATGACACGATTGATGATGAGAGACTCCGGAAGGAATTCGCGCCATTTGGTACTATTACTTCAGCCAAGGTAATTCAAGGACACTTTAATATTACATTATTCTATTTATAAACTTGGAAATGTTCAATATTTTAACTCAACTTTATATAACTTTTCAGGTCATGTTGGAAGATGGTCGTAGCAAAGGCTTTGGGTTTGTATGTTTCTCATCTCCTGAAGAAGCTACTAAAGCTGTTACTGAAATGAATGGAAGAATTGTAGGAACTAAACCTCTTTATGTAGCTCTTGCTCAACGGAAAGAAGACCGCAAAGCTCATTTGACTTCCCAATACATGCAACGCATGGCAAGTATGAGAATGCAACAAATGGGCCAGATATTCCAACCAGGCAGCGCTGGGGGCTACTTCGTCCCAACTATTCCTCCAGCCCAAAGATTCTATGGCCCTGCTCAAATTACTCAGATGAGACCTTCACAGAGATGGACTGCACAGCCTCCTGTAAGACCCAGCACTCAAACTGCTGCTTCAGCATATCCAAACATGCAAGCACCATTTAGACCCACTACACGTGGACCAACTCAAACAGCTTTGCGCACTTCTCTTGGAGCTAGACCTATAACAGGTCAACAGGGTGTAGCTGCAGCACCATCCATTCGTGCACCTCTTGTACCAAGCGGCCGTACTGCTGGCTACAAATATACATCAACTGTGCGCAACCCACCAGCTCCACAGCCAGCTGTTCATATCCAGGGTCAAGAGCCATTGACAGCCTCCATGTTAGCTGCTGCACCACTTCAAGAACAAAAACAAATGCTCGGAGAACGTCTCTTCCCTCTCATTCAGAGAATGCACCCTGATCTTGCTGGCAAAATTACTGGAATGCTTCTAGAAATAGATAATTCTGAACTTTTACATATGTTAGAGCATGGAGAGTCTCTTAAAGCGAAGGTTGATGAGGCTGTTGCTGTTTTGCAAGCTCACCAAGCTAAACAGCAAGCCACTAAGAAAGATTAAGTTTATTTGACAAGGTGGACTCTTTTTTTACTATATTCTTAATAATATTTGTTATAAACATCTTTTATATGTATTAGTAAGTGTCCCGGTCAAAAAAATATAATAATAAAAATTGAAAAAAATACAAAAAATGTGGATTGCACTATTCCATGATATATAACTTTTATTATAATGTTGGAAGTGCATATCTACAACAAAAATATGCAACTATCACATTTCTATGTATGAAACAGTTTATGCTAGCAAGCATTTTGACTTTCTATATTGACCAAGAAGTTGATTTAAGTTAGTCTTTATCTTTTCTTTATATTCTTCTCCTAGAAAGGAGTTTGCTTTTGTTCTTGCAATTTTCTGTCCTTCTTATTTTTGTCGTCGGTTTTACATTGGCTATACCTAGTGTTGAAAGCTCGGTCTCTGATGTAACTGATTGTAATTTGTACTATGTTACATATTATATTCAAAAATATTCATAATATTTAATGATGTTTTATTTCTACCAATAATCATCCTATCTTATGTAGTGTTTAAATGAATACATGTTTCTTTGACATAATATAAATTTGAGGTGATATTTCTAATCACAAAGGTAATCCTTATAATAAAAATTACAGACTTAAATGTGAAATAGTTAAGTAACACTTAAGGTAACAAAACATATTTACTCATACAAGATTAAATTTAAGTATTTGTATTCAAATAATTTATCCGTTATAATCAAGATGGATAGATAATTATCATAGCATTAAGCAATATTTTTTCACATCGGCTGCTATAAACAAATATTTAATGGAGACATGATAAAATCCGATAATTTGTAAAAATGTAAGTTATATATTTAAAGCTATTTCAAAAATCCATTAATTGTATATTGGTGATAGTTTTTTGTTTCGAAAACTTTCTCAAGTGGAAGTTTAAACGTCTCATAAATCATATCTCTATTGCTAGAAGAAAGACTAAGAAGTTTTTAACTTATTGTCAACAATATTTATTGGTATAATTTTTTTTCCACCTTACAGATAAGAATAGGAAGACCAGAACAAAAAATACACGTTTATCTGATTTAAACGGTTTATTAGAAGATTTTTAACCTGTAAAAGCATTTGACAGGTCGTAACTGAACCTAAAAATTTCATATTTTTTTAGCACTTATTAAATTGTTTACATATGCAAGTATAACCATAATACAAACATTGTATAAAATCATATGAAGTTTCAATTAATTTAAAATTTCTTGGTTTGAGAATTTGATTTCATGGTTTAGTTACCTATTTATTCCAACTAGGTATATCTATTGATATTGTCTTTTTTATAATCTGTATCTTGAATTTTCATTATGGTGCTGTGAGTGTGATCTTGCGAATTTCCAAGACCAAATTTTATATATCCCCTAGTTCTTGCGTTTAAACTAAATTCTGCAAAATAATTTTCATCAAACAAAAATGGAGGATAATAAAATGAGCCAATCTGAAGAGTTTCAAAAATTAAATGAAGAAAAAAATCCTAAAAAGAAAAATAAGAATAAAAAAAAGCGTATCATTGGAGATGGTGATAATGGTGGTGCTCAGTCGGCGGATGGATTAGCACTTTCTAACTTAAAAGATATTCAACAAAACATATCTTTGAAAGATCTTAAAACGGCTATGGAAGTCCTTAATTTGCAGCAAAAACCGGCGAAAACAACCGAGGAAGCTCTGCATAAATCTTATCAATTTTGGTCAACTCAACCAGTACCTAAAATGTATGAAAAAGTTATAACCAACGAACCTATTGAACCACCCAAGTCTACCGATGAAATCCGTTCTGAGCCTTATTCATTGCCTGAGGGTTTTCATTGGGATACTCTTAATCTAAACGAACCTTTGGTTTTAAAAGAGCTATATACTTTATTAAACGAAAATTATGTAGAAGACGATGACTGTATGTTCCGATTTGACTATCAAACTGATTTCTTAAAATGGGCTCTTCAGCCTCCTGGTTGGAGAATGGAGTGGCATTGTGGAGTGCGTGTAGTGAAGTCTGGTAGATTAGTTGGTTTTATATCTGCAATACCAGCAACACTAAGAATTTATGAAAAAATACAAACTGTTGTTGAAATTAACTTTTTGTGTGTCCATAAGAAACTGCGTGCTAAACGTGTCGCTCCAGTGTTGATAAGAGAAATCACCCGTAGAGTTAATTTGACAGGAATATTTCAAGGTGTCTACACGGCTGGTATTGTTTTGCCAACACCCATTGCTACTTGTCGATATTGGCATAGATCTTTAAACCCTAAGAAACTTATTGATGTTAAATTCAGTCACCTATCTAGAAATATGACGATGCAAAGGACCCTTAAATTATTTAAGTTGCCAGATGCACCAAAAACATCAGGTTTTAGAAAAATGGAAGTTAAAGATTCCGATAAAGTTGTTAAACTTTTGAATGATTACTTACAAAAATTTGATTTAGTGCCAATATTCTCAGAAGAGGAATTCAAACATTGGTTTATACCGCAGGCGGAAATTATAGATAGTTATGTTGTTGAAGCTTCTGATGGAAGTATCACAGATTTTGTGAGTTATTATACATTACCGTCCACTGTTGTCTATCATCCTGTTCATAAGACCATAAAAGCTGCTTACTCATTTTACAATGTCTCCACTAAAACACCATGGGTGGATTTAATGTTAGATGCATTGATTACGGCCAAGAACTCTGGATTTGATGTGTTCAATGCCTTAGACCTAATGGAAAACAAAGAGTTCCTAGAGCCTCTCAAATTTGGTATCGGAGATGGAAATCTACAATACTACTTGTATAATTGGAGATGTCCGAGCATTACATCAAATAAAATTGGTTTGGTTCTGCAATAGTGTTGAATATGAATTTTAATCATACATTTTTGTATTTTACACACAACATGTAGTATGTTTATTTTGGATTATAAGGAGGTGTAATAAATTAAATAACAAAAAATATTTAATATTTATTTCATTATTTTATAAAATATAGCATTATGTATTCAGAAAATATATATGCAAATTAGACATGGTTTTTTTTAATTCTAATGTATTGTACTTTATTATCACATATTAATTAGTATTCATATAATAAAATGTGCAATCAATATTTTGTTTAAGCTTAGATTTGTATGCAAAATGAGTTATAGACAACAACATTTTGTAATTTTTTTATTATATACCCCTATAGAAAATTAGATCTTATATCTGGCTTGTATCTGGTTGGATACAATTGTTTCATATCAATGTGCTTAGTGCTTAATAAAAAAAACTTGTTCCATTGATGTTATAAAGTAAAAAAAATAATACAATTCATATCTATGATAAAATGTTGCAACCATGTGAAGTTGAAGTGTTCCAAAAGGTAAATGTAATGTAATAAAGAAAAGTAGTATGAAACATTCCAACAGAACAAACACTATACCAATGACTAAGTCAGGAATCTATTATTATTTTATAAGAATATTAAACAAAGGGTTAAATTACAGGGATGTAATTATTTATTTAAAAGTAATGAAACATTTAACAGATATTATTGACCAATTTAAGTGATATTAAAGTTTACCATTATTAATTGTTTTGGCTTTTTACCATGCGATGTCTAGTATCTGTTAATTTTGTATTGAATTATTATCTGTCATATGTGTTTTTAGGTTGCCCATTTTGTTCTACAATTTGTTTAATCGGCTTGAACAGTATCAACATTATTTTTGTTTACATAAGAACTACTATTGAATAACAAACATCGAAGCAAAGTCTGTAATGTTTCTCTGTGTAATTAGTATTAAATTAATTAAACTATCCCACTTCTTTTATTTAATTTTGCTCTGTTGTTTATATTTAGTACCTGACACCCGTTAAAATTGCCCTCATGGCTCGTATCACAGTGCTTTTTTTAGCAGCTAAAATATAAAAAATTATGTATATATCATGAGGGTTTCGCTTTTCAAAAAAAAAAATTACTGAAATTCATATTTAATGTTTATAAAAAAAATAAGATATGTAACATGGTATATTGCCATGAATTTTATTACTAAACGTATAAAATTTTTGGTGACATCAATTTCAGTGAAGGAAATAATAGTTTGTGAATTTTAATTTAATAATTGTCCACTTAATATTTGTTTTTTTTACATGTAAATGGTAAGCAATACAATAGGTAATATTTTGTATTTAAATATTATCAATTAACCCATAGATTCTAGATTCAACCAATATTTTTTTGTCCTCAAATTGTTCGAATCCGGTGCTCTATAATATGTTAAAAAAAACGTATGTTTTTTGACAACTTGGTATGTTTTGACATTTCTTTTTGAATTGTGCGTTTAACTCTGTGGTTAGTGTAATTTATAAATCAGAAATTATTTTAAATATCACTATTTATTTTTCAATGTATATGCGTGTTAATACTTTATTTATTAATAGAGTAAACGGCCAAGATAATATTTCGTGATTATTTTGACATATAACATTTTAATTTTTTAGGTGAAGTAGGGTTATCGCAATCATGGGGAAGGGAAATAATATGATTCCTAATGGCCATTTCCATAAGGATTGGCAGAGATTTGTTAAAACTTGGTTCAACCAACCGGCCAGAAAACACCGAAGGAGACAAAACAGAATTAAGAAGGCTAAAGCTATCGCTCCTCGTCCCGCTGCAGGCCCTCTGAGGCCGGTAGTTCGTTGTCCAACCGTGAGATACCACACTAAAGTACGTGCTGGTCGTGGATTCACCCTCCGTGAAATAAGGGTAAATATTCATTGAATGCATACTTTATATTTATAATTGGACTAGGTACACCTGAAACACTGTTTAACTTCATTGATTAAAAAAATGGTCAAGTAGTTTATGATTAGCGTTATAGTCACCTAAAGACTAACAATAGTATTTGATTTGTTAGACGTTTTTGATTATTCATATTAATTAGTTATCTTAGTAATGTAAATGTTTTGAAACATTAAATAGACTGATTTATATAATTAAACAAAATTAATTTAAAAATTCTCTACTATTATTTATATATTAGTTATAGTGATATATTAATTTATTTCTAGGCTTCAGGCTTGAACCCAGCATTTGCCAGGACTATTGGCATTTCTGTTGACCCTAGAAGACGTAACAAGTCTGTAGAGTCTCTGCAGATGAATGTACAGAGATTAAAGGAGTACCGCGCTCGTCTAATCCTGTTCCCTAAGGGCAAGAAGGTAGATCAAAATTCTAACATACATCTGTAATATTTAACACTGGAATGTTTTAGATATAGGAATTCTTATCTGCTATATATTTTATCAGGTACTGAAGGGTGAAGCCTCAGAGGAAGAACGTAAGTTGGCCACTCAGCTGAGAGGACCTCTGATGCCTGTACAGCAACCAGCACCTAAATCCAGTGCTCGTGTCATTACTGAGGAAGAAAAAGACTTCAAAGCCTACCAATACCTAAGAGGGGTAAGTTTTTTTATAGTTACCAATTCACAAGCTTTTTAGTCTTATGTTAGAACAGTAGGTTTTTTGCAATTTATGTTTTAATCAAAGAATATAGTATTTAATATATTCATTAGCATACTTAATAATTCATTTTATAGAAATATAATTTTTTTCTAATACTAAGTCAATTTTCAGACAAATACTTATAAAATAATTTTAATTAAATTATTTGCACGTCTAATATAATTTTTCTCATCCAGGCTCGTTCCATTGCTAAGCTTGTTGGTATCCGTGCTAAGCGTCTTAAGGACGCAGCAGAGAATCCTGACGATGTCACCAAGGCGCCCACAGCTGTCAAGGAAGGCAAAGCTAAGAAGTGAATAAATAAGGATAATCTTTACACTATTGTTTCAATTAATGGTCCTTACCTAAAATCATAAATTCGAGTAAATAATAATAAAATCGAAACCAAAGCACTATTTTAATAATCCCAGTATGTACAAGGAAGTCAAGGTGGCTAGTAAGCAGGTTTATGTTATACACTAGAAACTGCTAAACACGCAACAACAGTTATTTCCACTACCGTAGGTTTAAGGGATTAAAATATTACATACTGTGACTAAAGGTTCTGAAATGTAATGATACCACTCAAAAATATGATCAAGTCTCCAAGCAATCGCATTGAACACATAGTTTACATTTATAACATAACAGATTAATTACTTTTATAATCATTAATTTGATAGTACTTGACGTGTCATCCGATGGTAGTCGAAATTAAGTCCTAAATGGTGGACCTCTCACTAAAAGCCTATTTGCTTTTTTTAAAAGGTGTCCTAGTTTTAAATGCAAAAGTGTTCGAAATTGTACATGTTTTTATACGTTTTTTTCATATTTTCAAAGTTTAATTTCTTAGATACTTTACCTTATCTAAAAAATTATCGTGTTATTAAATTAAAGAAAACAGTACAGTGTACTTTTTAAATTTTTTACCTGGCATTTAAAAATTTGGGTTACCTATACATGTAATACACAATGGATTTCTACCCTGGTATATATTTTGTACCCCTGTAATAAATAAACCAATTTTCCTCTCCTTCTTTCTTGTAGACAAACTTTTTTTTTCTCTATTATAAAAAATAACGCATGGTCTTGTCAAACTAACTATGTCCAAAAACAAGTAATTTTTAAAAAATGTAATTTAGTTTTCCAGAGTTATTGTGTTTTAGTTTTTAATTTTATTTCGACAATATAGTAATATTTAAACGTATGTATATTTACATTGTTCACTGCGGCAACTTGTTTCAAGTCGATAGACTTTGTTTCATCAACATATCATAAATTTTTATTTTCCAATCTTTTGTAGAAGCTGTATAAAAGATGCAATAACCATAATTGTAATACAAATTTTAATATATTTTTTTATCTATTTATTGTTTAAAAAAGATGTTAATGTAGTACTTAAAAATAATATATTTCACTTCATTGATATATTATACATATAATCATCACTTGATTGAAAAGAGTTCCGTTTGTTATAGTGTTATTGGCATAGTGGATATTTTTGGTACAAATAACTGGTAAAAAACTCGGTAAATTCACAAAGAACAAAAATTCTTCATATTATGCCACTTGACGAAAGTAAATTCATGTTAATTCCATTATATGTCAAACAGGCATTGCTATCGTTTCAAGTGTTTAAATGTTAAATACAATTTTGATAAATAATATATGAGACTAATGTGTGAACTTAGAATGCTTAGCCACTTTATAGCTTGTTTAATAATGTATGTAAGATTTTTCTTGATGATGCCACCTTAAGGTTGACGTGAAACTTTTTCAAACCTACACTATACATATAATATTAACGTGATCCCAAAATATAAACAAACTTCAACGAGTTAACATATTTTGTACAGACTGTTATATTCTTCCGTTTCCTTTTTATATACTCACTAGCTTTCCGTTCGCAGCTTCGCCCGCGTGGAGTTCTGTTATATCGCGTTTCCAAGGGAACCTTTCAAAAGTCTGGGATAAAAACTATCCTATGTTCTTTCTCAAGGTCAACTCTCTCTACCAAATTTCATTAAAATCAGTTCAGTAGTTTAGGTGTGAAAGTGTAACAGACAGACAGGGTTACTTTCGCATTTATAATATTAGTAAGAATAACCAAGTACATGTATTGCTTCCGGCTAATATTTTAAACATTCTACTTCTTCTCAGTTCTCGTAAAATATTGTAACGCCATGCCATAAGTGCCATGCCATGCCAAGCCCAGCCAAGCCACCGCCTGAGCCAGGCGGAAGTATTGCCGTGACAGTATGCCGCCGAAACTGTCTTAGCCAATCACAGAGCTTAGCCAATCATAGCGTTTGACCAATCAGCGAGAGCGTCAGTGGCGTCACATCGTTTAATTTTGGAATTGCAGGGGGATTGAGAGAAGATACCCTGGAAGGAAAGGACCTCTCTCGTGACGGAGTGCTAGAGGAATCTCTGATAGTGTACCTACGGGATTGTGTGAAAAGTAATAAACGCCAGATTAAACTAAAGTGTGTATAATTATTGTCCTCCCGTTTCACTCAGAAGTGGGATATGAAGCGCAGTCGTCCTAACGAAGCTGGGTGTAGTGTCCGCCCTCCAGGATGGAGCGAAAATCAAGACGATAGTGACGAGGAAGAAAATAATTCACTTCCACCTGCAAGGAAAATATTGAAGTCATTGTTAGAAAATGAAGTCGAAAAAGCAATTTACAACCTTAATGACGACACTATTTCGTTCAACCACGTCAAGAGTCATCGTGCAGCATCCCTTATTCCCGAATTCGATCCCGATGGTGAAGATTGCACCGTAACTTCGTGGTTAAAGAAGATTGATCAATTAGGAGACATACATGGGTGGGACGAGAAAATCAAAGCTTTTTACCTGCAGGATAAATTACGTGGTCAAGCTCGCAAATGGTACAACAGACTTGAAAACTACGATTACTCCTGGGCCGAATGGAAACATATGCTGGTACGAGCCTTTCCAAAACATCGCGACTTTAGCCTACTATTAAACGAAATGATGCAAAGAAGGAAGCTACCAAACGAGACGATGACCAAATATTATCAAGACAAAATTGCTATGTGCTTCCGTTGCCATTTATCTGATAGTGCTAGTGTATCGTGTATCATCAGAGGATTACCCGTATACCTACAACCGAATGCCCGAGCGTTTCAATGCCAACGTCCTGATGAGTTATATGAATCTTTCCTCTGTGCTCTTGATGATTATCATTCTCCCACATTTGAACCTCGGATGATGACCAAAGACACGAAACAATCGTCGAGTTCGGATAAAAAAGTCAATCCTGAAATTGATCCTTGCCCCCGTTGTAAGAAGACCGGCCACATGTTGCGCAACTGTACATTACCGGATCAACGTATTTGTTTTAAATGTGGTCAACAAGGACACATCGCCACTCGCTGCTCCGGCACTTCGGCTAGCAACTCCAGACGTTCTATGGAATCAAATGACAACATTAAAGAGGTTAGAATGGTGCAAAACTACAACGAAATCTACAAAAAGGTAGCAAAGGTGAATGGAATTTATATTAAGTCTTACATTGACACCGGAAGCCAAGTTAACGTTATAAATGTCCAGATGGTGAGTCTCTTGTCGCTCGATGTTACACCTACAAGTACACGGCTCAAAAGCTTTTCAGGTGATTTTTTGACTAGTCGTGGAGTAGTAGAATTTGAGTTAGAAATTGATAATATTCACATACAATGCACGGCACATGTGACGGAGGCCGACATGCAAGATATTCACCTACTGATTGGCCAACCCGTTATCAATGCAGAACATGTATCGTTAGTAGTCACTAATGGGAGAGCCACATTGACTCGGAAAACAGATGTCTCGCCAGAATTCGATGTCGTCGAAGACAAGAATAAATTTATGGTTACTACATTGAACAAGGAGTCTTTACCGCCTGGTGCCTCCATCATTAAGGTTAGGGTGGTCGGTAATGGAGATGGGAATGAAGTTTGCACCACACCACGCCACTACGAACTCCATGGTGTCTCATATTCTCTACCGGCAACGTTGCTTCAAGGCGGAGAGGGTTACATGAAGGTGGTAAACAGTGGTACAGGGGACGTCAACTGGGAAGCGGGCCAGGTTCTAGCGCGTGCCGAGAGCTGTCATGAAGTAGCCAACCAGCCAACTCGAGTAAGCCAAGCCAAACCATTAACAAATTTACTTAAAATCATGCCAAATACGCCCTACTTAGCCAAAAGCTCACCTGAATCAAAATCTATAGCTCCTATTTTGAATACAGACGATCTTTCTAGTTTAATCATAGGAGGAGTACCTATAAGTGAAATTAGTGTAGGAAAGTTAAATGAAGTCGAACATAGTAGTTTGATACAATTACTATTGCGATTTAAGCACACTTTTGCGGCAAATACTAGAGATCTCGGTTGCACAAAACTGTTAGAAATGAAAATAAAACTTACGACTCCACAACCAATATATCGTCAACCTTATAGGTTATCGCATGCTGAGCAGCAAATTGTCAATTCTAAAGTTCGTGACCTACTAGATGCCTCTATCATTAAAGAGTCGGAATCGAGTTACGCTGCTCCAGTTATTTTAGTTAGGAAAAAGAACGGCGACAGTCGTTTATGTGTTGACTATCGTGCCCTCAATAATGTCACAGTAAAAGATAGATATCCTCTCCCTAATATAGAAGACCAGATTTCTAAATTAGCCGGTAAAAAGTATTTTACAATTTTAGATATGGCACAAAGTTACCATCAATTATTATTAGCTCCCGAAGACACCCATAAGACAGCTTTTATTACTCCTCAGGGTCATTGCGAATACTTACGTGTTCCTTTTGGATTAGCGAATGCACCCTCGGTTTTTATGCGTCTCGTAAACAAAATAGTCGATTCCATCCGTTATACGTCAGATGGCAGCTCCTCGAATGAGATTTTAGCATTCTTAGACGATTTATTACTTCCCTCTATTGATATAAACAGTGGCATAAAAATGTTAGAATCAATATTGCGAAAGTTCGAATCTGAAAACTTAAAACTAAATATGCAAAAATGTTCATTTCTTCAAGACAAAGTCACTTACTTAGGACACGAAATTACTTCAAAAGGTGTTCAACCCTCAGATTCAAAATTAGATGCCGTTTCAAAGTTCCCTGTGCCTAAAAGCGTTCACGAGGTACGCCAATTTATCGGCCTCTGTAGTTACTTCCGAAAATTTATAAACAAATTTGCAATTATAGCTCGTCCTCTGACAGAACTAACTAGAAAAAATGTGCCTTGGGTATGGAGCGATAAACAGGACGGTAGTTTTAAGGAGTTAAAAAAGCGTTTGTGCTCTAAACCAGTGGTAGCATTATATGATCCGACACTACATACAGAAATACATACCGATGCGTGCAAGTTAGGAGTCGCAGGTATTTTGTTACAGCTGCAATCAGATAATACGTTGCGCCCAGTTATGTATTTTAGTCGAGTAACCTCTAAAGAAGAAAGTATTTATCATAGCTATGAGCTTGAAACATTAGCGGTAGTAGAATCATTGCGAAAATTTCGCGTGTACGTCATAGGCAAACATGTGAAAGTAGTAACGGACTGTACGGCTGTTCGTGCCACTCTTACAAAACGGGATATCATTCCGCGAATTGCTAGGTGGTGGTTATCGATACAAGAGTACGACATTAGCGTTGAATATAGACCCGGCGAACGCATGAAACATGTTGATGCTTTAAGTAGGAATCCTATTGACACAGTCAATATAAATCGTCTCGAAATTGCTGACTGGTTTTATACGATTCAATATCAGGATGACAAACTAAGAAATATCATGGAGCAGTTGAAAAACGGATCGGCTCAGCCCGAGATACTCAACAATTATGAGTTGTTAGATAATAGATTATACCGTAAGACACTAAATGGCAATCGGTTAGTAGTTCCCGGACTTGCGAAGTGGAAAATTGTCCAAATGCACCATGATGATATTGGTCATGTGGGTTTAAAGCGCTGTACTGATCTAATAAAACGTGAGTTTTGGTTTCCTAAAATGTCGCGGTTCATCAAAAAGTATGTCACTTCTTGTTTACATTGTGCTTATGGGAAGGGGATATATGGCAGGAAGGAAGGATTACTTCATCCTATACCTAAGCCAACGGAACCATTTAGAATGATACATGTTGATCATTTAGGCCCATTTTGTAAGACTAAGAAAGGTTATGCGTATATGTTAGTAATAACCGACGCGTTTTCTAAATTCGTTATAGCAGAACCTACTAGAACTATTAATTCAATAGAAACAATTAGAATACTCAAAAGAATATTCTCATTATTTGGATATCCTGATAGGATAGTAACGGATCACGGCAAGGCGTTTACAAGCCGGTATTTCAAAAAGTATGCTTCCGAAAAGCAATTCAAACATACACTTAATGCAATAGCGTGCCCGCGTGCTAACGGCCAAGTCGAACGAACAAATAGGACTATACTCGATGCATTGCGCGCTACCGACCCTAGTGAAGCTGCTAATAACTGGTCTAATTGTTTGCCTGATATCATTTGGGGTATAAACAATACCATAAATGATACCACGGGTATTAAGCCTTACGACTTAGTGTTCGCGCGTAGTGCTAGGCCTGTGTGTAATGTAACAATACCAGGTCGTATACCTGAATCTATTCAGTCAAGGCGTGAGAAAGCTAATAAACGTATTAAAAGGGCCAGTATTAAGATAAAACGTAACTTTGATAAACGACGTAAAGCCTGTCATATTTACAAAAGAGGAGACCTAGTTTTATGGAAAAAAGCTCCTACAAGTAGTGCTGCTAAGGTTAATACTAAACTTGATGACTTATATTCCGGACCTTATATTATCATTAAGTGTATTGGTAATGACAGATACAGGATTAGAAGCATTAAGGGTCTAAGAGGTTATAAAAACTTTACGGGTCTAGTCTCTGGCGATAGTCTGCGACCCTATCATAGCGTAGCTCCTGTATCTGACAGTGCCAGCAGTTCCGATGAGCAATTGGAGACGGAAGACTTAATTGATCTTCTGGAAAGCTAATAACCATTGCGGGAGCAATTATTGTAGGATGGCCGACTGTAACGCCATGCCATAAGTGCCATGCCATGCCAAGCCCAGCCAAGCCACCGCCTGAGCCAGGCGGAAGTATTGCCGTGACAGTATGCCGCCGAAACTGTCTTAGCCAATCACAGAGCTTAGCCAATCATAGCGTTTGACCAATCAGCGAGAGCGTCAGTGGCGTCACATCGTTTAATTTTGGAATTGCAGGGGGATTGAGAGAAGATACCCTGGAAGGAAAGGACGTCTCTCGTGACGGAGTGCTAGAGGAATCTCTGATAGTGTACCTACGGGATTGTGTGAAAAGTAATAAACGCCAGATTAAACTAAAGTGTGTATAATTATTGTCCTCCCGTTTCAATATAGATAGATATCTAATATGATGTCCCTTGTGTCAAAATGTTCATGCCGTTTTTTTTGTGTGTAGTTTTGAGCAATAAATGCAATGTACGAAAGGCAAGCTATAATCAGTATCTAAAATAGTTAGACATTTGTAAAAAATCTGTTTTGTCTACTCTCCTCATATTAAAGACAGTTAAAATTTAGGGACTAAAATAAAACACTCAGAAATACAGTTAAAAACAAACGCATTTATTAACTAAGAAATCGTATCATTACTATAGTAAAGAGCTTATGTAACACTATTTTCTAAATTTTAGATATTTCTTACAAATTAATTATATGAATGAAATTATATTGTTATTCCAATACGAATCTTAAATCGAAAACTCAAATAGATGTTTTTACTTCTGCATTTGCTTTTTCATTGGAGATTTCTTCTTTAGCATCCTCGCCTTCTTCTAAGTCAGCCTTTGGTTTTTTATCACTTTTACGAAATTTATCATACCTATAACAATAGCGTTATATCACTGGTTAATAATATCTTGTTATATATTGTGAAAATGAAATTGCACCTTATTTTTTACTGACTACCTTCCAAGGTCTTCGTCATCGTCACTCGCTTCATTCCCCTGTGGATCCACTTCTCTTAATAACTCGCCAATATCTTTATCCACATCAGCCCACAATTTATCTTCGCTTCCTATGATAAAAAAAGTTTGCAAATAATTTTTTTCTGAAAATTACCTATTACATTTTTATTTTATTTTGTTTTACAAACCAGAAATATTTGACAGATCATTCCCATTTTCCAAATTTGCGTTTTCAACAGATGGTTCTTTTTTTTCTGTTTTCTCCTTCTCGGATACTTCTTCAGAAGCGGCAACATCTTTTTCATCTTCTGTAATGAGTTAACGCATTTTACATATTTGTCTAATGGATCAATAATGACACATTTAGTTGTATACATACATATATTGACTTAAACTGATTACTTGTAAGGCTTTTCTGTATTAAAGTGTTCCAGTGTATATAATAACACTAGTAAAAACCTTTATTTATAGAAAAAATAAAAAATCAACACTTACAATACCAAACTGAAGTTTAAAACTTATAATTCTTCTAGAATCAACCTAATGTGTACACATGTAATATCTATTATATATTGTTGGTATGGGGTACCTTTTTGTTGGTGTAGCTGACGGTGTATTCTCTCAGCGTGGCGCCGTAGTGTGCGCGTGTCCCGGTGCTGCACGTACCGTCCAAGGTGTACTCGCAGACGACAGTGACGACGAAGAGCCTCCGCCTCCTCCGCACTACCAGCTTCTACACGCGGCAAATACACGCGACATAGCTCGCACCAGTGAACCTAACACACAAACCATTACAAAACCAACTCCTCAATTATTAAGGCAAAATTGGAGTTAAATATGTTTACCTCCAACTTCTTAATATGCTCGCTGCCTATATTTATCTCAACTTTTGTTTTCTTTGGGGCGGATTCATCTTTTTTCTCGCCGCCGGAGTCATCATCTTCAACTTCTAAAAATATATATTATTATAATAAGGTGATCGTGAGGCTCTTATTGTTTTAAATACATATAATAGTCCACCCACCGTCAACATCACCCACTGAGTCCAACGTCATGAAGTTATCCAGATCCACGTCCATACCCTCATCAGCACTAGCTTCCGCCTTCGGGCTGGCCCGTCGAGCGTTAAGACTGGCCTTTTTCTAAAAAAATAAATAATTCACATTAGCTTTGGAAACATTTTAGATTACTTGTAATATTTATAAGAGCCATACCTTAAGATGTTCAACGGAACAAATATGATGTTCGTATATCATCGGTGAGCGGAAAGTGATGCGACAGATGCGGCAGAACGGCATCAGGAGTCGTTTCATGGCACGGTGAGTGTCGGTGAGGTTATGCGCGTGTCGCGTGGTACGGTGGTTGAGGCGACACACGAGACAGAACGTGGTACGGGCCGCCAGCTCGGCGCCTGCCGAAGCCTCTAGGTCCCTCTGCGCGCCTCGCTGAGCTACACGCATGCGTAGCAACTCCAGCTTATGGCGACGAGCCACTGAACTCATAGCGGCACGATGCTTGCTCGACAAAAGGTGTTTGGTGTAACTCTGGAGATTTATATTATGGTTAATATTATCAAAAAGAAATATAGTTCTAAGCACTTAGTACTTATAAGAGCTTACAGAACAACATAAAAGGCTCATAAATAATTTTATAGTATTAAACAAACATTTATTAATAATTGTTACTGTGGTACTTACTCCAAAAGTAGCACATTTCTCTTTACAGTGAACACAGGAAAGATGTACATATGGACGTGATGGAGCCGTATCTGACGCAGCATCCGGTTCTTTATCAGTGTCCTCTCCGCCCTCACCTGCCTCACCCTCTGACCCCTCGACCTCTGGTGCCTTTATATAAATAATATTTTATTTGGCTGTTTAAAATTAATAATATAGCTTACCAAAAGTATTACTTCAATACATACACTAACTTCTGGCGACTTGTTCTTTGTTTCTTTCTTCTCCTCTATGGCTTCCTCTTTCTCATCAGCTTCCCAATCTTCCTCTGTGGAAGACGCTTCATCTTCTTTTGATTTAACAGAGCTAATAAGCAATAAATTGAATATTGTAGTTTTTAGTCAAATCAATCAATTGTTATTGAAATTTCAATGTCATTATCAAGTTTGCATGACATTTTGGTACAGCTAGTATTAGTTATCTGATACATTAATAGTGAATATTGGGTGCCAGTGTCGATAACTGTTTCTCCATTTGAAATGTCAGTCCTTTTATTGAATAGTAAAGCCATTTTCTAAACTCTATTTGGCAGATTAAATGCTCTCATTAACTTATATCCCATTCTCAAATGATTTAAAAATATATATATTCATTTTGAAATTCCACATTTCAGTTCTTTCATAAACATTTTCACTACTGACACTCGTCTTCACTTTAAACTTAAGTAATAGATGTATTCATAGTCTGTTATCCTTGACTATGGTCTAGCAAGGCTTTTCTCATCTAAACTTTCTATTTTACCTTTGTGAATCAGGCTCACCTTCCATGGGATCGGAAACTAACTTAAACATTATTTTGCATTTAGCATTACCTTCGCCCTTTAGTAGTTCTAAATGTGCGTGTATATCCCAGCGACCTTTCACCAAATCGCCTAGAGGAGAAGGATCCTCGGGAGCGGGGCGCTCCCCTGTAGAGGGCGCGCGTGCGCAATGTTCGTCCGCGGAATGAGCGTCGCGCAGCCCTTGGCCGGGCGGGCGCCCTGAGCGGCTCTCGCGGCGGCCCCATGCCACTAGGCTTGCGGTACTCTCGGGCCGGCGACCGCCGCCTGTCCTCGCTCGCGAACGACCGCCGCTCGCCGTATCCCTCCTGTCTACCGCCGTACGAGCCGCCATAGTGACTGCCGCCATCGTGGCTACGTCTATCGCTCGATGAGCCCTGTAGATAATTCTGTTTGCATCGCTCCTATGCATATGGGAAATAAAATTCATACAAGTCATACAACTAAGTTCTTTATCTCCCTCTAGGCATTTATTTGTTTGATCATTCTTGTCTTCAAACATTTTCATATACCAGGATTGAACCAGTCGGTTAAAAGCTGTCATTTTCTAAGTGATACTAATCGGCACAGATTAGTGTTATTGTCATGCCAATGTTAAAATGGGCTCATATATAATAATTTTCATGTCACTTGCGTAACTTAATCTGGTTTAATCAATTCCTTCTATTGCATCTAATGAATAGGTAAATATAAAAAACTATTTTAAGCCTTTTTTTCTACATTTGTTTTGATCAATATCTTGGATTTCCATTTAATTGTGAGTTGCAACCAAATTAAATATTATTAAGCTTTCTTTGTATTACACATGTGTTATTTAGGATGTCACTGTTAAAATTTCTTTTTAATTGGTAGACTTTCAGTCACATATTACTGTATTATCAAGAATGGTAGAATCAAGTCTTTATATTGTATATTTATAAATATTTTTCTAGATATTCTCTTATATTGTATCATCTTTCAACTCATATACTTTTTATTGCAAAATACTTATGCGGAACTTCATAGATATACATTCATATCCTCCTAAATACCATTATTTTGGTAAATAAATATCAACATCCTTAAATTTGTCTTTTGACCTAATTTCTCACCATCCAGATGTATTCATAAATTAACAGATATATTTTGCCCTGGATTCTATATCAACTAACCTCCATTCTCATCCGTTTGCGTTCTGGAGAGCCTGATCGACCACCATAGTCACGGTTTGAATAACTAGCTGAACTTTCCTGAAAGGTCAATGTTTTCATACTCTTTATTATAGACACTGAATGTCTTGTGGGAACTTTTTGTTATTGATCAACTGGTTTTTTTGCACATTTGTGTTCAATTTATTTTGGACTAACCTTAAATTGTTGATGTAAATGCATGTAGGTGTAAAATGTATGATGCCTAAACACTGAATTAGATGTGTCGACTTAAGTAATGATAGAAATATAGCTTACAGATCTATAAGGCTTTTTATAAGTTTCTTCTATGCGATCCCGACTTGATGAATATCTGTTGGGATTGTTGCTGTTGTATCGATTTTCATTATAAGATGAGTAGCCGCCTCCTCGGCCCCCACGGCCGCCATCATATCCGCCGCGGCTGCCGCTACCACGAAATGATCCTCTATAACCGCTTCCACGCCCGCTGTAGTTACCCCGACCCCCATAACCACGTCCCCGAGATGACATCTAATTATAACTCACTCAATTAATACCTTAGAAGTTAAACAATTTGAAGGTTATCAAATAAAAGTGTAGCATATAACATTTTGAGTAGATGTTTGATATAATAAACAAATAAATTAAAGATATTGGTACGTTTTTTATATCCACAATATTCACATCGTATACCGAAAAGATTACAAATTAGTGCTATATTAAGGTTTGAATGAAGTAAAAATAAGACGCCGGTCAACGCCAAAATGGCCTCCAGATATTATTTGAAAATTGATATATAACCAACAACCTCGTAATTTTTAACTTTAAAGATATTATAATAAGTATTTTTCACTACGCACCTTAACACACTTTTATTAATTGAAGTATTGTGCAATAATACGAATGTATTTTTAAATATACATCTATTATTACTCAAACGAACCCGTTGACGGCGTTAAGTCAATGGCAACAGACATAGGGCAAGAGCAGTTTTCACAGGCCACGGAGACAAATAAAGTCAGCATATTGGGGTTACCAGGTTTCTTTAAAATAATCTTAAACTAGTTTATACAACGATGTTACGTTAAAAGTTTGGAATTGAAACTTTAATATATTTAAATTTGGTATTTTAATAAATTGTATATATTTTAGAAGAATTAATTGTGTTTTAATGACGCATGGAGTTGTAGTTATTGTTACTATGGATATCCGGAATATAGACAAATCTGGGAAAGTGCTGGCAAGGCAAGAGAAATAACTTTAGTCAAATATTTTTTAATAAGAGTCATACTTTATTTACACAATACTCGTTAGTTTATAACAAACTTCCTTCATGAATATAATAATTTTTACGTCACACTTCAGTTTTCATAAAATTATAAATAATTCAAAATTAATATAAACCATAAGTATATTTGTTGTATTGGCACAGTTCACCTCTCTTATTTCAGAGATGGTGAGTATTTTCTAGTTACTAGGCAAGATTCTAGTATAAAGTCTTTTTATGAGATTTTGACACTAAACCTCTTGTTTTGGGATCCGTATAATGGAATTTATATTTGAAAGAAGTTGTTAAATCTACAAATTTTAGAAATTCGTTCTCGATAAGATATAATTTCGGATAGATATAATTTCGGACACTATAATTTGTTTCACTTATACGGCACATAAAATTTTTGATTTTAAAAGTAAGTACTAAGGATATATTTGAAAACTATAGTTATTTTAATGTCTAGTTTAATAAATATTTAAAGAGACATGATAATTAAAAGAGAAAAAGTAAGAAAGTCTATGCAATATATATGAAATTAATTTATGTAGTTCATGTGTTCTATCTTCTAGATTTCTTCCCTGCAAAGAGTTCATTCCAATATCCTTGTAAATTCGACCGGGAATCCTGAAATAATTAAAAAAAAACTGGTTTAAAATTATCATAAACGCCACTTTAGTATAAAGATTGCGAATGTGTTAAAATAAATAAAAACAAGTTTGTTGTTTTTTTATGGTAGATTGTTTTGGAGCAAAATAAAATTTGGTTTGAATAAAAGTACTTAGTTACGTTATTAAAGATAATTTTCACTACGAATAAAATTAAAAACGATCAGAATTTTCTATAAAATTTGAATTAGCATATCCCTCTTAAATATTATGATGTTTTAAATTTTTGTCTCAATAAATTTTTAAATATATTTATGTTGCTTTAAAATTAGCAAAGTTTGTGGCCTGCTTGCCTTTTTCGCTTCTCGCCATTCCAAATTTCGTAAACGGGCTAAACCTTTCAGGTTTCGGTCTAAAATGTTCAGAAATTCTTTTCTTGTGATTTTAGGAGATGGTGTGGAACCATTGTTTGGAGCTTGTGTTGTGACAGCCTGAAAAAATTATTACAATTAACTAAGATTTTTTTTTACTATCATTATATGTTACTCGATAAATACTTCACGTAAGCTATAATTATAAAGCGTTATTAAATATTTTTAAAATAACCAAATTAGTGTTTAGTAAATTTTGAGATCTATCATAATTAAATAGTTTTTTTGGTCAAAATTACTTCTTTATAATAATACATACGTTATCGTCGACGAATTGATTGCTCACTAATTCCGAAACTTGGTTGTAAGCGCTTTTTGTATCATTAATTTGCTGAAAGATCAATAGTAAGTTAATGCATATTGATATTAATAAAAGAAGTCAATAATCCATTTCAATCAGAAAAAAAATATAACACGTAATTAAAACGATGGAAAAAAAAGGTACCTACTTATTGAGATTTGAGAATACTTAAAAGAATGGGGAGTATAAAATATTCATAAGTTATTTGTTATTACATATGAATATATTAATTAAAGTAGAACTTGGTTTTCGAAAGAGTTTTTTTTTATTGATTTTGTAAAAAGGAATTTCAATGTAAATTATTAAGTGTTTATATGTGTTACTATGTTTTTATCTAAAACTTTAAAGGAAAAAGACTATTGAAGTAGGTATATGAGGAGAGTTCAAATAATGTTTGTCTTTTATCTTTCCGTGTTTGAATAGGGAAATGTATAAAATATGTTTTTATTACAAAAATGTTCTATTACCCAACTTACCTCTAAAATAAGGTTAAATACTGTACCAAAGAAACCCCATTTAGGTTTAATTGCGACATTCTTTCCACTTTTTAATAAGGATTGTCTAATTGAACGGTCTTTTCCAATTGATTCATTTGCTAATGGCTGCAATGTATAAGCAATTGTCAACAGTTAATTATATGATACAAAAGTAGTTAAATAAGAAAAGAAAATGAAATTCTTCCTCCAGATCTATAAATACGATAGTTACTTTGATGGTTTTTATATTAAATTTTATAAGACGTAATCCGGATTTGAAATTATGTATGTAGGAAGCAAAATTGTTGACATAATATCAAAGTATTACGTATACTAACTGGTTGTGCTGCGGCTAATGCGACGACAACTATAATTCCGAGGACCAGGTAAGGAGACATCTTCTATTTATTTGTAATGCTGTCTGGTAGGTACTTCTGTTAGTCTAGATAAAGTATTGAATGTAATTTTAGCCTAATATATAATATTTATAATTTACATTTAAATTAAATAGATAAAGAGGTCATTAAGAGGCGTTTCAAATATATGGCACTAGGTCCTACTTGCGGTTTCACTCGCAATAAACTATATATTGCTTGTTTTAATAAATCATGTTACATTCTGTAGATAGGTAAATATCCATCCAGCTGTTTAAACGAGTAACATGATCTTTCACAATTATACTTACGATATAATTCTTAACACATTCAGCGGCATTTTACTAAACCTATGCAATGTTTTGAAACATTATTGGCAGTTATAAAATGTTTTTTTGGTACTTACAACATAAATAAAACATGTTATCAAATTAACTTCAAGGATGAAATAAAAACATTTTATCGGTGACTTCTGCAGTAGCATAGAAATTTGAAAATGTTATCATGTGAAGTAACTACATAATAAGCTCCTTTTTTTTTTTTTTTTCTACGAGGGGAATCTTTTAAAGACTTCCTGCCGCGGGGGAAACGCGACAGGGGCATGTGGGATTTCCACCCACTAAACCACCTCGACGTTCTCTGCGCTGTGCGTAGACTAGTGAGCGGGAACGGCAAGCCATACTTCCGCTCACTACGCACGAGTCCCGAAAGGGACTCCGCCATCGGCAGGGGTATCAGTGGCTGACCACACCACCCCTCCGACTCAAGAGCAGCGTGCCGGGAACGCCAAACACGCCGCTCTTCCTCTAGCCTATGTTACCCGGACGCCGGTTCCCCACCGACGCCCGGAGGCTTCCTCACTGGGGAGGCAGGTCGCGAGCATAAGCCCGCTGCCTTCGACCCAGCCTTCGTCGGCGCAGCGGCGCCGAGGAGGGGTCGTCTTCCCTCACTCGTTCAGCAGCCTCCTTCTGCAAGATGACTCTCTCGCTGAAGTCGGCCACCGCCTGCCATGCCCTCTCGCTGCCGACCATGGCCTGGACCACTGCCGGCAACGAAAGGTCTGCGCCAACCACGCGGATGAGTTGGCTCCGCTCGGATATCCACGCTGGACATTCCATCAGTGTGTGGTCAGCGGTGTCTTCCACGCGACTGCAGTGGTGACACGTCGCTGTCGGCTCTCTCCCGACTATATGGCACAAATACCTCCCGAAGCAACCGTGCCCCGAGAGGATCTGCACCAGCCGGAAGGTTAAGGATCCGTGTCGGCGGTCCACCCACTCCATGAGGAGCGGGCGAATAGCCTCCACGGTTCGCAACCCGGCCACTGGCTCAGAGAGCCTTTGCCTCCACCGATGGAACAAGGACGACCGCGCAGATCGTCGCCAACTATCCACCCGATCCCGGTCCGGACTCGTTCCCCGGGATCGATCTCGCGCGCGCTGGTGGTAAACCTCCGCCAGAACCTGGGCATCCAGTTCCCAGGGAGGCGTCCCAGCCAGCACGCAAGCCGCCTCATGAGAGACAGTGCGGTATGCTCGTACCACCCTCACCGCCATGACGCGCTGCACTCTGTGCAGCGCAGCCACGTTCGGCCTTGTGAGGGCACCGACCCACACTGGAGCTCCGTACAGCGCCATTGAGCGTAACACACCGGTGTATAAACGCCGGCATGCCACACTCGGACCGCCGAACATAATAAGCTCCTGGTTTAGGTATTAGTAAGAGTTGAACGTTAATATTTTGCCCAAAAAGATTACAACCTAATTTTGCAAGTACAACTTATAATATGGAGAATATTTGCACTCTAAATTGCCTATAGTGTACATAGCCCGAAATTGTTTTTCAAATTTGACCAGTAGTAATTAAACTTTAAACGTTCCATTTGTAGCCTGACAATATCAATTTGAATTAAGCACGAGAGTGTTTAGGCAAACAAATAAACTTTAGTACTGGTCATGTACAACTATAGTATTAGTCATGTGTATTTTGTTACTTCTAGAAAGATTAGAAAATTAAAACATAGACGAAAAATTATTTATTTTTATGTTTAATTAAAGAAAAACTAATCATTTCTGGTTAGTGGGTAAGATTAGAATTATTATAAATCTTCTGAAAGCACAACATTAGAAGTAAATAAATAGTTAATAAAGATTGAGGCTGTAAGAATAAAAGAAATATATTAGGCCAAATAACCACATAAAGATAAGATATAATACTTTGAAGTCAGATCCAATGGATGATTGTGTGATGAATTACCAAATAAATTACTCAATTGTTTTAACAGAAAAAAACACAGTTATTTTGTATTACTTAACATACCTTTATTTTTTAGTTACCTCATTAAATTGTCTATTATCTTACCTGTTTTTTTTATGAATCGTGTTATTTAATCGGGAAATGTGAGTTTACGTTACACCAAACCGTATGAGAGCGAGTTGATGTCTTTTCTTGCAACACGCCATAAAACGTAATAGGAAGGTTGCTTATAAATGTGTGTTTTGTATTAATTCATGCTTTTTCTTTCCTTAAATTTTTAAAAATTCTAAGTGTTATGTAACCTATGAACTATACAGAGTTTTGACATACGTGTAAGGTGATTGCAAGCTCTGTTGCGCCAGAATCAACTAAGGTCATCGATGGAATGGCTACACCGACTTTTCTGTGTCCTTTTAGTAATATTCGTTTTTCAATTACTTTGCTCAGGTATGACTGTATTGAGAAATATTACGGCACCCGTTCTGCCGGTCTGTTTTACAATGCATAATCTAAAACCGTTAAATAATAGTTATCTAAGTACCCAAATGTATCGTAATAATAGTTCCCACACATTGTTTTGTTAACATTCGAAGGTCAATTAACAATATTCTTTACATTCACTTATTTCGTTACTTATTATTTAATATTAAATAACTATATATGTAATTAGTAATAAAATATTCTGAATATAATAATAAGTATATTTTACTTTGGATAGCTTCTATATTCTTAATCAATTATATATTAGGGTATATTTCTATAACTTTAATTAACGTTTATTTTTATTTGTTTATAAATTATTTCCTCACCAAATCAAGATGTACATAACTCTTTGCAGCATTATTTATCCCAGTTTCGTACCAACCTACACCGGTCCTGAAAACTATCAAACACTTTAAAAATATTTAACACCAAAACATTTAACGCGGCCTCGAACTTTTAAGTGTTTACTCAATAGTCATAAATACCAATTGTATTTTCCCGCTTTAATATGTTTTTGAGCGCACGCGCACCTACTACGATAGCAGACTGCACTATGAAGCGTGATTGTTTACGAACGACCAGCCTCACGGGGCCAAGGCCGTTGTTGCGAAGCCTCCGTTATGTCAGTCGTTCTAATTATGCAATCTTTACCGATTTAATGCAGTTAGATGACCCGCCGTTCCCCGGATTGCTCCCATTTGTAATTATCTTACGTAATTAATCACCCGTTTGTAAGCAATTACATAGATACGGTGTTAGCTTGTTAGGCATTTTTGGTTTTCAAGAATTAAGTGGGTACGTTTATTTTTTAGGATTATATTCAACTCTCATCTTATAACCGAACGTCTATGTATTCATTTAGTGCACCTATTATGTATATAAGGTATTTATTTTCAAACGATTCCTATTATGACTAGCCAAATGAAATATAAGTAAATTAAACATTATTACATTATGTGTACACATTTTTATACACATTACTACGGTATGCTTAATAATGTTACACCAAATACAAAGCGTCTCCTAGTTCTCATTCAGTAACTTACGTTAAAGAGAAGAGACTCGGGGCAAAGAAATAGCCCGTATTTCCCGGAGTTCGACAACGCTTGAAGATAAATTGGATGAGGTGTGCAATATTTGTAAAACGGATGTTTAACTTTGAGGAAGGTGCTTGTGAGTATATTTGTAATATCGATTAATTTCTGCGTATTCTGTAAGAAAAGATTACTTAACAATTTGGATTTTTTTTATTCACTAAGAAAAGTTTACCATAATACTCAAGGTCCAATTTATACAACGTTTCCTAAAAAATAAGGTAAAAATCACTATAGATAAGTCCTACATTAATCAATTGAGTTCTAGCGTTACAAGTGTTTATGACTCAACTATATATTTATATTAAACAATAGATGTACCTATACACATTTTATTTTATTAAATTATGTTACTGGATTTTTTACTAGCATTAGATAATTTAATAAGTGGAGGAATGAATTTAATTACATGAATACCTATGCGAAAAGTTTCCTTGGATACGCTGATTTAAAAATAATTAGCAGTATGGATAAAACCGCCCTTGTAATGACTTTCACTGGGTGACCCCCGAGGCCAACATCCCTTTAAAGGTGTCCTAAGACGAGGTCGATAGTGGAACGGTTGTCGTGACTGAGGTACCTACCCTAAGTATTTCAAGCCCAAATCACCTGCCCTCCCATGGGCCGTTGTCAATGCTAAACTAACAGCATGAGACCAGTCTAAAAAAATAAATCCACTGGGTTATATAAAATACAATATAAGGCAATAGTATCTAAAGAATTCGTGGTAAAAAAAGTATTGCTACAACTCCTAAAGAGTGTAAAACCTGATTGAAAATACAATTTATTGAATTATTAATGTATAAATTTTAAACATACACAATCATACAATTACATAAGTTATTGAATTTTAAACTATTTCTAGTGGACAGTTGCTTCACATTACAAACGGAAATAGTATAACTCACTTTCACTGAACGCGCCTGTCGTAGTTGCGATACCAGGATTACTAATAGCAGACATTAATAAATGAACTGAATACAATAATACATGAATTATAAGTTGCAAAGAAACTAAGTACTTATTTACCATGGAAACGGATCGGGGAAATAATATGATAAATGAACTTATGTATTAGACAGAATACGTTTAATACGTTATAAAATAAAATAGACGCAATATAGCAATTGATTGCATCTTAATTTTCTGAGGTATGCAATATCTTCGTATTGAGCATATCTAAGCATTTGAAAGAACGGATTTGAAATTTAAATATTCAAATACGTATTTTTAAAAATATGCCTTGGCTAGGTCATCAACAATAAGGTCCCAGACGAGGATTGATAAAATAAAAAGCAAAAAATCAAAAAAGTTTTTATTGAAAACAATAAAGGTGGGTTGTGCTAAACAAGAGCTTAAATTATCTAGCATAAATAAAAAACTATACATTTTATATGAGATATAAATTATTATTTTGCTTGATATGCAAAACTGTAATATAATTTTACACTATACATAATAGTGGACTAGCTAGGTTACAAGTTCCATTTTCCTATACTTCTTCCTGAGTGTGGAGACGGGATCCTTGAATAGTATGGGGTCTAGTCGCAGTACAGAACGCACTAAAGGCATGTAGCCCCACGAGGCCGCGAACGTGTTCAGACACGACTGACGCTGAACGAAGTGCTCAGGGTCGCTCCAAGATGACCTGAAGTATAAGTATTATTTATAAAAACAATATGATTGGGGAGAATATCGTTGCTAGTTACGTTAGTTAAGCTTACTACACGTTTGAATATCGAACTAAATACAGAGCGTTAATTGTAGTCCTTCATACATATATTTTCGAATACAACAATAACAACGTAGTCCGTAAAACGGTTCTTTTTTAATTTGAAGATTTAAAATGTAATAAGTACACCATAAAATAAACCAAATTTCATGTCTCATACATTTTGAGTGTTTTAAATAAAATTTAAGCAACAATATATTTACATCTGTTCTTTGTTAATAATCTATGTACTATATGTTCTCGGACCTGTACCGGTGGTGGGGACTCTTGTACCGTCGTCGTTGTGCCAGCTTGATGGGCGGTCGTCGTGAGAGGTGAGAGGCGAGACAGTTCAGTAAGATGTCCTCGCAGTTCCCAGCGCGGCGGACAGCGAGCCGGACCGCCGGGGACAGGGCCGCGTACTGAGCCAACAGGGACCTGTGTGTCACCGCAGCACCCGCCAGCACCATCGAGTACGACCCGCCCCAACGGCTGCTGTAACCCCATGACCCCTGAAAAAAAATAATTAAACTTTAAATTCAAAAATCGAACGTAATAAATCGGATAGGCTGTATTTTGTTTCACTTATGTGGTAACACCCATGCATATACAAATATACATAATTCCGTTTTCTGATTTCAATGACAAAAATATGCAATTGTCGCCAATTTCATTTTGATAAACGATAACAAATGAAAGGAGTTTTTAATGTTCAATTTAGTCTAAAATACCTTAGCTTCATCCCAAAAGTGGTTCCTTGCTGGATATCCAACAATACGTTCTGGAAAATGTTGCCACACGAGAAACGCGAAGTCCAATTCCTCTGCTAGGAGCGGTGCGTCACCGTCTAAAGAAAACACCGCGGCTGTGGGAACCGCCCACAGAGGCTGCCAACGAGCAGACACCCCTTCACTGAAATATGACACAATTTAAATATTGTTTCTAAAGAAGTATGTATTACGAACGTTTAAAGAAAAATGTTTACCCAGGATAGTGGGTAGTCGCATCGATGACTACTACTGGTAGCGGGTGACGTGAATCACCCGCTGTTCTTGATAGAGATGTCAGTGAAGGTGCAGCTCGTTCACTGTCCCAAACTAGAACCACCTGATATAAAAATAAATTTAAATATCATAACACTATAAATTCAATGTACAAGTTTTGTGTAGTTTAATATATCTATGTACCTTTTCACAGTACTGGCTGCTAGCTATACTGACGAGAAGTTTATGTAATGATGGGGATGTTGCCTGTACGTACAATAGTGCTGTAAATGTCGTTCCTGGAGTAGGTGGCGGGGCGGTGAGGGGCACGGAGGGAGCGGGGAGCGGGCGGGGAGGGGGTTCGGGTGCAGCCGGCGCGGGGGGAGAGGTCACACCAAGTGGCAAATGAGCACGTGAGTCCCCATATGTAGCCAGTGTACCAAGAGCTCCCGGAAAAGTATTCCAAATCAAAGCCTCACGTTGACGAGACGATCTATGAGTCATAATTCGTTCTAATAGTATCTGAACCAAGAAAATAAAATAATAATTTAAATATAAAGTGTAAATGTATAACGACATTAATAATAATCATTATGTTTACCTCAATAGTTGTGAAAACTATCTTCTCTATTGAAGAGAAGTATTGTTCCCATAAGAGCTGTGTTTGTTGGCGTAAAGCAAGAATACGCTCAGGAGGAACTGACCTCACCAACTCTGGTACCTGGTTATGAAGGAAAAGTTTTGGGCTTTATTGGACTTATTGAGCAATAAAAAGTAAGTATGTCAAATCTTTTAAGTGTTTGTGAATATTAAACAAACATTTGATATCAAACACTAGATTTGAAGAAGCCAAGTATTTAGTAGAAATTAAAAACATGGATACATAGTAACCTGCAAAAGTAGCCGTTCATCTGCCCATATTACAGCACGACGCCAATCTATCCGCTCATCAAATGGTAATCTCCAACCATTGCTTAACAACACAGGGACACAGCCAGCAGCCAAAGCTTCCAAGAAACGGTAAGAACCCAAACGCCTTCCTCGGGCAACAAGACAAAAAGTGGAGTTTGCAAGTAGCTGTTCATAATCAAATCTACAAAAAATATGTATTCATTAAAAAAGTTTCAATAATTTACCCATTAAGAGGGGAAAAATTTAATAAAAATATATCAATATAAACCTTAACATCTATTCAAATATTTAATGGTCAATCTAAATGCTGTATATTATGTTTTTATTGTTATAGTATGTTTGTCAGCACGTCCCTCATATTAAAAACGAAAAATTGTTTGAAAATAATGATTAAATCTTAAGAAGAAAAAAAATCAATTTATGAAATAAGAAAACTTTTTCTCAATTTTAAGGTTTAAAATATATGAAAGATTTAGAACCTGAAAATATTTTATAAATGTAGATTTTGTGTGTTTAAACAACAGTTAGCTAGTTTTGAAACCTACTTGTCATATTCCCTATTGTCTTCGTCACATCTTTCATCTCGTAAGTCCTTCCAAGATTTCCCATGGCGACAAGTTGTGACTAAAATAAGATTATTGCCATCATGTAGATGCCATAAGGAATTTCTTGTTTCACTGCCAATGCCATGAACATATCTTTTGCCTTTAAATGCTAACAAATGTTTACGAGGTGCTGGAAATGGGTTTCCCGTTGCAGCTGGAGGAACACCACCTCTTTCTGGATGTTCTTTATGAAACAGTGGTAATGAGATATCAAATCCATCACGAAATATTGTTTCTGAAGCACTAGCTCTAGCCAATATAGCATCTCCTGGATCAAAACCCAGTGCTCCTTCTGCATAGTCAGGCCAAGTGCCGGCATATAAATTAAATATGAGATGATTTCTTCCATTTTTCCAATATGGTAGTCGTGACAATCTTGATGCTACATCTGGTATATGTTCAGGAGATAATGGATCAGCGTCCAACGTATCAACAGCAGGTATGAACAAACATGCCTCAGCAGGATCATGTGTGGCATATCTGGACTCTCGAACAACAGACAATACTTTACGATACGTAGCACTTACAGGACCGTCAGTAGGATAAACGTATACCTTAGGATCGTTTCCACAATTTGAAAAATCAAAACATGTTTGCATTCGACATGATTTTGTCGTTGCTCGTGGTATTCTTTTCTGGCGAGATGGAGATTCTGTTAATTCATCTAAAGTAGCAAAAGACGGCAACAGATCGTGGCGAGCCCGTTGTTTTTTCTCACCAAGTAAATTGAAGCCATTAAAGTAACAATATATTAAAAACAAACACGAAATTAACAAAAAACAATAACGTTTCTTCGCTTGCATTATTATTATGTTAACTACAAATTTTAGTGTATGAATGCATCTTGTCACCAATAGCCAATCATAATTTGTAATATCAAATAAAAAATGATTAATGTTTATATTTAAATTTTAAGCACTGAAAACTTGTAAACCGATCGTTAACTTAAAACAGTGATGTTTTATTGTTATTACATTCGCATGTCAATGTCATGTTTAAAAGTCAATAGCACTAATTTCACTATAGCTATTACAAAATTAAATGTTATATTGATGAATGAATATTGGAATGAGAAATTCATAAATACCCAGTTTCAATAAAGAATATACTTTAACTTTATCGCAGTTATATCTATATTTTTCTACAAGACATATTAATAAATAACAAGTATGGTTATTATTTACTATATATTCACAACTTAGGGAAATGCTCCCTACAAAATGTTTAATAAATTTTTAAATGCATTAAAGAGAAAAACAAAATAATCTATCATTACCAATATTTATATACTCAGAATACTTTTAAATTTTGTTGGATATAACATTGTTTTTTGCGTTATATTTCTCCTGCTTTTTTGTTTTTTAACATTTGCTTAAAAAGTCTTCAAAATTGTTTGTATCCCTTTTTCTGAACCAGAAAAGTTCTATATATATGCAATTTAATTAATAATACTATTTAATTCAAAATGAAAATATGTCAACAAAAATTTCACAGTAAAACTTTTTTTAAATATAAAAGACATTAAGTTTTTCAGATACTACGCGTTTTTTAATACTTCATTTAAATTTGAACCCTTTAAAATCTTCTATCATTATTCTGAAATATTAAGTTAGTTCAATTACTTATTCTGACTTTAGAGAAAAACGAGAAAGTTTGATATAGAACAAAGCTGGAAATGGACATACAAAAACAGGCATTAAAATTTTTCATAATTTTATATTACAACAAATCTAATATGAAATACTACTATCTACACACTGATATAATAAAGCATTATTTTTAATAAAGTTAATTATAGATTTCATATAATACTTTTATTTACATTTAGATTTCAGATTTATTTTGTTCCTAGATAATAATAATATTCTTAGTCTAATGATCGCAACTGTTATATTTTAAGTTTTATTCAGTTTTAAATTATATTTTCCTAAATCTCACGTGTGTACAGACGTGACATTTTTTTTTACGTTTCTATAGTGTAATATGTATTGCTGGGTAATGCAGTAGCTATATTAAGAAAACTAGATGTTAAGAATAGTCATTTATGATGTAGATTATTATTTATGAATCAGTTGTAAGATAGCAGGTTATTATCTTATATTTAATATAATACAAGGCCCAAAAAATAAATAAAAAACCCATTCACATGTATTGAAGGTAAAAATATGATTGGTATACTCACAAACGTATACAATGTACATATGTATGTTAGCACTAATTTAGGACTTTGATTTGATTGGATGCATGTATTATGGATAAATTAAACATTACTGATCTATCGTGAGAAGGTTGAAAAAAATAGTCCAAAATAGATAACAATATTTTTCCCCTTTATAATCTTGAAGACATGTAATAACAAATAATTGGCATTTTTGTGAAACTGGGTATAGTTTCAAAGGAGTTCAAAATGAGTGTTTACTAATTGCATTATTGAATAAAAAATAAAATGTAGAACACAGGAACATGTTATGGCTTAATAATACTAACGTTAACGTCAAGCAACAGAAGAAAGCGTTAATAATTATTAAATGTTTATGCTTGAGATCTCTTTAATTCCTCGTCTTTCTTATTTTTCTTGACCTTCGCTGATCTTTCCGTAAATATGTGTAATATCGCACGACAATCGGGGTATAATTCATATTTAGTTTTAATTATGTCAGTCTTAATTCTGTCGCTTACAAGTTTTTCTTTAAGCATAATTTCTAGGGCTTTTGCTTCTGTCATATTATTTAATTCGTTTCCTATAATTTTTAAATCACATCGATCAGCTCCATCGACCTGAAATAAATTTTTATTTGATAAGTTTATAGCTTATAATTATTATAAAATTTACTACGACATGTAACAAAAATACTATATGTGATATTATATAATGTAGAAATCAATACCTTGCATAGAAAAGATAATGGATACTTAGAATCTACTTTGGGCCACTTTTGTTGGAGAACTTCTTTATTCCAATCGATTGCATCTATATTATTTGAGAGCCTGTGTGGCGCTGAGAGGAACCCTGACCAAAGTTCCGAACAGAAATGTGGTGTTATAGGTGATAACATGACAATTAGATTTGCTAGAGCTAACTCATACTCTTTGCTGTTAGCCACAACTGCTGGTGGTACATTATTCTAAAAAAAAAAAATGACATTATTTAATATACTTATCAAAACACAAACAGTCTATAGTCAAATACCCTTCAAAAGTTCTAAGATAGAAAAATTGTCATATGTACTTATATAAAGTACTGTAATTTGATGTGTATAATAAAAGATTACAAAAAATTTGAAGAATTATAAAGTTCGTAATTCTAATTAATATGGTACAATATTTAATAATCATTATACCCTCAAAATCGCCGTCAAACTTTGCAGTCTCGATATTCCTACACTAAGTTTTTGTGTATGCAAGAAATGATATGTTGCTGTAGCAATGAAATAATTTCTTGAATTCCATGTCTTTGTATCGAATTCCTCTACTTGGCTGCTCAGGCTAGTGTTATTAAATAGTTCAGGATTATTTCGGTGTTTTAAAAATTCTCTAATAGTCCTCCACAATCTATGCTGCCAATTTAAAGCTCCAGGAAGGGCTGGAAATAATCAGTGATATTATAAAATAAAGTCTCATATACATAATTATATATAAAGGACAATGTTATTATTAACTTACTGGCATCCGACCACTTCCTGCTTGTTTCAGGAGGAACATCGGAAAGTATTAATAATCTGGTGGTGTCACATCCATATTCCGTTAATAATCTTTGAGGATTTTCTCCATTGAATTTAGACTTGCTCATCTTCTCCCATTGAGCTAACACGGTCTCTCCTGTTGCTTTTTCTTTATATCCTTTACCAACCTGTTCAACATCCTCAGATTTTATATATTTTCCTGTAGATTTTACTTTATAAGACTGTCCCATAATCATACCTTGGACTAAAAGTTTTTTGAAAGGTTCTTGTGTGGGAGTCAGACCTATTGAGTGTAAAAAATAACTCATAAAACGAGCATAATAAAGGTGGAGTACGGCATGTTCTTTACCACCAATATAACAATTTACAGGGGTAACCCCAGCCAAGGACTCTATATTAAATGGCGCTTCTTTATTTTGTGGGTCTAGGTACCTATAATAGTACCAGGAAGAATCTACAAATGTGTCCATTGTGTCACATTCCCTTCTAGCATTGCCCGAGCATTGTGGACATTTACAATTCACCCATGACTCAATACTTGACAGATTTAATGAGGATTCATCAGTTTTCTTTTCAGGTAAAACAACTGGTAAGTCTTCATAAGGTACAGGTACAGCACCACAAGATGGACAATGTATAATAGGTATCGGTGTTCCCCAATACCTCTGTCTGGATATGAGCCAATCTTTTAATTTTGAACTTGAATAATAACCACCGACTTTTTTACTTTGCGCTAGTTCTATTCCTTTTTTATTTTCTGTATTATAATCAATATTAATTCTTTGAATATCTAATGGTATGTTTAGAGATTTGATTAGCTTGTAATCATCAGCATCCACTGCGGGGCTGGCTATATACACATCTCTACCCTCGGGATAGTTTACATCATCACTTACATAAACAGATATTTCCTTTTCTGATACTGGGTTATAACACTTTAGATTATTTATTTCATCATGACTTAACTCTTGTAACATTGTGTTATCTTTCTTTATAAATATGTAATCACCATGAATGAATTTGTAGGGTTCTGAAGACCATATCTCTATGTGCTGAACTTTATTTTTAATTTTTATGTTAAAGCTAACAACTACACCATCACATTCTCCTATCCAGTGCTTCTGTAGATTGATAATATCTTTCCAATTCTCTAAAGAATCACTACTTAAGCCATCATATAGTTGTTTGGCATACTTAGTGGTTTTAATAAACCATTGGGTTAAAGTTTTTTTCTCAACTTTAGCACCAGACCTCCATGAACAACCATTGTCATCAACTTGTTCATCTGCAAGTACTGTATTGTCCACAGGATCCCAATTCACTTTTGCCTATAAGAATAAAACATGATTAAATTAATAAACAATAAGTTATCAGAAATACCTGAAATAAAACAAAAACCAATGCTATAGATATTATTAAAACCACAGTATTATGTCTATCCTGTTTCCTTTCTGTTATTTTTTTTAAAAAGTTACAAATGACCATAAGTACTAAATTTATTAAAATTATGGGGTTTATATAAATATAAAAATAACATTGTGTTTTATTTCTTGATTTTTTTCCATTCCATATTTTTGCTTCACTTATGTAATGTTCATGTAATATTAAATATAAAATGTTTAGTAACAAATTATTTTATGAACACTTAAGCTTCACTCACCTTACTTTGGTATGCCAAGTCATTTTCAAATAACTTTAAAAATATGTACTGAGTCCATTTATAGTAATCTGGACTACATGTGCTAATTTCTCTATCCCAATCAAAATTTAATCCAAGTTGTAATAACTGATTTTTCATTGTCTTGATATTTGAATCTGTCCATTTCTGAGGCAAGATGTTGCGTTCTATAGCTGCATTCTCAGCTGGCAAGCCAAATGCATCCCAGCCAATTGGATGTATAACATTTTTGCCTTGTAATTTTTGTATCCTTGCTATAGAGTCAGATATTGAATATACTCTAACATGTCCCATATGTAAATTGCCAGATGGATATGGAAACATTGAAAGAATATAGATTTTATTATCATTGCTAATTAGCTTCTCATTAGCCAGTACTTCAGGAGACCAGTGATTTTCTATGTTTAGTTTAATTTCAGTTGAAATATCTTGTTCCTGTTGTAATTATTAAAACGTCGCGTTATATTAAATATTAAAAATATTGAAATAACATTGTGTTTTCTACGTACCCATAAACCAAGACAGCTTTTATATCTACTGAATCGATGAAATAGTAGTGGTTTTAATTTTAACAAGTTTCTACATGATTTTATAATAGACATTCTTAGTTTCTTATTTTTCTATTCCTATTTAAAATATTAGTTTTCCAGTTGTGCTTTTATAAAACAAATACATTTTAGCACCTTGTTGAAATTATTATGATATATTTTGTATTTACTCAGGTTACTTTTTCATTTATACTTTTAAAATATTCTCATAACATAACCTACATATATTCATGGGAATGTAGGAATTGAAAACAAACAAATGTCAACATTCAAAATAGGTAGTCAAAATCCACTTCATTACATATACATATTATATACTCTATATATGTACATATATAATATATAGTTTACACACAAAATACAATTTATTATAAAATTATTTATACTATTTATATTATAATACCAAATGTTTTGTGATCCATATAAATTATGTATATTAATTATTTCTAAAAATCATAGAATTTTTAAAATGTATACATTTCTTTTTTATCTACTAGTCCTGCCAATAGGTAAAAATATAAATTTAAATTTTCACTTCAAATAAAAGAGAAAATTTAAATATATATTTTTTTATATCTGAAGGGTTGGTTTAAAGATGAGGCTACGATTTGATTAGAGAGAGTTGTAGAGATTTTTTTTTTGCCATATGGCGTTACATGATAATTGGTGAAGTAGTGTTGAGACTTGAGAATTTAGTTACAGGCCATAGACTATGCCTCTTTAATGAGATCAGTGAGTGAGTAATAAAAGGTTTTGAATAACTACCTATTGTGATTTATAAAATTTTGAGACTTGAAATTTGTTGAAAATATGGCGAAACCGAAAAAGGACGAAACAGCCGAAGAAGCGAAGAAAATCGTAGACGATGCGAAAAATTTTATCGAGAAGGCAATTGCAGATATTGGAAAGACTTCAGCAACAAAGCAACTTATTTTAGGAACTGCGTCAGGATGGTATGTTTGTATTGCTTTATCACCACTCTTTGTTTATTTATATTTCATTTTTCTGTTTTGTCTTTTAAAAAAAATCATTATTGTATCAACTATAGTTTGTAATGGTTCAATGGAAAAATGTCTGACGTTTTTTTTTTCTTTCTAGGCTCACAGGTTTTATGACTATGAAAATAGGAAAGCTTGCTGCAGTAGGTGTAGGAGGCGGCGTAATCTTACTTCATATTGCAAGTCAAAAAGGGTATATTGATATAAATTGGGATAAAATCAACAAAAAGGTTGATAAAATCACTGATAAAATCGAGAAGGAAGCCACAGGAAGATCGCCAGATTGGTTTGAGAAAGTATGTGGTATTTATAATACCTATTTAATATATTTCATCTCATATCTGTATTTGACCAAAAATTTTAAGAGTTAGGTGCTTAATGGGCTTAAAACAGACTTTCCTTTAATTTATAAGTTTTACATTTATATTTTTGTTCCAGGTTATGTTATTTGTGAAAGATAATTCATATTATTCAGCTGGGTTTACAGGAGGCTTCTTTTTTGGCATTGCATCATCATAAAATTATTAATACTATATTAGTTACTAGAGTGATCTTTATTACATTTAATAAATACAAATAATGTTCTGGTCAAATACAGAAGTGATGTTTCTTTTAATATTCACAATTTTATATATAACCTTAACCAGATTTTCAACTAGATCTTAATTATTTTCCAACTCATTCATTCTTATAGTGAAAAAAGTTAACAATCTATCATTTAAATATTTTTTTTCTTTATAAGAATATTAACAACATGTTTTTCCTTCTTACTTGTTGATCTGTACAAGTCATTGACAATTATTCTAGTTTAAATTAAAAAATAACAAATTATTTTAATTTTTTTTGACAATAACCAAGTTTCAAAAATAAGCAAACTTTGAAAATAAATGGTTTTTTGAAGGTGGAAAGGTTTGTGGACCGTAAAATTGATAAGGCAGAAGAACTACTTAAGAAGAAGGAGAAAAAGGCAAAGCATTGGTACAATAACTTTGTAGCAGGTGATGAGTATCGTGCTACAGAAACTCATGTGTTTCTGGCATCATTTGTTGCTGGAATGGCCATTGGTATTCTTTGTGGAAAGTAGGGAATAAGTATTATTGCTAGTTTTAGATTGTTCTCATTGCCTATATTAGTATTAACATTTATCTCATTATGATTTTGTGATCACATCTAAATTATTAATCTCAATAAAGTTTTATTGTTAGCTTATTATTGTTTCTTATTTCATCCTTGGGTAGAAGTAAAAAAAAACAATAATTAGTATAAAAAAAAGTGTATTCTTTTAACACTATAGAATATAAGTAAATGTAGTAGTAGCATTGATTATAAAGATGGTATATTATTTTTGTGAAGTTTATATAGTTGTTCTGATGGCAAGCTTTCTAAATATTTTATATAATCCTTTAAGTAATTTTTTTTAATTGCAAGAACTGCATTTTGATATCGCCTCTTTTCTACTTTGGTTAAATTTGTCCATGATTCGTAATCAGCATTTTCATTTACCAATTCAAATAGTTGTTGACCATTTCTGTAAAGAAATATACATTTAAATAAATTTTTATGGAAATTATTAAAAAGTGTTATCTTTAAATGATATCTATAATGATAGAAAATTGTACCAAAAAATAAAAGCGCCACTTACATAAGTTTTGGGGGGATTGGTTCAGATAAAGGAGTATTATAATTTTCATGGCCATCTTGACTACTTTGATCTTGAATTTCGGTCCTGTAAGAATTTCCTTAGTTAAAGTATCTGTAAACTTTTGAATAACATGAAATATAAAATAATACTTATAAATTTCAATAGTTTAATTAATATAGTCAATATTGGAGTTTATAATTCATTATTGTTGAGGAAAAAATCCTTTATTTATACCTACTCTACTACATTATAAGTCTTCTCAGGGCTTCTTAATTCAGTTGTGTTTTCTTCAATGTTTGGTTCAAAACCAATTTCAGCTGAATGGTTTACAGTATCATTTATATTATTTTCTTCAATATCTGCTTCGGGTTCCTGTTCTTTGCTCTCAGTTATAACCTCTGTTCTATTTGCATAAAACACAAAAAAATCTTTTAGTTGAAATTAGTCTTCTTTAGACAAAAAAGCAAATAATTTTTTTTATTGACAAAGTCAAGCATTGACAATTGCATACACAACTATTTAATTTATAAATGCATTTTGAGTTAAATTAAAAGAGTTTTTTGAATTTGTTGAAACTTTGTTATTGTATTATTTTAAGTACATATTATAACAACAATATTACTTCATAGATTAATTACTAAGTAGTTTTAATTCTTGAAAAGTGTATTATTGTTTAATTAAACTATAAATAAAACCTTGGAACTGTAACTTTTTTCTTTAAATATGGAACAGCATTTTTTAATTGTTCTGCAAATTGCTTATTTATGTCCCTTTTAAGTTGTTCATATTTAGTAATAAACTGCTGCCTCTCATATGTACTTAAAGTTAGCCATGACTTTGTTGCCTCTTCCAAGATATCGCTTGTCTGAAAATCGTGAAATACAAATATTGATATTTATTATTACTATACAAACAAACTTTAAATTCTATTTTCCTTACCTTACTGTTATTTTCTTTTCGTTTCTTACAATATATTTTAACATATAAGGATAAGGGTGAACTAGGTATTGTAAGGTCTGATTTGTTCATTTTATGAAAATCATGTGTTGAATACTTAAGTAATTATAAAAAGCTTAGCTGCATATGAAATACCATAACTTTCATTTATGTTTTCTCGAGTGATACTATTTATTTATATTTGTCAGATACTAATATTTATCACTTCACTGTATTTTGTTTAGCATAGGTAACTTCTACCTAAATACATTGTGAGGGGACACAACACATTTAATATTTTGACTTTTTCAGGCTGTCAAAATATCAGTCCGTCAGTGGTTCATGTTTTTTCTTATCAGCTCCTAGTGATTAGCATCGTCTTAAGAAAATAATTACTTATAAAGTTTATTTTAAGTTTTGGTTTTAATAAATTTTTTTCTTGTACTTCCATAAATAGAAATCATTAAACAAACGATTAAAAGTTTACGCTATGGAAGCATTATTTCTGGTAGGATTTATTTGACATCGGAGAACACTGACGCTTGACAAGTATGAAGTGACATACAATCAACATGTTTCATGCAAAAGCGTTATTTCTTACACATCTGCATTCTGTAATTACATTGTGTTTACAATTTTAATTAATTCATGCATTATATGATCAGAAATAATATTTTACATAGTCAGTACTATAAACGTTTTTTAAAACTTAAATTTTAATAGGTCCTGCTGAAATGACGGAAAAACAGTAAGTTACTAGATCTTTATTATATTTTTTTAGTAGGCCATTTCGTTTTATTAATGTATTCAACAGATGTTCATTTTATATTTAGTGTTAAACTGTGGGATATATGTATATATATTATTTTAGGTATGGTTTAATACTGAAAGACAAACCTAAGGGACAACTATCTTTTCAATCTTCTCGAAATGTGTTTGGGTCAGATTCAGACTCAGGAGATGAGAAACAAAAAGCCCCATTGTTATTGAAGCCAAGCAGTAATGTTAATAGACAGGTAATGTGGCTTTTTACAATAATACATTAGTAATCTAAGTATTTAAATTTATAATTGTGCAAAATAATCATTAGCAGCTGAATATTTGCTGCAAAATAATATATAATTTCTGTTACTTATAAGTAATAATATTGTAGGCAAAAATAACTCAAGAAAAAGCCCTAGTAGAAGATCCCACAGTATACCAATATGATGAAATTTATGATTCCATGATTAAAGAAAAGGAAGCCAAAAAAGAGAAAACAACTGTAGATAAGAAACCTAAATATATAGAGAACTTAATAAAATCCTCTAATAAAAGGAAATTAGAAAATGAAAGAAGGATTGAACGTCAGGTAAAGTTTTTTCCTGAATTATTTTATAATCATCATAAATCCTTATAGTTTCAAATAATTCTTTTTCTAAATATAAAACTAAATTTATGTGTTTGTTTCTTTTAGATTCAAAAAGAAAGAGAAAAGGAAGGTGAGGAATTTGCTGACAAAGAAGTGTTTGTAACATCAGCTTACAAAAAGAAACTTGAAGAAATGAGAATAGAGGAAGAGAAAGAAAAATATGAAGAATATTTAGAGTCCATAGGAGATGTAACAAAACAACAAGATTTAGGTTTGTATATATATTGTAGCCAATGTGAAATTATCCCATTCTAAAAGGCTTTAAGTTTAAAATGTACTAACTTTTATATTCTTTTGGTGAAGTAAACTATATCATAAAAATATTCTCTTACTGCATTTTTTTATATTTTTTTTGTAATATTTCAATATAATATTTCAGGAGGATTTTATAGACATTTATATGAACAAAAATTGGGTTCTAAAAAGTTACCAGAAACTGATAAAAAGAATGAATCAGTGAAAGATGAAAGTCCAGAGCCAAATACTACAGAATTTACGAAGACTAGTAATAAAGATGACAGAAAAGCTAAAGAAAACAAACAAAGAAATTATAGAAAAAGGAAAGCCTCACATGATAAACTATCTGAAGGCGAGATTGAGGATTCTGACGGAGAAATTAACCATTGTAACCTCGATGAAATCAGAACATTAAAGAAATCCAAACAAGCTGAAAATATTGATGCAGATTCTGACTTTTCAATAGATGATTCCAGTGATGAGGAAAGTAATAAAGAAGTTCCGCTACCACAAAAAGCAGAAGTTGAAAAAACAGAAAATGATTCTAAAAAGCTAGAAGTTAAAACACCACCAATAAATAATGACATACCTAAAAAAGAAATTGAAAAACCTAAAGAAAAAATAGACATATGGAAAAAGAGAACTGTTGGAGAAGTCTTTGAACAGGCATTAAAGAGATATTATGAAAGAAAAGCCGCAAGAGGATCTCATTAAACTAATAAAAATGTTTAAGAAATTAATTTCTTTTATTTGCAATATATTAAGATTATAATAATTAGTAAAAAACCTACTAGTAATAAGAAAAAACGGGAGATCTCTGTCCCATTCCGAAACCGGTAATTTCAATTATGATGAAGAATTGACGAATGGTTTTGAAAGTTAAATTAACCTAATCTATTATTTATACTATACTATATATACTAATTTTAAAAAGGGAGTCAGTCAGCAACTTGTTTTTTTTAACGTATGGATTCCATTTAATCTTATATTTGAAGGTTAGTTTGAAGAGGAATAGTAATTAATATCTTACACATTTTACCTGTAAAATTATCCCTGTAGTTTTCATGTTGTAAACATTAACACAATTTTATAGTTTGGTTCTGAATTATTACTAATAGAAACAGTGATAACACGTCAGAATAGCATCGATCGTAGTTTTATTAATTAATATAGTTGTTGCTAAAAGCGTTTGCTTTATAAACAGTGAATTCCGTTTTTTAATTGATTAAATTTTCTGCTTAAAGAAACAAATTTAAAATAAACCCGACTTCAAAATTGTAAGTAAAATTACTTATCTATGTAGCTATGTCAAGAAAAACATAATAGAACTAGGTTTAGGTTGTATTAAATATGACCGTGCACAGTATATTTTAGCAGTGTAATATAGAATGGAGGAGACACAATCCGGAATTAACTTAGGAATGAAATAAAATGTAATAGCGTCTGCTGAAATCATAATTAGGAACTTTGTTAATAGATCTAAAGCAACACAAATTCAATTAGATGTAAACATAGGAAATACATCTAAGCGCACGGTAGTGCGCCGGCCAAGTTCCACAGGCCGGCGCATGCCGTGCACTATATTTACACGAACCGTTTCGACCCACTTTTGACCCCCCTGTAGCTCAGTGCCTATTGCAAGTACAGAGATAAAATTTTACCTATGTAATCATATACTAGAACTAAAGCAGTATACCAAATTTCATAGATAAAGCTTCAGTAGATCCTGAAATATGACCCTGTGAAAATAGCTAATTTTGGCACTGACTCACTGACAGGTAATCAAAACCTCTAGGCCACTTCCCATTGTTTTAGCATTATGAAATTTGGTACACAGGTTGTGTGTTATATGTAGATTAAGAAAAAATTAAGAAATTTAAGAAATCGGTCAAGCGTGAGTTGCCTCAATTCTAAATATCGAATTTTTAATAAATTCGACCCACTTTTGACCCCCTGTAGCTCAGTGTCTATTGCAAGTACAGAGATAAAATTGTACCTACGTAATCATATACTAGTCCTAAAGCAGTATGCCAAATTTCATAGATAAAGCTTCAGTAGATCCTGAAATATGACCCTGTGAAAATAGCTAATTTTGTCACTGACTCACTGACAGGTAATCAAAACTTTTATATAGGCGCTCAGCTCAGCACAATAAAATACATAATAATGAAATATTAATAATTAATAATATGAATACATCTATCAATCGGTGATAAATGAAACTAAAAAATAAAAAATAATAATAAATATAGTTTAAAAAAAACTAAAAAACACGCTCCAATGATGAAAGAAACCGCGTGGAAACTAATTTAACCTTTACAACCTTGGAAATCAATTTAATTTAAATTGTTTAAAATAAACAATAAATGGTGTTATTCAAAAAAAAGCGTGGGTCGCTTCTCAAGAAGTGATATATGAAGCTCATCACGCTTTTCTTTCACAAAAATACCATTTATTGTTTGTTAATTTATTTTTAAATTAATATTATTGTGAAAAAAGTCTGGGGCGCTTCTTAAGAACTGATATATATATATATATATATATATGTATATATATATATATATATATAAGGGATATAAAATATTGTCATGTATACATAATGCACACTGTATAACTTATAATTAAATAATTAAATATTGCTTAACTTAAAATTCAGGTTTCTATTGTTATAAATTACTTTCGATAGATGGCGCTAGCGGTATAATTGAATCGCGATATTGTCTGCAGTATATATGAATGAAAGTCGATAAGGAATCGATGGTCATTTCTTTCTATTTCTTTCTACACTTATGTCTTGATATCTTATATATGGTTACGATTACGATTAAATGGATCACTGATTTGACTTGCTAAAGGATTAATTTTGATATTGCTTATTGATTGATTACTTGTGTGTGTTAAAAGCACAAATTCACTCTATTTCTTTTCTACTATTCATTAACCAACGATGGAAATTGTACATCTTTCGGTGGTTGGCGGATATATACCACATAGGGTAATTCCTATGCCATCAGATGGTAGCTGTATGTTTCATGCTGTAAGTTATGCATTGTACGGCTGTATAGTACGATTGTATGTACGATTTCTTGAAAAAAAGTATTGAAATCTCACCAAAAACATGCCTGTTAAAAAGGGGGCCAAGTTCCAATCGGCTAATTGTTTGCCTAAAAAAGGGGTGAAATCCAATCTAGTGCCAAGTTTAGATGCACTTTGAAATCGATCATAATCATCTTCATCAACAGCATGATCCACTGGTAAACATTTGCCATTCCCAAGACTCGCCACCACACCCAGTCCTCTGCCTTCCACATCCAGCCACTACCCGCCACCTTATTCACGTCAACGGTCCATCTGGCCGAAATTCACTTTACCATACACCCAACTTAAAATGTGGTATAGTTGTGAAAATACGTACCTAGGTGCTTGGTTAAAAATATCTAAAATTATAATACTTCTCAATTTGAACTTGGCAGGTTAATTTAATTATTTAAATTATATAATATTTAAATTATATAAATATAAATAATTATATAACTAAATAATAAATTAATAATACAATTAATTAAGTGTTACGTACAGCACGAAAACCTGCCAAAATCAAATTGAGAAGTATTATAATTTTAGATATTTTTAACCAAGCACCTAGGTACGTATTTTCACAACTATACCACATTTTAAGTTGGGTGTATGGTAAAGTGAATTTCGGCCAGATGGACCGTTGACGTGAATAAGGTGGCGGGTAGTGGCTGGATGTGGAAGGCAGAGGACTGGGTGTGGTGGCGAGTCTTGGGAATGGCAAATGTTTACCAGTGGATCATGCTGTTGATGAAGATGATTATGATCGATTTCAAAGTGCATCTAAACTTGGCACTAGATTGGATTTCACCCCTTTTTTAGGCAAACAATTAGCCGATTGGAACTTGGCCCCCTTTTTAACAGGTATCCTACTAATATTATAATTGCGAAAGTTTGTGTGTGTGTATCTAAGCGCACGGTAGTGCGCCGGCCAAGTTCCACAGGCCGGCGCATGCCGTGCACTATATTTACACGAACCGTTTCGACCCACTTTTGACCCCCCTGTAGCTCAGTGCCTATTGCAAGTACAGAGATAAAATTTTACCTACGTAATCATATACTAGTACTAAAGCAGTATGCCAAATTTCATAGATAAAGCTTCAGTAGATCCTGAAATATGACCCTGTGAAAATAGCTAATTTTGGCACTGACTCACTGACAGGTAATCAAAACCTCTAGGCCACTTCCCATTGTTTTAGCATTATGAAATTTGGTACACAGGTTGTGTGTTATATGTAGATTAACAAAAAATTAAGAAATTTAAGAAATCGGTCAAGCGTGAGTTGCCTCAACTCTAAATATCGAATTTTTAATAAATTCGACCCACTTTTGACCCCCTGTAGCTCAGTGTCTATTGCAAGTACAGAGATAAAATTGTACCTACGTAATCATATACTAGTCCTAAAGCAGTATGCCAAATTTCATAGATAAAGCTTCAGTAGATCCTGAAATATGACCCTGTGAAAATAGCTAATTTTGGCACTGACTCACTGACAGGTAATCAAAACCTTTATATAGGCGCTCAGCTCAGCACAATAAAATACACAATAATGAAATATTAATAATTAATAATATGAGTACATCTATCAATCGGTGATAAATGAAACTAAAAAATAAAAAATAAATATAGTTTAAAAAAAAACTAAAAAACACGCTCCAATGATGAAAGAAACCGCGTGGAAACTAATTTAACCTTTACAACCTTGGAAATCAATTTAATTTAAATTGTTTAAAATAAACAATAAATGGTATTATTGAAAAAAAAGCGTGGGGCGCTTCTCAAGAAGTGATATATGAAGCTCATCACGCTTTTTTTTCACAAAAATACCATTTATTGTTTGTTAATTTATTTTTAAATTAATATTATTGTGAAAAAAGTGTGGGGCGCTTCTTAAGAACTGATATATATATAAGGGATATAAAATATTGTCATGTATACATAATTCACACTGTATAACTTAATTAAATATTGCTTACCTAAAAAATCAGGTTTCTATTGTTATAAATTACTTTCGATAGATGGGGCTAGCGGTATAATTGAATCGCGATATTGTTTTGTCTGCAGTATATATGAATGAAAGTCGATAAGGAATCGATGGTCATTTCTTTCTATTTCTTTCTACACTTATGTCTTGATATCTTATATATGGTTACGATTACGATTAAATGGATCACTGATTTGACTTGCTAAAGGATTAATTTTGATATTGCTTATTGATTGATTACTTGTGTGTGTTAAAAGCACAAATTCACTCTATTTCTTTTCTACTATTCATTTACCAACGATGGAAATTGTACATTTTTCGGTGGTTGGCGGAGATATACCACATAGGGTAATTACTATCCCATCAGTTGGTAGCTGTGTGTTTCATGCTGTAAGTTATGCATTGTACGATTGTATGTACGATTTCTTGAAAAAAAGTATTGAAATCTCACCAAAAACATGCCTGTTAAAAAGGGGGCCAAGTTCCAATCGGCTAATTGTTTGCCTAAAAAAGGGTTGAAATCCAATCTAATGCCAAGTTTAGATGCACTTTGAAATCGATCATAATCATCTTCATCAACAGCATGATCCACTGGTAAACATTTGCCATTCCCAAGACTCGCCACCACACCCAGTCCTCTGCCTTCCACATCCAGCCACTACCCGCCACCTTATTCACGTCAACGGTCCATCTGACCGAAATTCACTTTACCATACACCCAACTTAAAATATGGTATAGTTGTGAAAATACGTAGGTGCTTGGTTAAAAATATCTAAAATTATAATACTTCTAAATTTGAACTTGGCAGGTTAATTTAATTATTTAAATTATATAATATTTAAATTATATAAATATAAATAATTATATAACTAAATAATAAATTAATGATACAATTAATTAAGTGTTACGTACAGCACAAAAACCTGCCAAGTTCAAATTGAGAAGTATTATAATTTTAGATATTTTTAACCAAGCACCTACGTATTTTCACAACTATACCATATTTTAAGTTGGGTGTATGGTAAAGTGAATTTCGGTCAGATGGACCGTTGACGTGAATAAGGTGGCGGGTAGTGGCTGGATGTGGAAGGCAGAGGACTGGGTGTGGTGGCGAGTCTTGGGAATGGCAAATGTTTACCAGTGGATCATGCTGTTGATGAAGATGATTATGATCGATTTCAAAGTGCATCTAAACTTGGCATTAGATTGGATTTCAACCCTTTTTTAGGCAAACAATTAGCCGATTGGAACTTGGCCCCCTTTTTAACAGGCATGTTTTTGGTGAGATGTTTGTTACTACAAACACCATCGACAGCAAAAATTCGGTATTTAAAGAACGGGGAATGTTGGAAGGGGGGGGGGGGGGAAGAGTGGAAATTATCCATCTAGAGGAAGATTATTGAGAGAATAACCAAGATCGTGCCGGTCTATTAAGTTGGATATTTCCGTAAACTCTACCTTCAGATTTTGATGAAACCCATAATTCATGCCAGGACGAATTTTTGATGGGATTTTACAATAGGAAGTTAAACCGATCGAAATGGCTGATTTGTTTAGTGGGTCTTGTTGACGGTAGAACCTAGCTGTGGTCAAATTACTGCAGCTTGAACATGGGCTGGCTTGACCGGGGAAGTACTACCCTGTCACAGAAGGTCGGCGTGAAGTAGTCCAATAGGGTTTCGTTTCGTCGGATGAGTGAGAGAGCCGGTTTTCCTTTCCTTTTCCCCAATCCAGGTTTGCAAAGCATCCAAAAAAAAATACTTTTGCGGATGTCCATTGGGTACTACCTCCGTCTGGGAGACCGTTTGCTTGTTTGCCCCCTTCGTCATATTAAAAAAGGTCTGCTGTTTTTTTTCCACGGATACTAGAATGACTGGGAATCCATACCAAAGCCACAGACAAACCTATTTGATAACTTAAATTCAAGGCCTCCCGAATCATCAAAATGATTGGAGATCTAAGCTTACATTTAAAAGTGTCTTGTTTGACTCTCATTGGTCCATAGATAGCGAAGAGGGGTAGAGACCCTGTGAGAAATATCCCGGACAGAAGGAGAGCTATGGTAGACGTCAATATCGTTAGCGTACTGAATCTTGAGGGAGACCTTTCCAAATAAATCTGGCGGATAGAGTTGGTGACTGATTTTTTACGATTTGATGTACATGAAAAAAGATTGCAAATGAAATGTATCATTCTCGAAGGATACTTAGCTGTAGCATTTTCTGCCTGAGTAACTGAAGAGATACATTGTCGTATGTAGAGGTTATATCTGTGGAGACATCCACAAGGCACTCTTTTTTGGAGAAGGCCAAAACTTCAAACTTAAGAAAATATGTTTTGGATTTGATATTAAAGTTTGTTGAAAAATAATAGGAAACTTTATCTTCACCAGGAGTTGAATCTTTGTGGCGATTGACATTTAAGAGAGTACATTTTATCTATAGATAGAGTCAAAGGCGACTCTGGAAAAAGATGACTGTGAGAAACGGAAGAAGGGGCACGCTTGTCAGCAAATTACTCCCGTCATTCAGAACTAAAGCATCTATTATTATCATCAAACGATCTACGAAATCTCTTAAGGCTTTTCCATATAAGGAAAGGAGACGAGCGGGGATTAACGGATTCACAAAACTTGAACCAACCCTGGTTTTTCGTGAAAAATCTTCTAATTTTAGCATAAGTTTTTTCGTAAATAAAAGAATAAAATTGTGTGGATACAACCCGTTTATAATTCGCTTCAGCTTGATCTCTTTCCCATAACAGAACTAAAAAGTAAACAATAAAAACCACTTCTGTCTTAAAATGAACAAAACTTGTTTTAAGAAACCTTTTTTTAAAATTTTAACTATAACTTAGAAGTAATACTTAGAAGATAAATTTAAAAATGTGATAGTATCAAATCATTTTTTTTTTAAATCATATTTTTAGTTTAAAACTATAAACTATAATAAATCTACATAAATGTTTAATTAAAAAATTCTCACATACTTTAAAAGAAATCTTAAATGAAATACAGTAACATAATTTAAAAGTTTATATTTAGATGTAAAGATGTTCTTCATCAAACCACTACATGTGCTTTGCAGTGAACTGTAACAAAAGAGATATAATTATTGTAATATCTACTAAACTGTTATTGGTTGATATGTACTTGGTTTTTAAATACAATAAATTCCTAAAATCCATTCATCCAGAAGTAACTAACCCTTATTAAAAACCAACTAAAATAATATTTTTAATTAAATACAATCAGGAGCTAAACATGAGAAATTAATACATATCTCACCTCTAAACTCAGATACAGGATCTTTTTCACCTTCAGCTCTCATTGTTCCAGTTATATCCTCATTTTCCACCATTGGTAAGACAAGTTGTACAAATTCAGGTGTGTATGGTGGAGCTATAGCGTCAAGAACCTGTAGTGTAGAACAAACAATATTATTATACGAATGATTGATCAGTAACAAAAAAGTAAATTTTAATTAATAATACCTCTGTTATAAAATATCTTATAAGTGATATATCAGTGTCATCTCGCTGCCAACATAATTTGATGTATTGCAGCACTGGCACGACGCATCCACGACTTAGCAAATTGACCATACGGTCTAACAGCATTTTCCTTAATTCCAACTAGATAATTAAAAAAAAATTAAATATAAAGGTCTATTTTCTATGCTTTATAATATGTCTCTGCACAGATAATTTAAAGGTACATTTATATTGTTCTGAAAAACATTATTTCGATTCTTCTATTTTCGTTAAATTTCGTTTAATTAAGTTATGATATCATATAAACATCATATGAGTCCTATATTATTGATTGACTGCAATATTACCTGCACTAAAATCTCCAATTCATCTTGTGGAGATTCAAACAACTGTACTAGTAGCTTTAAAAGTCTGTGATGTAGTAGAGGATGACAGGAAGCGACTTCGTCAAGCAGTGCCAAGTGGACTGGGCAATGTTCAGTGCACAATTTGAAGTAAGACTTCTCGGTTACTACACCCTCCACCCACACCAGAACACCCATTCCTACTACTGGAAATCTAAATGAATAATAAGTATTATTTTAAATAAAAAAATAAATTATAATTTTCATATACCATATATAAAAAACATCTGAGAATATCTTAAATATATTAGATACTTAAAAATATGTGTAAAATGATCAGACATTATTTATTACATATTAAATCTTTTCTGATAAGTATGTTCAGACATTCATTAAATTTGATTTAGGGAGAATATCAGCAATAAAAATGACTTAAAATATATATGTTATGTACCTTATACAATGGTAAAGGGCTGGTAATTCAGCTAAAAGTTCACTGGAACTTGCTGAACTAGTGCAAACTGTATGAATTTTTTCAATAGCTTGCATTGTTGCTTTCAACTCATCTTTAATTGGTCTACCAGGGGTCGGACCTTCACAAACACTAGCAGCGTATGCTAATAAATGCATGTACTTGGGTTTGTGTTCTGGATTAAGTTTGCTTCCTGATTTGAATAATGAGTCCACAAGCAGTTCTAGAAAAATAGAGATACATGACACAAATTCTGCATAGATTAAATGATATATTTATTTTTAGCAATATTTAGAAAGTAACAAACCTAAGAAATGTGGAATCCTTAATAAATGTACAGGTGGTGGATCTGGTTGTGTGTATGCACGAAATAGTACTGTTATATCAGCTGGGTTTAGAGCTCCTCTAGATAACATGGCTGCCAGTGCTGTCCGAGCATTACGCCAAGACTCGCCAGGGGTTAACGCTAGTGTTATTGGGGTGACATCGTGACCACTGAAATGATTCATATAAGACTTTGTTTATTTATGGTAAGGACAATTATAACACTGCCCAACACATGTTTTGTTTCCTTTATTTTTTTCACTGTTATCAGTTATTTCTATGTCCCTGAATATGAAAAAAATACAAAAAAAATTCTAACAGCTTTAGTTTTTGAAATATATATATATTTTTTAAATTTAATAAATATTTTTTAAAAATTCAGAAAATTAATACAAAATGTTGTATAAAATACAATGAAATGATCTTTTATAGGAATTTCTTGACTGAACGACTTCAGATAGATTTCGTTGCAAACTCCAGCAATAGTTTGCCATCATATGTGAGTCCCACCGCCCCTGATAACGCTCTTCCAATGTCCTGGACCCTGGAGGAATCTTTTGACCCTGCTCTTTACTGTAAGCATCCAAATTTTTGGAAATCGGTCTAAATGCGAGCGCAGGAAGTGGATTTTTATGCTAATTTTGCACCCTAGTTGTTTCAAATTCGATAGCATGGCCTCAACAAGCTCCACGTAGTCGTCAGATTTATTTTTGCCTAAGAAATTGCTAATAACCAAAAAAAATTAATTCTAAGGTTTCGATTCCACTTTAGTCATTGATTTGACAAAATCAGAATCTTTCACGAGTTGCCTGATCTGTTCTTGAGGTTCTTGGCTAGATTTGTAGACTGAATTAGAATCTTCACTTGATGAATTTCGTTCGGGCTCACAGGGATTCGGGTCATCAGAAGATTTAGATTTGCCAGGTTGTACCTCTCATAATTTTAATTGGGGTCGTTGGGCAGAAGATAAGTTAGGATGTGGCCACTTATTTCGATTGCCAGGATAAATTCCTTTTACTTACACAACCAAAAGTAGCAGTCGTCATGATCGTTTTAAGGTTCTCGCGCCTGACCACCTGTGTTTCGAATATTACTGCATCTCTGTTTCCATTGGCCCACAATAGTAGCCATACAACACATTTTTGACATACAATATGAGGAATCCACGGCTTGTTCTGATTAAACAATTTTATTTTAAAGTATTGTTGATACACATTTTTCACAAGTTCGATATAGGTTTTCGATACTTTGCAAATACATATTCACTACAAATATAGCAAAAAGAGTCGGTATTAAGCACACAACATCTTCTTGACGAAGCCATATCGAAAACAGCAACAAAATATGTTGCAGTGTCGAATAAAAAATACATATGTAGATGAAAGTAGTAAATGAGGGTAGTTAGCTGTAACTCAAAAACAAAAGCTGTTAGAGGAAAACTGTTTCGAAATTTAAAAAATATCCGTCAATTTAAGATAGAAACAAGAAAAACATTAAAGGAAACAAACAACTTTTATTTTTTTGTTGACCAGTGTAATAGATGATAAAATTATTCTTTAATTAACTATGTTAATGAGTATTTAGTTACGATCATTACATAAAGTTAATTGATTGAAAAACAAGCTCAATTATTGTAAATTGTTATATAGTTATACTGTGAGGCTGCCACATTCTTGACAACTACAACTTTTTTAAGGATTGTAATAAAATATTTTGTTTTATTGTTTTTGAGCTCTAGTTTAAGGAATATTTATTTACCTCTCCTGAGCACATCGAGTTATTTCTTGGTTCAATCTTTTCATAATTGCACCCCCTCGTGGTTCTTGGGACAGAATGTGTACAATGACTTGACTATAAACATAAGTGTGGGCTCCATGACACACCATTTTCTATTGATTAATATAATTGTATAAAACCTTTTCTATATCAAGACTTAAGTTATAATATAAACAATATTTAACATAATTATATACTCACAGCACACTCTGTAACACTGTTCTGCCATTGGTCAGAACTTTGCAAAAATCCTACAATTGCTGACTTTAGAACTCTGGAAAATACTTCAATTTGTTGTGCTGCTGTAGATATACTTGTAATTTCACCTTGAAAGCCAGCATCTGATATTAACTGTAATAATATGTAATTTAAGATACAAACATCAATAATTAACATCCTATTATTTTAGTTACCATGAACATATTAAATTTGTCTTAAAGTTATATTACCTTTATAGTGAAATTCAGCATTAAGCAGTCGGGGTACTCTTCGGCTAGTCTATAAATAAGTGATCTCCAAGTAGGATGTTCAATCATTTCAGTCAACCAGGCAGGAGTCTATAAGACATAAAATTGGAGTTAACATTTAACGAAACTACAAACATGACTGCACATGAATTCTACTCACTTCACCCTCTTCGGTAAATATTGTATCAGCTTTTTTCGGATCGAAAGTTTTCAATATCATGTCTTTCAAATGATTTTCCACCATTGCTTGCACTTCAGTCACTTTTACTCCTATGGAAAAATAACGTTATAAGCATTATTAAGCAACAATACTTTACTGTTTTTAAGTTTAAAATAATACTATAAAATACCTCCAAGTATAAGCCATTCAGCCAATAAGTTTGCCATTTGTGCAACAGCATTGTAGTTTATTGACAATTGTTCAATTACTTGTTCTGGATTTCCACCTGCTTGAAAGTACCGTTTGAGCTGACCGAATATACCAGGTTCCATAATGTAGTCAGGGGTTTTGAATTTTTCAAGGCACTCTTGTAATACTTCTTCTGGGTTATCAATAACATCTTCGGTGCCGTCATCCTGAATCAAGTGTTATAGATATTATTTTATTAAAAAATTTAAGCAATTGCTACATTAGTTTACAAATACAAACTTCGTAGTGGTTTTGATTTTGTCCCTCCCAAACACGTTCCTCGTCGTATTGGCTAGGCATAATGAGTTATAATAGATATTTCTTTTAAAAACACTATAGACAGGGCTAAGAAATACTTATTCATCAATCATTACTAAAAAGTAAACAGCAATCACGTAAATGTTATTATTTAAGACAATTGTATTGGGCCTAGTGTCAATATAGACGAAATGACATAAGTCTAATACGATAGTTCCGTTCTTCACAGACTATAAAGAGAAAGTTGTCTTTAAAATTCAGTATTGCCATTTGAGTTCGAAGTTAAAAAAAATAATTAGATAGGTATAACTTTAGTCTTTAATTCTTTAACAATTTAAAGACAAGAAATCCTTATTATGTGTATTCTTATTTACACAATCTATATATATTATATAAAAATTTTATGCGCTATTAAAAATGGGAAATTAAAATAGAGTTATAAATAATATCCTCCATACGCTTTGTATTAATCAAATATTTGTGTTGTGTTTCTACTAATAGGTATAATAAAAGTACTGTTTGTTACAGAAAAAGATCTGGCCGTATACATATTTATACGTTTTACGAAAAAGGCGGTAAAACGGCGAGTGAAAGTTTTGAAGAGGATCTGCGCAAGGAAAAGCACAAGATTTTATCTCGGGAGATGAAGATAGCGATTAGGATCAAGCCGATTTTTCAAAAGTTGAGTTAGGAATTACAGTTCATGCACTGGTCATTTCTTTACTGATAATTTAAAAAAAGCACCTTAACTACACAATATTAAATAACTAAGAATAAACTTTTCAGCATGATTTGAAGTTCACTTCGTCAGAGTTGAAGATTACCTGATACGTCATCTAGTATTTATGATTTATGACCACTTATAGGGAGTGAGGCGCGCTCTTAACGCAATGGTAATTTTTAATCTTTAAAACAATTAATGTGATTGTACAAATTGAACTGGTAGAACATTGTTCTGCTGTTTATAATTGATCGTATAATTATAACTTGTTAAAGTTTAGGGGTGGCTGGAAGGGGTAGGTATCATCAGTCAAAAGTGTGGCGACGGATGTCAATATAATCCAACTTTAAGAAAATGTATAAAAAATTTAGATTTACACTTTGATGAGAGTAAAGTCTTATCTTTGATACTTTTATTACCTGTTAACTGACCAAGTAAGAACAATCCAAACTCTTTAGTCGGTTCAATTCTTATCTGTATAGGAGACAATGTACAGAGAAACTTTAAGTTATTATAAAATATTGAGGGTCTGGCCGTCGTAGGCTCTTTTTGTATAAGGCGGCCAACTTTCCGAAAACTGAATGCGGGACTTAACCTTTCGTGAATGGCGGGGGGGGGGGGTTAGGGATTGGGAATGATATAAAAATCTTCGCAACTGCCCATATTAAATTTAAGTACTCTCTTACGCGTCATGAGTTCAGAAGAAAGAAAGAAAACGAGATTAACGCGGGCGCGATACGCCTGTCCCTATTATAGGTAATCTGTGTTCCTGCACTGTTGACCGTGGTATGGGTGTTGTGTAGAAGTGTGGTAGAAAAATAGGGATGCGGGACATGCGGGACGCATACAACGTTTTGCGGGACTATTTTACTAATAATTTGAAAGCGGGATTTTGTCTAGAATTGCGGGACGGTCCCGCAGAATGCGGGACGGTTGGCCGCCTTATTTTTGTATTATGTTACTCTTAGACTTCATTCGTCGAAAAATTTCACATTTTCTTCTATAAATTTACTAACAGTCAAACCGACGCTTTTATCCATGTAAGTTTAGGTCTCCACATTTCGGCTATTAATTATTAATAGCCGAAATACTTCCTAATATAGCAACCATAGATGACAACGAAAACGTATAAAACATGAAAATTAATTGATTGATTCATTTTGATTTTATAAATTTTAAATACCCAGTTCCACTTTAATATCCGTGTTTTTAATGTCATGATTTAGAGGAACGATATATTATGTTGAACTGTTTCCTAAATCCTGAAAGTGTTACTTATCTATATTTTTTATTCCCAATTAGTATTTTTTTTATGTAAATATTAATAATAAAGTATTTTTATTTAGATTATTGCACACCATTATACGTAAGCAAAACAAACTATGATGCTTGTATAGAATACATAGCTGAAACTCAAGTTTTATAACTCTATTTTTAGGCTTAATTTTAAATTTTATATAGAATATAATTATAAATTCTATGTGGTTAAGGAATAACGAGGATCCGTTATCTGATATCGTTACTAGGTGGAAGGAGGTGGAAGTTTCATGTTGATTAATGAATGTTTAAGACCTCCATTTTGTTTTCAGTTTGCGTGGAAGAAAGGAAAGTTTGGACTACACACGTGTTTTCATTTAATTAATCATTAAATTTGAATAGCCAACTTTATCGAGTCTGACTGTTAAGTTGATGTTGTTGAGAGTTATAGGTAGGTACGTTTTTATTATAGTATATTTTTTACAAATAATGTTTTAGTAATTACTTGTTTTTTACTTAAGAAAAATAGTAAGAAATAAATAGAAACAAAAACATTAATTTGTGAACCATACGAACTTTATAGCGTCCATACAAGATGTGTGTGTGTAAGAGTGTAATTGTCTTTACGACACTAATTCTTTACACATGTCTGGTATACGTAAAATCTATTAAGATTTTTGTGTAAAGTATAAAGCAAAACTGAAAATATTTGTTCAAGTACATAGTCTCATATTGTCATTATTATCATAAGTAGATAATTTAAGAAATTGAATGACCACCAGGCACCAAGAATATTTCCATGCTAGTTTTCAGCAAGACAATTTTATAGAACTAAGTTTCTAACTCTACACGCCCTCACTTTACACTTTGATCAAATTATGAGGCTTGACCTCTAATGGTTGCACTAGCGTCAAACGACTAGCAAATAATTATGGGAATTGAAAAACTTCCATGAATTTCAGACTATTCATCAATTTATTTATCGAATAAATATAACAATTTCAATTATGAAAACTAAAAGCCACTAAAATAAATAACAACAATAATAAAAAAAAATACCAATTAATCATATCAATGGTTTCGTCATTATTATAAAATTTTATGCTCTAACTACACTTATACAGTAAGTAGTGTGTTAAATAAAGGCGAACTCGGGTGAAAAATAGTTCTCAAAGGTAAGCATATGAAAATAATTACAATGATCGCCTTGTTTGTGGAATTTTAATGACCGATTTAGATGATTGATGACGATCAAAAATATTAGAGACTTACAGAAAACTTTGAATTTTGTGGTTCTTTCTGTGTTCGAAATTTTAGGGGGGTTTTTTTTAGTTAAAATAAGCTTTCACCAAATTTTTTTGGTAATTAGATAAACCAAATTTTGCAACGGTATTTCGTTATTTAAAAAAAAATACTTATTATATTTTATGCAAATTAACTCTTGAGATGTACAATTTACATATGTGAACAATGTATCGTACATTGGTATTTTTTAAATATCTGTTTTGAGTTTTCCTACGATTGTCGTTCATTTCGGCTGCACATATCGGATTGTTGATTTATAGTGGTCTTGTTATTTTAGATTGAGTGCTTGCTACAAATTCAAGGGAACTAAAGTAACCTCAGTAAAATCGTAAAACGATTCAGTATAATTGTACGTTTCATGAAGGAGAATTAAATATTAATGTTTAATTTTATAAATGACAAGTATACATTTACGCGTATGGGGCTTATAAAAAGTAAATATTTCGTTAAAATTGTAGATCTACCTTTTGATTAATGGATGGTAAATAATTAGATGAACGTGAAGTCAGACAGTGGTTTAGTTCCTTCTTACTTAGAGCAATACATTAACTTGTGCTATAAAACTTAAGTAAGGATGTAGGTACAACAATATCTTCCTTCTTACAGAGGTAGATAAATATTTTGTGCTACAGAGAGTTCTAGAGTAAATGTTTAACATAAAAAGTTCTAGTGTGATTTCCTATTTTTGTAATACAAATAATATGACGTGTTGATAGTTTTAACTACTTAGTTGTATATTACAAATATATATTGCGAAGTATAAGTGCTTATCTGTCTAATTAATACTACGTATTGCATTAAACCTTATCTTATTAGGAAAAGTTTCTTTTCGACAGTTTCGCTTAAGATTCATTCATCCATATAAAAGTTTCAGGGAAAATAAATAATAATTTCAAACTGTGTTGGTAAATTTAGTAAAAAATGTTATATATATTGGACCATAACATTTATTAAATGTAGGCACAGCATTATTCAGATTTATTTTTAAGCACACCTACACATTTTGTATCTTAATGTTAACAAATTGTGCGAAACAAGGTTCTTATCAGCTGAATCTAGGCAAAAGGCCTACACCATTTTAAAATTAGGACCAGTGTAAACCTGGTGTTCTCGTGAAGCTATTATATCTATATACATATTGTTTACTTTAACATTACAAATAGCTATTATTCATAGGCCAGGCAATTTTTACCCTGATTATTTAAGAAAAGTGTCGAAATTTTTTAAAAATTGGTTCAAGATTAGGATACCGAGGAAATTAGTTAAGCTCGTATATAATAAACCTGCATCATATTTTTTTAAAACCCAATATTTCTTTTTGTTTTGTTTAAAATTCCTAAAATCGTATTAGGTTTTCCTTTCAGAATTTTTTAAAATACTTTTTTTGGTCCCTGTTTGTGAAATTAAGAAAAAAGATAGACATATATTATATTACATCCATATTTATCTATATTCTTTAATATATACTTATTTTTTCCCCAAAATAAATTTGAAAACAAATTTTATGATATCAGATATATCTTATAACCGAAAATTTATAATATAGTGGTCATTACCAAAATTTATATCCATGTCGACGAGTAAATTAAACTGTTATTTAAAAATATGATGCAGTTTTATCGTCGAGATGAAATATAGAAAAGTAATATGAATACAAGAAAGTTATCTAAAATGTAACCTGGTTTGCGTTCTTCTAATTTCATACAAACAGTTCTAATATTATCTTTTAAAGGTCCCGTTAGTTACTATCACTATGAGGCTGTTTGTCAATTAAAGTATAGTTCTTAGATTTTGAAATATAAAGTCCAAGTCGCAAAAGATTAGTTTCGATTGTATTTACAACTATTAGAATTAATTTCGTCAAATTTTATACGAATTTTAATATTTTTTCATATACAATTTTAATTTTAAGAACGCAATCCAGCTCGAATATCATTATACAATTGTTTCAAGAGCTCTGTTACAGACTACTGTTCTGATTTCACAAGGTACTACAACTGAAAAACTTATCACAGTTATTTTATTAAAATGAGTTAATTAAATAAACAGAGTTATATATTTTAATTTTTCGTATTGTAGGCCATTCACGTACTTTGAATTGTAATGTGAATATTTAAAAGAAAAGTTTTAAATATCCTTTAAGGCTTTTAAAATAACATTCTAACAATAATGTTTACCAGTTTCAGTAGACTTCGATGATTTTTTAGATTTAAATAACATAATTTAAAATTTTAGACGTTAAACAGGAAATATTTCAAAATTTCCAACCACACAATTTGACTAACACAGCGAAGTTGACTAGCATTCGTCTTAAATTAATAAAGATGTACAACAAATATATAAATATTTAAATTTATCAACAGAATAAATATTCTCTAATAGAGTGAACAATAAAACTTAAATTGTCCCAAACTGAACAAACAGTATTTTAAGTAATCTGCGTGTTTTTACAAAACATTGCCTTGTGTGTAGTGTTTACTATATAATATTTTATCGCTTCATATTTTAAAGTATTGAACGCTTTTAAGAATAAGTTAAGTTGTAAATTCTTAAAGTAACTATAATACTTATAGTAAGATTAGAAGCCTCAATCTACAGGTATTGTAAGCTATTTATAAGCAGTTGGGCGTTTTAAGCGTAATACTATATATTATCATAATTTATTACTTAGTTACCATGTCTATATCGAGTCTTTGGTCTTTATACATTACATAAAACGACTGGAATCGATGACTTAGGTATAACACAGTACATTAATCGTTGTTAAATTTATAGTACGGCACTAGAGTCAAGTCTGATTGAGAAGTTCGCCCCATTTTATGTCACGAGAGAATTTCTTACACAAAGTTAATGAATTGTATCGGTCGGCCGATGGTATTTTTGCTCATACATCGGGTCGTAGGAGGTGTAAGTCGACGGCGACGTCTCGTCTTTGAGGACGCATGATACGAGGGTGGCCGGGCTGTACTTCGCCCAGTAAGGCGGCGTCCTCAGCGAGGGAGTCACCGGAGCCGTAGTCTCTTTCATCAGCACCGTCACCCTCACACCACGACGGCGACCCTGAGCTGCCGGACCTGGAGCCGCCCGCCTCTGCCTCCGTTTCCACTTCTACGGAACAACTTCCGCATACTTCTGCAATATTCACCAAATTTTTATACTCACATCTAACATATATATTGTCGTACCTGTGATGATGAACATTTGACCCACGAAGAGCCTATTAATGATACAAGGTTAGAATATACGCTCTATTTTACATATATTAATTTAAAATTAATCATATTACACATGCATTGATTTGAAATAAGTTAATGTATTTAAAAAATTTAAATATATTTTTTTATTTCAATCATCCATAATTTGATATATCATTCCAGATCAAGATCCTGAACTACAGATAACGGTAACACATTTAATCGTACATTATTACAAAACATGCTTTAATGGAATACAATCAAGTAACATGACTAACAACTAAATGAAACTGAATACAGTTTACTTTCACTTACTAAATACTAACATCAATTCCGTTCAATGAAACATCTAGACAAATAAAATTTTTAAATCGAATCTTCAAAACAAAATACTATAACACGTATTGTATCATTACGACTTCGTTTAAAGATTCTTCACATATGGAATATTAACTTAATTTATAAAAACGTCACATAAAATGTATTTATGTAAAATATAAAAAGGAGAGATAATTTAAAATATCTACATACAACACCATCTTTATGAGCATTCATAAGGCAGGAGTGACGGGGGACAGGTTGGTACACATGAGGCGGGATATGTCGGAGTAGGGAGAGAGAGAATCTATAATACGAGTACACATTCCACACATCAAAATGGGATGTTTCAGGACTCACGCAGCCGGCGGGGGCCGATAGGAATGGGGCTCTCCCAAGATGTCGGTCAGAGAGAGGTTGACGACGAATAGTCTTCATAAGATGCTGCAATTTTGTAACAATCGCATATTTATACCTATGGCAACGACGTGTAATTGGTTAAATTAGTCAATTTTCATCTATCTACGACATAAAATTAAATATTCCTGAAACACATTGTTTATGATCTTCGATAAGTTGTCACGATTGTTATAAACATTGATGTGGATGAACTGCATCATGTAAGATTATCTATAATAAAGCGCACTAAGAGTGTTAATAGTATAGGTAGCATTACTCAATTAGATTAAGTCAATCACTATTAAAATTGTTACTTTAAAATTATAGCCCACAAAATTTTGCCTATGTTAATAATTATAAACAGATTTGAATCAACATACAGTAAAACTATCGACCATACTGTTTACTTTAAAGGCAAAAAAGAATAAATACAACTGCCTGTGGTCTCGAAACAAACAAACGATATGTTTTTTTGTGTGTTTTAAAATAGTAACTTTCATTACAAAAGCTACGAAAATGTATAACGTTATTCTTATATCTACACTGAACACCATTCTTTTAAGTTTTCGATCTTAAAGCATAACGTTACGTCATGACATAATGATATTCATTCTGATTCAGCAAATGTTAACAAAAACAATTTGGACAATGTTTAGGACTAAAACACGCTCATCCCTTAATGCCTTTTCATCGATTCATATTTTCTCGGTAGCTGTTGTATAGCATTTGGTTGCCAAAACAGTGTGGAATACGTAAACATGCCTTTTTCATGTAAATCTTTATCGCCATTGACATTCTTTGTGTTAACGATATAATAACTGTATATTAATAATACACATATAATATTACCATACATATTAAAATACCAAGGAACGTTTAAGAATCATTTTTGAATATGTAACTATAAAAGTATTAAAAAATATATGATTGGTCGATAGTTTTGCTTTTCTTATAACAACTATGGTTATAATAATAAAAAAATACACTATAAAAATAGTTTATAAGTAAAATACGTTTGTTAAAAAAGTAGGCATTATAAATATACAAAACTAAATTACCTTTACATAATAAAAGACAATAATATAAAAATGCTTTACGATACCTGAACTATCCGTAACGATTCGTGGAGGAGTATCTTCACGATCCGTTGGCACCACAATTACCACTTCATCGTCTCTCGGCGATTCTGTACAACGGCTGGATGATGTTCTAAAACAGCAGACGTATAATGAATTTTTAGTTAACTTTTTTATTTCATTCATATGAGTATTTGGTACTCATTCTGTCTTACTTCACAATTACTTTCTTCCTCATAAACCTAGTGCCTAGATCAGAATATCCTCTGTTCATGGGTCGTTTATGAGGTATGGGGGGCGCGGAGGTCGGTACAGGATGTTCAAATGTTCTAGAGACAGGTGAGTTTGGTTCAGAGCACTGTTTCTCCTGTATCGCTGGACGCGTTCTCAGCTGCATCTCCCCCGATGTTCCACTCTCAGCACCTCCATCAAGCTCATTACGCATCCTCCTTGACGACCGTCTATCTTCTTCATACATCTCTAATAAGTGATCCAACTTATTCTCTATATCATCTACCTAAAATATGTTTTTTTTTTTTTGTAATTAATTATGTCTAAATTAAGTTTAAGCGGTAGAATATGATGTAATTACTCACTTGTCTTTCAATTTTAACTACTCTGGAAGCTAGGCTAATCTTAGATGCATACACATCTTTAGCCTTTGAACCTTGCTTGCCAAGAATTTGGTCTAACCTGTAATTACGTTATTACAAGATAACAAGTTACCTAGCAAAAATAATTAATTGGTAACGTTTAATAATACGGTGTAGTTTGAGGTAGTTCAAATCGAAAATAAAATAATTACGAAATGGTAATTCGTACTAGATTGAGTAGACGTTAAAACATCGGCAATAATAACGTTTTGTTTACTTTCCTTTGCCAAAACCAACAATAAAGCAAGAACTCCTTGAATACCGGATTGCATTCTAACTATGAAAATAATAACAATGAATTAAATAATGAAACATAATTGTTTGAAGGACTTTGAAGCTTGAAATGTTTCATTCTCATTGTATTGGTTTTATTTGTTGGATGGCGGTGTTTGCGTTAGTAACGACAAATAAATTATAATTGCGTTTGGTGTGTGGTTTAACATTTGTTTGAAAATACTAAAATTTATTAAGTAAATTAAACTTTATGCTATGCTAACTGTTTACACAGTTTCATGATTAGGTTTTATTAAAAAATGAACTCATTTATTATTTTCGTAATAAAATTATTGCAAATATTTTTACGTCTGCTCACTCTGTGTTTTAATGATAAATAATGATTAGGAAATTCAAAAATTCATTCCATGCAAAAGGAAAATATGAAGCGACTGAGTTAACTCGTGTTTGTCATAAAAAAGGCCATTAAAGAAAATATGCAACCATAGATTAACCGTCATAAGAAAAGAATTGCCTAATTTATAAGAAAGTCATAATTTTACACATAATATTAATATAATAGAGAGTGCTTTTTTTTAAATTATCTACTTATAATTATATATATTTATTATGATTTTTAGGTAAGTGGAAACGGACAAAACTTTGCTAATTATTGTAAAGCACATTGAATCAAAGTTTAATCTAAAATTAGGAATATTTTTATCAATTCACTAGACATTTTAATAACTACAACACCGTTAAAAGAAGACTATAAATTTAACATATTATCAGTCTTGTGAGTAAATATAGAGCCATATATAAAGATAAACAACAAATACTCGTCAGCGACTGCTCTTCCATCACGATACGTCCATTATCACCCGGCCTCACCTGTATTGCAGGTTCTTCGTTCTGTTTAGAAGATCAGCGTGCCCCGATGAGTATTGTTCTATCACATCTTTCACGTCGTAAGGTTTCAACGCTTCTCTAAATCTCTTGCGCGCGACAAAATACTTGAGCTATACGGAAATAAAAAATTCCTCATGTCCAATTTTAAAAGGATCTAATTAAAACAAACGTCTATCAGGAAGCAAAACTATTTGATTACACGATTATTTGAATAGAAGCCAAAATGTCTATTTTATCGTATCGTGACGTTTTTGTTATAATATTATAATTTTTTTTTATTGACCTTCCGTTTTGTGACGTTCCTGTATTGACGGTATTCAAGGCTCATAATGTCAGTCAAATATGAAATGTTTGTTTCTACTTAAAACGAGATCAAAGGCTGTCTATATTGATCTTGGATGAAAGAAGTTTGACAAAATGTGAACAATGTTTTACAATAATTATATGTATTGGCCGTAGTGAAAGATAGTCATGCGCGATATTGAAGGTTCTGAACTATACCGCAATTAGTATTGGTAATGCTCATATTATGGTAAATATTTATTTATATCTGCTGGTGGTTATATTATATTACAAACACGAATTACCATGTTGTTCCACTGAAAATTTTTCATTACTACACAATACTGCCAGAAAGTTAAAACTTTTTATGTAATTGAAAATTTTCAGTAGTTATAATATATAACGTATAAATCTTATAATAAAAACTCACACAAACTACAGTAACAGCTACTTGTAGAGAATGACATAGCTATACTAGAGATATAAAGAGTTTCAATTTTCTACAGAGATTTAAAGAAAGTTAGTGTATGTTCCAGTCGAGAAAAGGGAAAGGTAACTTGTAAGAGGTGGTGCAAAGATTTATAAAGGTCTCACTGAATAATGTTTAACATAGAAGTACAAATCTATACGGATAAAAGAATCATTTGAAGTATTTCAATTGATTAAATTTATATTATGAATAATGGTTTATACGTATAGATTTATACTATTGGGAGCCCTGCAGTACTACCTAGTCTGGACGTTTTTCACTCGCCCCAGCAGATCGACGTGCCCAGCGGAATACTGTTCTATTACATCCTTTACGTCGTAGGGTTTTAACGCTTCTTTAAATTTACGACGAGCCACAAAATACTTCATCTGTCAGAATTTCATAATTAATACTTGAATTTGACCTTCAGATATTTTTTCATGCATTTATTACGATCTTGTTAATATTGTCCAAAAATATATTGCAAAAATAACATTTGAACTTATACCTAAATATGCGAATAATATTAAAGAAATGAAGTCATGCAGTCTTTTATAAGCGCCCGGGTTTGGCAACATTTTATTTATTTACATCCCACGAAAATAAACCGATTAGTATCGATCTTAAATTTGTAATTTATTACCCTAATACGTATACTAATTACAAAACATCTGGCGCATCGGCTTTACGCGGATAGAAATAGTGAACAAGACCAAGGTTTGTAGTTTGGCTAGAAAACTAATTGTGGATCGCTGAAACGTGAAAGTGAGTTCAGTGTTGCAAAAGTTGGGTCAATCTGCGAACTCTGGATGTATTGTAAACAGTTAAATAATTCAGTGAGGCTCGATGTTTACTTCGCTTTGCTCTTTCACCAATCTCATCAATTATGTAAAGGTTAGAAGGTGAAGTTTTTTTTTATTTAAGAACAACTTAAAAATTCTCTGCCTCAACGAACCCCATTTATTAGAAGTGATATTGCTTGTAAAGCGCCGAAATCTGTAAGGGAATTAGATAATACGTTTAAATTGCCCATAATTTTCAGAACATGCGGTGATTTTAAAACCGAGAAATAATTTATGAAGGACCTAGCGTAGGGCGGGAAAATGTGGTATTTTTTGTTGCGATAAATCTCAGTTGAAAATAAGAAGCTATTAAATAAAACATATATTTAAGAGTGCTATAAATATTTTGTAAATTATGCTATGTAAAGTTAAAATATATTTATTACTAAATACCTATCTATTATATTTTTTTTACTCGTTCGCAGCCAAATCTCTTGTGTGGGATGGTAATGAATATTTGGGTTTAAAGAATTTTATTTAACGTTTTCCAGAATGTTCCAACTCAACTCCGTTACTGACACACGTCTGCGTCATTACATTGAGAAATAATGTTGAAAATTATTAAGCATTTTGTATTCCCGCAAAAAAATTACGGGTCACAGTATCGATGCCTATATCTAACTGAACATTTATACATAGTTTACCCTTTCCTTTAGGTGTATAATATAATAAAAAGCATCGCCTGTTTCATTCAACCCTTTTATATTAAAGTTATTCTCAGTGAAGTAAATATGAACGTCGGACTGTGTGGATGTTAAGAACAAGAAATTTTTCACTCTTCCAAGATCACGTTAACATCTCAGTTTTAAGCTACCACAATTCACAAATAAAGAGAATTTGAATAGAATTCGAGTTTAAATTTCAGCCGAAAATATCAAGTAACAGTTTTTTTACAAATTTATTTTTATTCTTAAATAGTTTTGGAACTTTAAGTATGTGTCGTTAGTCTTTTATATGCAACTTTTTCACAACGCGACCTTAAACAACTATTCGACTCTAATTATACATAAAAAACAGTACGAATTTCATATTAATCATGTTGGTTATTATGTTATCACTTTCACGAATACGGCGAAGTAAAAATTGGTTTTATTAAAATGTATTTAAAAGGTAGACGTGTACACAAATTTGGACTTAATTGTAGTACTGACATAAGGCTTTTATTATCTTAATAGGTTTGATTAAACTCGTCTCAGTATATATTAAAGATAAAATATTAAAGCTTAAATTAAAATGACAATGTACGTACCTTTCTTATAAAACGGATGGCAGCTTTGTGTCTCGAAGTCAACGTGACGCAGCGCGGCTCCTCGTCCTCGTCTGCATCAAAACGTAATATTCAATTAAACTTCTGAAACAAGATAATGGACTCGGATCGCGGCTCGGGGCGAGGACTCAACTACTATAATATAGATGTTCGTTTAAACTTCCCTCAACTCGCACAATCTTATTGCATTATTAGCACAACCCCATTTTTAACCAAACAAGCTCCACTTAAAGTCTTGATTTGAAACTTTTCATCTTTTCATCATTCTCGATACTTTAACAATAGGAACTTGAAAAGAATGGTATCGTTAATTTAATGTTTGTGTTATTTTAACTTTTATATTATTATGTATGTATGTGCTTTTATTATTCTTGTCCATAAATGTATTTTGTTTGAATAACAACCTGTTGAAGACAATTTTAATTATTTTAATAATATTTCTGACTGTCGATATTTTATTCCATTTCATCGTCGATTTTGCTGATCCATGCAGTTATTAATAATGAACAATTTAAGAATTGAAAATTGTCCTATATTAATATCAGACTCCAGTCAAATAGAAAATTATATTTTGAATGTGTATGTTAAGTTATTTGGAACAGTGAGGAAGTCTGCCTAAATAGACACAAGAGTTTGTCGCTTTTGTAAGCTATTTGTAAATACTCGTTATAGCAGTTATAATATAAAGGGAGAATATCAAGTACATTTTTACATTCGTCGTTTCGTTACGACCCAATTTAGTCTTTAACGTCATTAGGTATAAAAAAGCGGTTCAGACGTGAAATATTTTATGAAAATTGGCACAGAGTGGTTCATTCCAAAATAATTAAATACTTTACTAGCGACTCGAATAAAGCACTTATTCTATTTTCGGAGTAAATACATCAATATATGTATATATATATATATATATATATTGATATATATATATACAAAAATATTCTATACATCTTTACTATGTAAGAATATGTAAAAACATTGCTCTTATTTAATTACGTTTTTAAAACACTTTTGCGGGTTTGATGGTTACTTGTCAATATTATTTATTAGAAAACTTAAAGACGCTACTTCATATTCATGTCTTAAAAAGTCGGTTTTCTATTCATATAAAATATCAATATTGTAAACATAAGTTACACTGAAAGAAGAGGTTTAAATTATAATTATTTCGACATATTTACAATAAGTACTTATATATAGGTTCATAATTATTAATATAAAGTTATATAAATCAATTCATCATCTACTAAATTGTAGGTAGAATCCGAAGAGATTTTTTTATACACGATAGAATCTTCCATTACAAAAGGTTCAAAAAATGAAAAGCTTTACACAAGAATGAATCTGCTTTACGATGCTTGTTACATTGAAATGTCACACAAGGTTTGATAAATAAGGAAACAATACATGACAAACACACATACAGAGATAGGAAACACAAATAAACACAAGTGTTACGTTGTCATAAAGACGACCTTTACCTCATAAATTATGCTCTCGTTTGTGGAATTCATTGCTCGTGTTGAGGTGTTGTTCGACCGAGCGATAGAGCTCTTAAGGAAAAAAGAGTTTTTATACAAAAATATGCCTTGAAGCTGAAACACTACAAGCTTACGTAACAATGTGATTGATTAAAAAAAATGCTGTTTGAATATAATGTTAAAACATTAGATGTTAATATAACGTACCAGCCATCTATAAAATAGTTTTATTAACATTTTACATGTATTAATTGAAAGTTTAAATAGTTTAACAATATCAAATATATACATTTGTATTATTTATAGTTTAATAATGGCATAATATTAATCTCCACTTAATTACTTATTATAGGTTATTTCTTATTAGTATCCTGACACAGGGTGCTCTCTAGGGCCATCGAAATGAAGGGCTTGTATCACATAGATTTCTAAGTCAAGCATTGTTAAAATGATACAATTTTGTTAATTAGGAACTAGCAAGCTAAGGATCCATACAAACATTAAAACGGTTTCCATAGTTTGATGTGATATACCGTCATGAAGTGGTGAGTTAGAGTACAGAACTACGTAATGAAATGATAACTACATATAACGACGCTGTCTCCACACAATCTAATAACGTTTTAGTCATTTACTACTCGCAAGCGACAGTGAGAGCATGTCTTCAGACGAAGAGGTTTTCTTAGATAGGAAGACAACTATTTTTAGCCTCTTTAGCTCTTACCGTCGGAGTTTTTCTTGGATAGCGCCGTCTCCGCCACAGAGTCCTCGCTGTAGGAAGGGTTGACGGCTCGATTGCGCCCTGATCGGCCATTCGTCGCGCCTGCCAACCCACACACACGCTCACTTCAACACTGGACCTATTCTTGTCGCATCTATTCAATTCAATGATGTTCCCAGTGTATGTCGTGACATTTGAATACCATATTAATTGCTAGTTTCATTAATAACACGAAATAAACGTCACTTAAGGCAATGTCGATTCCTATCTATTTCGCCCGCCTGTCAGTTCATTGTCGGTTAACGTTCATTCAGTAAATGTTGCCCCGATAGACAAGATAGTTGAAAATCAATTCAATATTTTAGAATTTGAGTTATTAAAAGCTTAGGTGAATAGGTGGCAAGATATTAAAAAGTATCATATATTTACATACGTAAAGAAGAAGTTTTTCGATCACTATTTTACATAAACAGTGTTATTTCCTACGAATTTGAAAATGTGAACCTTAATAAAAATAATGTTACCATTTTAAACTGAACATTAATTTCATTAAAACTGATAATTTTCTTGTTCTTGTACAAATTTTGTAACACAAAACAATTAACAACAACTAAGAAATTTAATAGCCAAGGAAAGCTTAATTCGGAAATTGAGTAAAGTTCTATGATGTAGGTACGTTATAAGTTTGGTAATGTTGTTAAATGTTCTTGATTGTTTTGTCTACATTGATAATTAAGTACATAATATAATATACATCAATTATTTACTTTTTCAACGTTTATATAACAGTGGGTGGAAAAGTTGTTTCTTCATAGCTTCATTTTATTACAACAAATAGTTATTTATAAATATAATTACTCGTGTTTTCGTATTATTAGACTAAGATATGTATTTTAAAGATCATTTAAAAAGTGTAGTACACTTTATACCAATTTTGTTTCATATATTTATGTCGGGAAAAGAGAAGTGTATTTTTGAGCTATCAATAATAATAATATTTCCCTAATTTTTAACGAACATAAGTATTTTTGTGTGCTATTTTTCTTAGTAATATTTTGTAGACAGTTATACTTTTTAGCCTTTTAAGGCTATTATAACGAATGTCCTTTTTAAATATTTACAAAATAAAATTATTTATGCCTGAATTATAAAAGATTATTATAAAATAATTGAGTATAATATGAACTTAACGTATACAAGTTTTGTATTAAAATTATTAAATAATCTTTATTACCTTTTTCATTTTTCAGTATTTTTTTACCATCAACCTTACCCTGAAGATTAATGGAAATACTATTCATAATTTAATATATCTCTTAGGTTATAGTAACGTAGCGTCGTTGAAGAAATTCATGTTTTCTGTTACATATGTACATTTATAATATTAATTAATTGTCTGTGATAAAGTAAAGCGTTGTTTGTTTTCTACGTTCCTTGTTTGCGTCTTTACTATCTCTATACGATTTATGTACAAAGGATTATATTTATTTATAGCTAGTTATATTCCTTAACATCACTATATTATGTTTATCGTAAATTTATCTTTACTTAAGCCCATAGCGATCCAGCCTATAAATAAAGTTAATGTATTCAGTGACGTTAAATAGAATAATGATATAAAAAATATAAAGAAATTAAGTGCACATATTTAGATATCAATTTTTAATGTTGCAGCTAAGAAACACCTAAATAATGAGGTCAATGCAGTGGTTGCCACTTAATGTCTAAGCAAACTATCGATCGATTTGTTATCTCTTTCTTACTTAGGTATAGCTTTTTGAAGTTGTGAAATATAAACAAGCCCCACACATATTACATTCATTGAATCGTTTTTAATTGAAACACACTACCCAGGTATTTATTGCCACTTAATAATAGCAATTAGGAAGCGTTAACCTTTAAATGCTTTTTAAATATTTCATTTTTTTTCACGATAAATTGGAATGATCGACCCTTAAACGATATTGATATGGAATAATATAGCAAAAGGGTACGCAGAATATTTTGTGTTATTACAATATTGACAATGAATATAGTTGTGTTAATATAAAACAAGTTTAAGCCACGAATTATTAATATAGAAATGTTATTTGTCGAAGTAGAACATTGTTAATTAGTTCAACTGGAGTTGTGGTTGCTTATAATTGTAGACTGTCGCTGTTGTCTTTCATAAAGAGTACCACTACGTAAGCTTATGGACGGCTTTTGTTCCGCAAATACGAGAGCCTTTTATAAATGCTAACATACTACTTCATACAAACTATACTGAAGTGTTCTTTGTTTACCAAAATATCACAAAATATTTGTTAAAGTTTCCTAGACATACATACGTAATAATGATAAATTTAGGGGATTTCTTTAAAAATATATTGTTCAATCGATATTAAAATTATGCATTTGCATAAGATATATTTTTATAAAAGAAAATACTCGTAAAATCAAAATGATTTTATATATAAAAAAATGTTCCAACAGCCCTTTCCATGTTCCTTTAAAAAAATTCGGTATTATTACTTTTAATAACACATACCCTTTTTTAATAGAATGAAGGATCGTACTGTAAAAAACGTTTATGAAGTTAAATCAAATTGTAAACTTTCTGCTGTATTGAAAACGGGCGGTACTTGTCCATTGGGTTTGTGAATACGTTCGGTATTCCTTTGTCAGTGTTTAGTATTTAAATTGAAAAGTGAGATACGTGTTCAATCACTCGGATACAGTTTTCAGACGGGGATAAATTTTTCTCTGACATTTCAATTCGAAGTCATAAAATAACGCTGACACATTTCGAAGTGATGTCGTAAGCATAAGGCCAACTGAGGGTCAAATAACAGTTTGTAATAGAAATAGGACTAGGGATGTAAAACTATAATATAAAATTTATATTTCATATATAGGTTATATTTCAATTCCTTCAATATCTATTTCGTTTTAAATTTCTATTAAACATTTATATAATATATACTCGTACATATAAAATATTTAATCTATACTAATATTATAAAGCTGAAGAGTTTGTTTGTTTGTTTGTTTATTTGTTTGAAAGCGCTAATCTCCGAAACTACTGGTTCGAATTGAATAATTCTTTTTGTGTTGGATAGTCCAGTTATCGAGGAAGGCTGTAGGCTATATAACATCACGCTACGACCAATAGGAGCAAAGATATAGTGGTAAATGTGTAAGAAACGGGAGAAATTATTTCATCTTTGAAGCCTTCCGTTGCGTGCGCCGTGAAAACGGTTTAAGATACACTAAAAATATGTATCAGAGAATAATAGCTCTTTTAATGATCTAAAAAACAGTCAACGACAGTATATGTCTATCTTTTAAAACCCCGCAAAAACGGGAACTATGTATGTGGGAAGAACCAAAAATCTGTCGGAAGTAACTATTCCATGCGGACGAAGCCGCGGCAAAAGCTAGTTGTACTATAAATCAAGTTTAGTCATATTTATTGCTGATAATAATTTAGCAATGACTCATAACAGACTTAAGCAAACTGCGTATATAGTTATAGTTAAATAATATTGAGTACGTATACTGGAGTCTAAAGTTTACCTTGTCGTTATTTAATTGTATCGTATAATTTAATCTTATTTAAAATAGTCCTTTAACCTTAGAGTTCACAGAATTTTATTACATTTCACTTTCGCATAATTTTAAATATTTGAAACTGAATTTTAATGTTTGTGATGAATAATTCCAGGTCTTACAAAAGGGTATAAAAGATATTCTCACTTTAGTATAAAAAACTTTATAATTGTTCTTTATATTCCTTGCCGTATTTTAATAGACTTTTAAAAATTTTCATTATTATAATGATGACTTTCTGCAGGTTTTTATTTTTTTTGCACCAGCTGTAGAAGTTCCGTTACAAATACGTTAATATCTGAAATTAAATTTGATTCAACTGTTATATCTGTTATGATGTATGGTACCTATGTATGAAAATGATTTCGTGTTGTTAACAAAACATTTACAGTTCGTTTAAATTATTTAAGCAATTTTTGGAATACTTAGTGTTCATATATAAATTATAACAAGTAATAACTTTTAAAGATTCACTCTACATCTCGTCTGCCCGTGATCACGGTGGCTGTAAAGTAGTCGAAACGTCGGGAGTACGTAGTTTATAGTGAAAAATAAATCGCAATGTAGTAAATCCGAAAATATTAGTCTCACTTTTTGTTTGACATTTGTGCGATGAGTTAACTGAACTAAATATTTTCTCTTTTAGAACATCATTGCTCATTATATCCTTCTCTAAGAAACCCTAGTTCGGAATTGCAATTCAGAATTTTTACTTTTTTCCTGGGTAGTTATAAGAATTTAAGGGGCAACGAGACATAATAAGTTATGAGAGACGGATATTTTATTTCCTTTTAATAACAAAGATTAATGGTTTCGCATTCGGATATTAACAAAATAATAGTCAGTTGTAAGTTATAGATAAAAATATAACTTCGAATGATACAAATGAATGGACCCGAAGAAAGTAAGCAAATGTTTTGAAAATATTGTATTTTATTTAAACGAAAATTTAGTTTTAGAAGCAGTTTTTGTAAGGAACCTGCTAAAAAGGAGTTATTCACTATGCTATGAAGAAAATGGTTAGATCGTCTTATAAGGTTTAAAATAAATGGAAATAATCTTATTATTGATGGAAAATAAGAAAATTTGTATATGTATGTTTCAGTATTGAGTAAAATCTATGAGTGAAAAATTTTAATACTCACAGAATACTAGTATATTACCTTAACTAGTACACATAAGAGCTTAACTAACTTAACATTAATGCTTTAAATGTATCCAAAAAACATGTTTCTCATGTAACTAGAAATCTAGACCACACATTGAACGTAACTGTGTTCTTGTTTTCATAAGTTCTTAAATCAGATTGTGGACTAGGAATTTGAATAAAACAAGAAAGATACGTTTCCTCTTCATTAAGTACGCAATGACATGAAAGTTCAAATAAAGTTCACAGTATTTAAAATAAAACTTTTGAGAAATTCATATTTCTATTCTATCTGAATAAAAAATGATTAAAATAAAGAAGCTCAAGTTTCTTTATTTAAATCATATTCTAAATAATATTCATGTATGCACTTTTTATATTTTCTATAACTCAATATTGTCACACCGAAAAAGCTATAACATTTTATGATAGCATGAGAAATATTATGTGTCGCAGCTCGTAGAGGCCGCCAGGTAAATATTATCAGAGGCGATAAAATACAAGGATATTACAATTATATAACATCAGAGTTAATGTTATTGACCTTTGATATATACTTATAATGACATCTGGCAAGAAATTAAGACTCTTTAGATGACTTTTAAAATTGAAATCGCTATTTAAAAAAATTAAAGTATGTACTTATTTATACATACATATTTTAAAATAAAGTATGCAATAAAGGTTTATAATTTTTTGTATTCAGAGAAGAGAAAATATTTTCTTTAAGTTAGAACATTAACTTTTTAGTCTTTTTTAACTCTATTTTTGACACATCACTAGTAAAATGTATATAATATTATGTATACAGTTGTTAGTTCCTCTGTAAAATTTTTGCACCTTTTAAGTACCTTAGAGATTATCATTTAGCTCACTCACAATACTAAGCCATTGTAAGATTATTTACACTAAAATGATAAATTATGTTTTTCTTTCGTCCCACGAAAAATATGAATATTTTTTGTAATAATATTTAAATCTTCATTCGATTGATTGTTTGATGGAAACAAGTCAATTTATCGTCTTGCTATTCGCCTGTTTCACGAGATGTTTGAGATTCAATAACAATAGCTAATAATAGAGACAGGCGGACGTTGATTTATGTTACGCGTATGTGTAAAGTTCAATTATTGTTAGTTTATGTATATTTTGGAGTGAAAATATTAACTATTTTAATAGGGTTTTAAATAATTTACATGACCCTATTGGCTAGTTCACATGCATAACAAATGCAAAAGCAGTGTTACTTAGATATTCTTTTGAAGATTTTGTAAATTTAATGAAATAAAAAAAGTATAAGCTTAAAAGAAAGCCATTCCAGTAACAATAGGTACGCTAAGTCGCCTTATATATTTTTTTATATATTCGATGTGTAAACCGCGCACTATGATGCTAAACGAACGCATGGTATGCATTCCTTATAAAATAATCAGTATTTATTGATGTCTACCTTAGCACTTACGCGGAAGCGATTATAAACTTGTAGAAGCTACTTTTGTTTACGTAGGTTTTATTTGAAGCTTCTGGTTGCAATGGTATTATTTGTCTTTAAAGCGATTTCAGAACTACGCGGGTGCATTCTTATTTCAAAAAGTGAAAAAAGAAAAAATAGAAGGGAGAATATCAGCAATCGTGACTTGAGCTAAAAGACGCAGCAATTATTTCCGGATATTGAATATGTAGTCCGGTATCAATAGAGCTACGTCGTTTATATATTCGCTTTTCGTGTATTCACATGTCTGAAAAGTTTTAACTAGTAAGAATTAATAAGAAACGCAGCAAAATTTATCGACTGTAATTGTCATGCCATAGTGCCGTCTAAAAGATGAAGAATAGAACCTTGAAAGCAGCTTTTCCAACAATGTAGTAGACAACACGCATGGTCCCCGCTCGTTGTACGATTATCTATGGAACAGGGCAATATAATGTCACGCTCCATTTTAACAATATAATTATCATGTTGTTACAGAGCACTGCGGAAATAATCTGTACATTATAATCACGGGTTGAACTGTAGGTAAATTCGTGTCTGTTGGAATCGTAAATTGTATTTGATATTTATAAACCGTTACCTAGTGTCGCTGTAACTGTCATGAAAACCGTCGTGCCGTCATGATTGACCTAAACTATCATGTGATAACATACATTAAAAAGCTGTAAGGTTATTATTATCTATAATGATATAAGTGAAATTTGAGGCTTAAATGTTTTTTTTATCGTATTAGATAAAAAAATATGATCAGCGTTTGTTGAGCATCAGTGTAAGTTGCTACAGTATACATGAAGTATTTCAGTGCAACTAGTTGTTGTTTACATTTTCTAATATGTGCGGTACAAAAGTTTGTAAGAGTTACATAGTTTAATTGTGGCTGGTACTTATTGTTATATAATAAAATGTGGTTAATTAGAATAATTAACATATCGTTAAAAAAAAAGTGTAAGCTTACAATAATTAAACACTTATAGGAGGGTGAACACGGCAGCTGCGAGTGATTTAATTAGCTTTAAAAGCTTACCAAGGTTTTCAGCACTGGCGTTGACGTCGTATCGATGTGCGGGCTTGGAGTGCGGCGCAGGGGAGTGCAGTGAAGTACTTTTGTGCCGTCGGATTGTCGGCAACCGCGACACAAAGGACGCATTGTTCTTGAATGATGCACTCATCACCCGACTGTCAAACGTTATTATTGTCATTCATTTTTCAGTTTAGGTTTGAGATAACCCTACTGTTGTTAGTTGTTTCAATTAGCTAGAGAGGAACACGGAGCCAATTATCCTACAACTTGTTGTTGTTAGTCGCTATTTTTAGAAATTAAGAAAAAAAAAATACTTTTAGCAAATCAACAAATATTCTAGACTAGCTTTTGCTTGTGACTCCGACTGAGTAAACATTAGAATTATTCTTTGTACTAAGGCCACTGAATCCGAACTGCACTTCATGATTCCACGATGGGGTTTTGGGATCGGGGCTGGGATCAATATTGGGAGCGGAGTCAGAAGAAAAGGTGGCCTATGTCTTTCTCCAAGGTTCCATCTACCTTTAACCCAAGATTGATCAAAATCGGTTTAGCGGTTTAAGTGTGAAAACGTAACAGATAGAGTGAGTCACTTTCACATTTATAATAGTAATGGAGTATTCCACTCTATAGTAGTAAACCACTCTAAGACCTTAATTGAAATTACTTGATTTGGTGACTTCAATGGCAATTTGGTTGACAATGAAATACTAAAGATTATTATTATTAGGTGTATTATGTTGATACAATTCTTTGGAAAATAAATCATTATTAGTTACCAATTCTAAGCCCCTTTATTCGTGATAATGTCTAAACAAAATGTTCGATTGCGATGAAACAAAAAGAGTTTTACTTCTACCCCAATGCCCTTGATATAATTATTATGATTAATTGGGTAAGGATTAATATTAAAATATTAATTTAACGTAGTTTCTTGTAAAAGCGGATATTGTGACTAAACTATGATAGTTAGATATATACTCTCTCTTACATTTTTCTAGATCTTAATTTGACCTACAAATCGGTAGTACATTTTTTGTATTGTGTATAGCTTTTGCGTAGCACTCATAAAGAGGTTTTCGATTTTACACTTTAGGTTAAAAAGTAGCAATTTTTTACGGGTCTCTAATTATTTGAAAATAAATTATAAATTAAATGGTTCCTCTATAAATGGACTGTTCAAGACTTAAATAATTCGAATCAGTTCAGTAGTTTCTGAGGTTAGCCCAAACAAACTAATTCTGCAGATCTACGATATAAGCATAGATGTGGACCATACTGAACACATTGTTCCGATAAAGCATTCTTTTCATTACAGGATCGTCGCTGAACTATATAATAAGGAATTTCAGCTTTATTACGTATTTGTACATATTATATATTGCCGCGTATTTTGCTGTTTAATCTCCGAGTTTGTTTATCACAGAATTATTTTATTTGTATATGTTAGGGCTAATACGATCATATCCAATTGTATGTTATTTTTTTATATATTAAAATATGAGTTTTGGAGTGTTATGTAAAAGCCTACCTTGTTTGCGGACTGGGGAGAGGAACTTGGTGTATTTTCCAAGTAGCTATGCTCATAGAGTGCTCATCGGCCGCATAGCATCGCCACAGTGCCTGAATGAGTGTAGCCGCTGGCTGACGTCTCCTTATCATATGCTTCTGACGTTGTTGTTGTTGGACTTTTAAAGCGAATCCTGAACCTAAAATACCCTAGATGTAAAATAAAAAATGTGATTTTAGATTTATTTTTGGTAAAAATAAATTTAATGTATATAAATTTTGCTCTGCTAGTTGTATTTCAAGACACACAGATTCGATTGGCATCGGAAATAAAATTAGATCGGTAGCTAGATCATGTGTTACGAACTATCTATAAATATTTCTGTTACGAAAAATACATACTCGATTTCGAAAGCAAAAGTAGTATCGTATTGGTAGGTAACAATTCTAAATTAACTAGATATATAGAAACTCACAGCAGGGAGAGCGAAGAAGGATATTCCGAGTAGGGCACAAAATGAAGCTATGAATTTTCCCTGCCAGGTTTGTGGTACCATATCTCCGTACCCCACAGTGCACAGCGTGATCTAGGAACACCAACACATTTCAGAAAGTGAATGAAATAACAAACTTATCAATCCAATGAGATGTAAGTGCGTGATCATTACTTAAAATAATCTTTAGTAAGAAATCCGAACAAGATAACCTCTGACATAATTGATTTTTATTGTGATAGTAATATTAGAAATAATAACATTAATAAAAAAACTCACAACTCCCCACCACAAAGCTTCAGCAAAATTTTTAAACTTGGTGTCCGCTACATCTTTTTCAGCTAAATAGACCAAAAATGATGCAAAAATTAGCCCCAGGAAGCCTATGTACAGCGTGGTTATTAGTTCCTGAAAAGGTTGATATAATTAATATAATGTTTCATTTATTACTTAACAACAAGTTTAAAGTAAATTACTAATAACTAAGCATTTTTTAAAAAATACAACCTAAAAATCGTCACACTTTCAAGGTGTTTTAGATTTTCGCACAGTCTTATGCTTCTGTGAGTTTCGTTTTCCGGCAACACGGAAAAAGTTCTCCTATTCAGAAAAAGTGTATCAAACCAACAATGGTTTGTGTTTAACTCCAACCATTCATACTGTGAAGACAAACAAAGAAATCCAAGACGATCAAAACGGTTTCATGGTTCTTAAGGCCTTATTATTTTTATACAAAAAAATCTAATCCACATTTTCTTTTAACATATAAAATATTTCAAATCTTTGATAAGAAAATAAATGTGATCCCACTCATTTTATGGAGTTCCATAAATTTTATGTAAGGGATTATCGCGCCACATTATACAAGTAGAATGCAATAACGGCAGTGATTTATAAAATGAAACCCTGCAACGTTCGAAAGAAAACGGACCAGTGAATAATGAAAGTCAGCTGAATTATACTTCGCTTATCATATAACTTCACCAAAAACTTTAACTTTTATAAGTTTTTATACCGTTGAAGTTGATATATTCAAAAACTGTAACATATGTAGAAGAATGCTGCCAATAATGCCGTGATTGGTTTCCCAAAACAATTTTCGAAATTAAGTCGGAAAATTACTTTGTGTCTGGATTCAAGTACCCAATTTCTTAGTCAATATTGCAGAAGGAGCGAAAATGCGGCCGGATTCGGTTTATTTACTCTGCATTGTGATCATGCAACTTTAATTTGAACCGTTTGTGAGTATATATATTGAGTCCCGCCTTGTTTGTATCTATTTGGTCGGTAAAGGAAATTGCGACCGTTCCGGCTTGCTAACTCATCGTACTTAGAAAGATGTATAAAGGTTAAGACCTTTTATTCAGTAAAGTTTAGCACACAAAATGACAATTGCTCGAATTGACGCAGTTCGAAAGAATCGTTATTTGCTGGATTTTTTTTATTAACACTGTAGAAAAATTATGTAACTTCATTTACGAGTGTTTTCTATAAGGAAATGAGATTTAATTTAATGAGTATGTATAGCATGAAAATCAGTAAATCATTCATCGATAAACGTCTGTACAAACTTATCTCGCAAAGTAATTGGGTTAAGTAAACATTATGTCGATAATCCCTTTATAAAGCACAAAGCTAGTAAACGTAAGTGATGTAGTAATGATGATTCTAGTAACAACATTGTTACTCTTTTAGTATTACATTCAATATTTCACGTGTTTTGTTTATTTTTATTATGCTACCATATTTCATACTCATTCAACAAACTATGAATTATTCTGCATCAATGTACTATTTTATTTCTCAAAGTAAGCATCATTCTGACATCATTAACCCTCTAATCACTCTCCTGATTATAAAAAAAAATGCATACATACTTAAGTTTAGTAAAAATAAATTGTCTTTGTACAGATTGGTTTTTTTGTAAAGCGTTTTTTAGAAAAAAAACGTATATTTTAAAAGAAACCAAAAATAAATTCTAAACAGGAATTGATGGTATTCAGGATATTATGAAAATGATATTAGTCAAAGCGCCAGGTGTTTTCTCTCATTCTAGTTAAGTAAGCTGGAAAAGCTTAAACAAATGACTGCGCAATATTTTCTAGTAGAACAAATTTTAAATACCAGATTTGCTACGCAAAATAATTCGCCGTCGTTAAATAAGGAGTAATTGAAAAACACCTACGTACACATTTTTAAAGCGTTAATGGTTATGGGAATTTTATGCTCGTAAACATACATAAGTATACTTTGCCTGTATAATAAAGTATAAATTCTTTTAGAAATAATCTTATAAATATATGTAAGAAAGTAATAAAGAAAGTAATTTGTATGTTAATATTTATGTCAGTAACATTCACTAGATGTTAAACTATTATTTTACGAGCTCGGACAGAAACGCTTTGAGTGGCCAGCTTTGAATAAACGCCTACGATACCTGAATAAACATGGAGCATTTAAGGAAGTAAAACATTTTTCAAGAGATATGCAAATGTAGGCCGCAATAGTGGAAACGACATGGTGATGTTAACCGAGTACTCACAGCTAAATTTACTATTCTACTTTTTTATGTTTTTAATTAACACGGCCTTCCAAAGACAATGATGGATACGTTAACCTCTAAATGTTTCATGAGACATAGTCATTTGTCTGCAGCACGTGATTATCCGGTTTCGTGTCAAATAACTAGATAATTTTAAAAGCAGTTATTCCATTTTTATTCGGGGAATAATCAAGTAATACCTTAGTTATTATTTTTTTTTGCTATCTAAATTATATTATTGCCTACGAAATAATTTATAGGTTGCTAAAATTGACTGATTATATTTTTTAAGTCCTTGCCTGTCTATGTGCGTATACGACGGACCCTAGTAGTTTCCAGGTGCCTCCTCGCCGGTCCATGCGTACCATACGTAATATCTGGAAGAACCGCAACCCACGCAGAGCTGACGCTGCGAACACCTGCCCAGACGAACCCATCCCCAATACCACCATCGATGCCAATATGGTGGTGACATCTATAGAAGGAAAAGATTACAATAATCTTACTTATTTTCAATTTAACAGTTTTGATAGAAATCTTCACAGTAAAAGATCTTTAAGTATGTTCATGTTGTTATAAATACTATTAAAAATGTGTATTTTAGAACAAAGTGTAGCAACTTAATGGTTTAAGGTACAAATTTTTGCCAAACTTTATAAATTATTAGTTTATTGGATCTTCCTTCATCATATTATTCGGGTCGCATTTAAAAATTATTATTGATGTCACAACTGTCCTGAAATATTAATCTATTTAAAAAGATGTTCAAAAGTCCTTGATCAAAGCATAAAAAATCTTTAAACCATTGTGTATATAAAGAAAAGCAAATGTAAAAACAAGTATAAAATTTAAGCTCATATATATAAATATAGGCTAAACAAAATATTATAAATCTAAAGTTCTTATTTCATACTTGCCTTTATTTTTGAAATGTTTCTGTTAAGTCTAGAATTACTTGGTCTTTAATTACTCAGTCGTACCAAAGCGACAGACGTTAATAGGTCAAATGTCAACTTATAATAAAGTGAAGTAAGTATAAGCTCGAACGAACAAATCGTGCAGCAATGTTGGAAGTAAGGTTTAGAGTCTCGAGACGGCTGGCTCCCCAGAGAGTGAAAAGGCGACGTCGTGCGCATGAAACACTGGCTCGAGGGAATACCAAAAATGGAAAGGTCAAGTAGGTAAAATAAAGGACACGTGGTAATTTCGCCGTTTGAATTTCTACGAATGTTTTTTCCCCTTTCTCTTTGATATTTGCAAAAATTCAGAACAATGGGAACTCGAAAAAATGTAATATTATTGTACAAAAAAAAATGTCTTACCTATTATACAGAAAGGGCGCCTCAAGAATTTGAGGCGCCCCATTGATCCTTGGTATCGTGATCTGCATCCTGACGACCATAACCTAAAAGGAACATCATATAAATAGACCCGTAAAATATGTCATTAATAAGTTAATAACAGAGTAGGTGCAGAAATGAAGTTTCCGTAATTCAGTTACGACATTTTGCTCAACTTGGTTAGTGGGGTTTTGTTTGGTAAGTGAAGCAAGTCTCCCTAGTGCACAGTAAGGTAAACATAATATATTTTGCAATGGTTATACCATTTAATGTTCATAATTATGAATATGGTAGCTACACATCGTACGGCCTTTGGAACTGAAAGTCTAATATTTACATGCTTTTTTTGGACACTACAATATAAAACTTTATTTAATATTTATTTTATGTGTTCTAATGACCACCACTTCGTCATAACATCCATGATTAGGGTTTGTTGTATAGACAAGGTCGATAGAATTAAATGCTTTTAATAATATAGAAAGCGTACTTTATTGATATTCTCGTTAAGTCTATGGAGTTTTGTTGATGTACATAGAAACGGGTCATTAAACTAGGCTAACCCAAATAAATATATACGAAAAATCATAGGGGATGGTTGTGTTGTATTTCCCCTGTGATTCAGACCAGAATAATCAGGACCGTCTTAACCATATTGGCATCAGAGTCCGAAAATCACTGCGTATCGTAAAGTAAACTCTCCATGCGGGTTAAAGGAAATCTTATAGCATTTATTAATAAAAAGAAATAAACATATGTATATATACTTATGTAAGTGAATAATGAGAATTCGCTCTTTATGTATGATATTCACAAGTTTTCTATAAGGCAATATAATATTTCAGTTATGTGGACTTTATACGCGACATAACTGCTGTGAGTGTAGTAGACGTCATACTGTGCAGTCACGGATGAACTCGAAATGGTTATTATACGGAGACGTATTCAATACAACGCTTTCGTCTATAAACTGTATTCCTTTTACGTAATTTTTAGAAATCTTTTTTAACAAAGTAGTCAAGCAATTTCCACTGACATTTTTTTATTTCATTAAATGAAATAGATTTTGCAATTGATAGGACAAAACCACCTTGATAGTTGTAACTTTTAATACTTAAGATTTGAAATAAAATGAAATGTTTTAGAAAGAAAAATTTACAAAAGCTGGTTATAACTAAAATATAAAATCTAAAGGTGAATATATGTACGTATTATAATACAATATTTTCGATTTTTTTAAATAAATTTATCTTGTCCGGCCAGTTTTAAAGATAGTTTTAAGGGAGAAGAAAGTATAAAGAAATTAAATGGTTTAATTTCTTATAAATTAATGAACCTTAATTTTAGGAATAATTTGTTTATCATAGTAATCAATATAAGCACAAAGAAATTAAGTGAAGTGACTTTCTTGTGTAGCAATGTATGTCATAAATTATTTTCTTTTAATGAGAACATAATATTCAAAAATTCACCGGTCTAATTTAAATTAACTTTAAAATTACTTAAACCTTCTGATGAATTTATGCAGATAGATTATCTTGGCTCATAAATAAAGCTTTCGTTACGGTAAAAATATCTTAATTTGATCCAAATTTCTTTCGCTGAAGCATTTTCATATCCGCAATAAGCCAATAGTTGATGGAAATCAAATCTGTCCAGTAAGCTCAGTGGGTAAGCATTTTAAATCATAATTTGTCCACTTTAACTTGAACTTTCATCGACTTTTGTCGATTGAGCCTTAAAGCAATAGTCTGGCTTGTTAGCATTTTTTGCATTCATCAGCATCTGGCCGTTCTATTTCTTTATTTCTACACTCAAGTTAGTCAGTAGTGCCATATCATTCAATCCACTATTTATAGTTTTGAACTTCTGAAGATGGTAAAAAATTGTGATGATGATGACCAGATCAAAAAATGTCATAGTAATAATGATGTCAGCCACATTATTTATTATGACTTTTGATGTTCTAAATTCAAGTAGGATTTATTTTTTAATTCATATTACATACCAACAAATTATTTAGAAAACATTATTTTCATTGGAGAGAGTTTTGCATTATCTAAACATCTTTTCTTGGCCGATAAGAGTAAACTGAAAACAACTATTGCATGCCAAAATGTTCGTGTAAAGTTGTAGAAAATAATATTTTTAATTCAGCTTTTTAATTGTTTTATAGATATTTTTTATATAATTCAAATCAAGTTGTTGTAGAAAAGCCTCTTCACTAATAGTAGTTGTTTTTCTTATTGTAGAAATCCCTTATTCATCATAAGTATACTGTTAGGCCCTAATATTGTTTTAACTATATTATTGTAATCAACACATAAACCCAATTTGAAACATAACTAATCTAGAGTTTCCAAATTTATTTATTTTAAATTGATGCCTAGAGAAACAAATATATATTTTATATTTTCATATGACATTAGCGTAATATGAGATTAAATGTAGGACAGCTCGATATATTTTTAAATATAAATTAGAAAACGTATATTCAAATTACTATCATATTTTGATATAAAATAAAATGTACCCATTTATTCATCCTATTTAATTATGTATTTATCAATTTCCCTTCATTAAAATTATACAAGGGCTATGCTTCGTAATCATCAGCTCATAAGAATTCGTAGTTAGAATCAACGAAAAGTTTTTTATGAATTATATTTTTTATTCAATCCTTCACTTATTACTCTTGTAACCTTGTGGTAACACATGTATCAAGAAAAAAAGGATTTACTTGACAGAATTTATTCTTATTAAATTCGTAATACGAATATTTTAAATTTCTCTTGACTTTCTAGAAGCAAATTTATTCAATTTAATCTTATTTACATATGACGGTTAGTAAGCACCGGTCAAAGTTATAAAACATCTTCCAGATAATATATTAGGACTTCTACTAAAATTTAAAAATCCTTTTGGTGTAAAAATATGTTATTATTCTCATTTTCAGTATTGTAATCAGTATTATATTACTTAAAATTAAAGACACTTAAAAGTATATATTTTTAAATAATATTAATAAGACAATATACAATTATTTGTTTGGTTTACATCAGGTAAATTAAAGAGAATCAATGAATCTATAGATTATTATGTAATTTCTTATACCGTAATTACATAACCTAGCTTTGTAAACTTATTTGCTAAGTTAGTCACATTTTTATTGATCGGACTGAAGTGGACGATATCAGTGACGAACCGTGTCCGCTTTGATTACTTTGTTGACAAAACTAAAATTATTTCTATTATAGTATGATATAAAAATTAATTACCTTAAAAAAAATTCTATAGCGAACCATACGACGACTACGGTCTCCATATAGAATAGGACGATGCCAGCTTTCGCCTCGTATTCTTCTATGGTGGAGAAAACAGACAGCGACAAACACATGAACACCATCAGGAACCTGGTATGTAACAATCATTAAAGGAGTAGTTCAGTCATATATATGTAGATGTGTGTGAAAACATATATGTATAAACCTGGACCAGTACATAACAGTGATAACCTTACAAAAGTTCCTCATAAATCTTCCGGGATAGCTAATAAATTGTAAATTGAACACACTGTTTAAAAATACATACAATACAACGTATTGAACTAGAAAAAAGAAAAAAGGAATTTTCGTGGTTTTCGTATGACTTCACTCATTAAGTAAGTCAACAAAAACGTAGATCCCCAAAACCGTAGAATATTCAACCAACTGTATTCTAAAATATTTTTACGCAATAAATATACAGGGTGACTGGTGAATTACTATCAATATTTAAGGAGAATACTCGGTACATGATTCTCATTTGAATTATGTAAAAAAATAGGTACTTAATTTTTGACCAAATTTCCGTATAAATAAATAAAGTGTTGACACGTGCCAAGTGCTCCAAGTGTGGACGCGTGCGGCGGGGTGCTGATACAACACCACGCCGCCGCACGCGTATGTGTGAGTATGTGTGTATACCTAATCTGTAGAGTGTTCACACGATGCGTAATTAATTACATAATTTTGGTTAACTTTACTTAGAAGTTTATTAATATTTATGTTATATTAATTTTTATTTTGTCATATATGATCGTCAAATATCACGTCCTCAAGTATCGATAGTAATTCACCAGTCACCCTGTATATCCATGTTTGCAAAGTTTGATTTTTATCATTTAATAATAATGAAAATTACTCGTATAACAAAACCAATAAATATGAAAACGATACGACTCTGTTTTAATTTTCTTGCAGAGCATTCTCCAGCAAATTATTATTCAATTTATAATGCTGTTGAATTTTATTTCGAAACTAACGTTAAAAAATTTCTAATAAACTTCATGAAAACATTTCAAATGACATCATGTTCAAATAATCTTAAAAATAAGTGTGAATAGATTCAATGTTTATTAAAAAAACATACTTAAATATTACGACCGCAGTAAAATAAAGATACTTACCATATGTGTTTTATTATTTACGGTTAATAAATTTTAAACGATAATCCGTCCACATTATCTACGGTAAAAATACACAATACAAAGTAGGTTAATGGTCTTACTCACACAATCATATGATATAGGACGGCCTTAACACCCCGTGGCCGTTCAAGGAAATTATAGAACTTGGATTGCAGGCGTCGGTAGCGCGCGTCGCGACGCGTGGCGCGGTAGCTGAGCGGCTTGCCCAGAAGAGACATCCGAGGCGTCGCCAGCCGGTCGCCGCCACGCTTGCACTCACTGCAACACACCGCACCCATCACCACACACGGCCACCCACTACCGGCTCCTACACAACACTACCGACGCTTACAACAACCAAACATCATTGTTATTACCACTCACTGTTCAATCCGAACCAATGATATAACACTTCTTGACAAACTTACTTCAACTTGCAATACTAATTTGAGGGCTGCTTTTGATAGCGCTTTTTGTTATTCTTTAGCTGAAGTATAACACCATCATCACGGGTCGCCGGTTTAAAAGAATTTCTATACGAATTTTATCTTTGAGAGATTTGTTTATGTGAATGACCAAATAAAATATAACGGCGGTTGTTTATACATCGTACAATATTCCCTCAGTTGTTTCAAGCGTGTCTTGTTTGTCATTTGGCGTAGCGTTTTTATGTATTCAGTATGGAAAACCTGCACGTTCAATGTTTGTCTTTTTTTTTGCTATCCGAATTGTTTTTACTGGCTAAAATATTTTGCTTACTTTGAATTTTGAAATTACCAATAACAAAAATTTATGTTATTATAAAAAGTTTTTCTTTACTATGGCTATCTTCACTACTATATACTTCAGTGATTTCAATTTATTTAAAATAATTAATGTAAATATTAAGATATTTCTTAATGACTGTGATAAACATTTGTTATACAGTAATGAGTAACGGGTACTCAGGTCGCACAACTACCTAGTTATAAGTCCTTGAAATAGCGTAGCAAAGTTTGGATAACATTGACAGAGGCAAAAGCAAGCCAACCAGTAAATTCTGTATGTTATTTTGGTAAAATAACACCTTCGCTTACCGCACACTATTAATAATGATTTAATAGATATATTAATTAGAAAGAAAAGTTTGAAAAGGTTTTTTTATTTATCGGGAAAGATTTTAAATTTTTATTCATAACTAATATCTCTCTTAATTTTTCTTCAATCATATATAAAATTATTTAATTACGTTACTAAGATATGCAACAGATTATTTATATAATCGTTTTTATATTCTTAACTTTGTAATCACGTAAGAGCGTTTGTGACTTTCAAGCTTTTAGGGAATGCGTGGAAAGTAAAACGTTTGGGATATAAATTTTAGCAGAAATAAAATAAAACACATCGGTGTTTTCTTTTGTTGATAATGGATTAGCTATAATTTAGAATAATATTCTTATTTCTTTTCGAATAATATTATTCTTTTCTAACAGTAGTTAGTAGTTAGTAAACTAGTTAGTGTGCTTGCATTATTAAGGGTATCTAATCTTAAAAGATCGGGATTTGAGATTTAACTAAAAACTTGAATCCTTTGCCACGAAGGTTAATTATATTTTCATAATCCAAGTCTTATTAATCAGTACCGCGTTTTAAATTTTAAGAAGGCAATTTAAATATTACAATGAGAGTCCCGTTTCAAGGAAGGGGTTGAACCGTAACGTTTCACCGCTTTGGATGTGCTCGTACTGATTACACGCCTTGTAATTTTCTAGCGCCGCCATTGCCTTTGCTGGTTTAAATCTCTAATATCTACATTGCATGGATTATGGTGGCGTGAATTATTATATTATGCATGAATTATTATGATTACTCAATTTAGAGTAAATAAACATTTTTCCTTTGCTCGTGGGATGTATCAGTCATTAGGTTGTGTTTAGCAAACAAATATATTCGGATGTATATTAAGTAAATGTTTGCGTTGTAAATGAGAAAAATATGATAAATAGAACGTTAGTGCTGTGTGCGCCTAATGTTTAATGTTATGTGATTTTGTGGAGTTCTTTATGAATATTCATCTCATTCTGAAAATAACGATGTCAGCGCTCAGATGTAATAAATCTAATAATATTTCAGACACACATAAAAAGTCAATAATAAATATATAAAATAATGATTATCTTACTTAATCGTGCAAAAAAATATTATCTATTACTACCTATTTCACTATTCATATCAATTGAATGTCCGTTTTAGTGTATTTAATGAAAACAAAAAGGTAACGTGATAATTTTGAAACAATTAATTGTATTCCTTCACTTTAAGTAATCTTGTTGAAACATATTACAAGGTAACTAATGTAAATGAAAAGTTCCTACAACAAAAATAAACCGTGGTAAGTGACGAGCTTAACTTTGCAGTTGGAGAATTGTAGTCTCCAAATATTTGTATAACTAGCGGTTAGTTTAACCACTTCAAAAAAGTTTATAAACGCTAAGAGGTAATTATTATTGATGTAACTATAAATTTAAACTTTTTTATTTTCTTCATATTCACTAGCATGTATTGCTTTTTCTTAATTTGATTATTCTAAGTCCATTAGCAGACCGCTGTAGGTTATAAATTATCTTTAAATGTTAATATGTCGATCGTCTTTGTTAGATTGTGTGTTTTTTTGTACTTTTTGAAAAATTGTAGTAGATTTGAATAGTAGTAAATAGTTGAGGATTTTATTATTCTTTTCTGCTCTATATTTATTTTTCTGGAAATCGTTCTAAATGTACTGATAGTCGGAGATGTAGACGATAACAAATTTTAAGGTCTTCTTATTTGTTATCAAATATAATGAAACCGACTAAAAAAAATTACAAAATTTACTCTGCCTTTTAATTATTTTATACATTTTAAATAATTTAATACATATTTCCTCTTTATTTCCATTCATAATATTGAAAGCTTTTCTTCATCTGCATCACGTGGTTTACCGTAGATTGACCTAACTTTCTCATTAGCTCAATAATTCAAACTCTCTTAAATTAAGTACCACATTAATTTATGGTTATGACGCCATATCTAATGCAACATTAATAAACTGCTGGAAATTTTATATTTTAAGGAGTAGTTACATTAAATGGATGAAATCGATAGAAACAGAAGCTTTATTCCGAGATAACTAACAGAAATGACTTCGATAACATTAAGTACAATTTTTATGGATTTGAACCAGCGTTATCTATTGACAATAAAATACGAGTCAGTTCTTAACTATGAGATTTCACTTCACTATGTGATACGTTTTTCGTCTGCTGATCAAAATTGAATGTTATAATCTTGATACTATATCGGCACTTGATTAGTCGATTTATGTATTAAGAATATGCGACTATAATACCCATCTTGTTATTTATAGTGGACAGAAAACTCTTACAATTCAATAGTAAATCGTTCAAAAGGTATATAACATAACATAGTTATAGCTGTAAGGTTTGTTGTAAAAAGAAAAAAAATAGATAGCATTTGTTAAAGAGACTGTTTAGTTATTTATCGTATATAAAATATACGATTTATACAACAACACGGATTCAGGCTACACAATTATCTACTGCCAACAGATTGTATAAAAGATCAATTAGTATTATGAAACATAAACCGAAATATATGAACACAATAAATTTTTATAAAGTGTTTTAAGTACTGACATATTGTGTAATAAATAGATACTTAACATTTTTGTCAATAGTGCTCAGTCACACAAGTAGTCGGTAAAATATTGTGTTACAAAATATATTTATTTATATAGTCCTAGTTCCATGAAACATTAATAATATAAAGAATGATATTAAGTGTGATTAATAAACACAGTTATTCCATTAAATATCGAAAAACGTTTTTATTATAGTCGCAAGGACAGCTATTAAAATATATATATTTAATATATTATTATAGAGAGGAAAGTTATTTCAACATTTAAAATCAATTATTTAGGTGAAATATAGCAGTTTAGCTTTCAAGTAACATTAAATAGTTTTTGTATATTATATATCATCTGTAAATGATTTTTGTGAATATATGATAACTGTCCAAAATGTCACGATTTCATTAAAAAAATCCCTCCGTACATATTGAATATTCACAATTTAAAAGACTAGTTTTCTCAACGACTTCTAATGTATTTGATACAAATCATAATCAAACGTTTGCGGTGCTGAGTAGTGAATAGTGATTGAAATTTTTATACTTCAACTACAAATCTAAAATATAGGCGCACCTATTTCCAGCACGCTCAGTGTAACAGAGGTATTAACTAAATCAATAAATTGTAGAGCATAAAGAGAAAAAATATGCTGTTATGAATTTTCTATTTTTAACTTGCCTTTATTTATCAGTAACATAAATATCAAATATGTATATTATATGCATGTCTAGTAAATTGTGATTACATAATTTCGACACAAAGGTAATAAACGAAAACTGTAATAATTTAGTTCTTTTCGTGATTACTGCGTTTATTGTATTTTGCGAATTGTTATAAATTAAAATGACAATTTTTTTTTTACCACTAAAAAGTTTTGCTATAAAACATTTTGGACGTGCTAGTCTTTGAACATTATCATAATTTTATTTTACCGTCTAGAAACTCTTTGACTTGACAGAATAGTTTTCATAAACTTTTATAATTACTTAAAAATTCATGAGCGTGCTTAGGCTTTTTTCCCAACTGGCATTATTTAAAAAACAGGTTAACTTTGATGTTTCTATGTGATTACTCTCAAATTATCATAAAGCACTTGTCGATGTTATGTATTTAAAATTATACAACACTTCTGATTTAAAATAATTTGCAGTAATCGATACTTATTAAAACAATAAAACAAAAATAATAGTTGAAAACAATTTACAAGTTGATGGTGCCAAGCAATAATTGTGAATAGCTTAAGATCCGTTTAAATTTAAAATTTTACCCTTATAAGAAAATAGATAATTCATGCGAAGCAAGCCTTGATACTAATAATATAATTATTTTTAACATGTTGCAACTTTTCAATCGTCATTATTTTAAAGCGCGTTTTGCTTATCATTCCGACAGTTAAATAAAATTAACAAACCACTTCTCAACAAGTTGTTAAAATAAAACATTAAAAAACGGATCAATTGAAAACACGTAAAACCCAGTTTCCTAGTGCATCCGTTAAGCAATTTTGAGGAAATTTAAGTAAAATCGGTACTGATCGTTTTCAATACGGCAACCTTTACTATATAATAATCTCAAAATATAAATTCATAATATATATGTATACTATTATAACCACATTGATGTTTAACATGCGTAATTCTACTAATAATACAAAAAGTTTTATTATTTATCAAAATATAAGTTTCTGAATAAAATCATAACAATAGTATAGCTATACCACATTCAATTCCTATTTTAATCATAGTTTATTCTTTTTCACTACTTTGAAATTTAAACTAACGAGAAGAGACTTAAGGGCTACTCAAAGAAAGGCGGCCAGCCCCAACCACGCTAGAATTTTTGATAAGATTTAACAGAGTTTTTAAAGGGATTTTAAATCGTTGATTTAAATAAATGGTAACATTAATAATTCAACATATTTTTCACCTTAATATTCACATTGAGATGGATAGCTTTGACGTTGCATATACGATAAATCTTTATTTATTCAAAACCTAGCATAGAGAAATTCTTTTATATATGTATTTCAAAACTATATTGCTATTTTCTTTCTAACATAAAAGTTTTGAACTCGGTTATGAAACACAGCTGTGCTTCGGAAATAACTTTAAAAGTCATATTTTCATTCAGGTGCTAACTAAACGCTTTTAAAAACGAAGCTAAATAAAAAATGTATATTGTATGACTACGTTCAGTTTTATTGCATAATAAGCAATCAAAATGTAATCTAATAATATAGATGAAATTTTACAATGTAATTTTTATGATATAAGCATATAAATATGATGGAACGTCTACTACAGATTCGTTATAGAAAATTATTGCATTAAAATACATGCGTTCTCTTAATTAAAATTATATTCAAATCGGAACATGAAATCAATGTGCTGGGTTCAATACATTTTCTTTATTGGAAATATCATTATCGGAGCCACAGATTTTCTAGTAATTAAAAAAAAATTGATATCGGGAATAATTAAGTTATATTAGTAATTGTATCTGATCTTCATAAGAACATTAATTAATATCATTGCTTTGGAATATGGCTATAAAAAGATATCTTCCTGATCATTACAACTCATAATATTTTGTGGTTATGTGTGGGTCGTTGTTGTCTTTTATTAAGGATAATGTTTGTGAATGTCTTGTTTGTTTCCTGACAATAATGTTTACAGCTTGTTTAATTTGGTAACGTCAAAGTTTTTTGTCGTTATGCAAAAATTATTCTGGCTTCTTTGAATGTATCTGTCATAACTAACTTAGTTTTCCTTGATATGAAATTAAGCTTCAGTCGTGCTTGTACTTGCTTTGCCTGTGGCGATATTGCATATGAGGGTATGTAAATCTGCTTCATTAAGTTAGTTGAGGTTACGTGAAGAAACAGTTAGTATTTGTTAAATAAGATTTTGTTAGGCTTAACTGTATAAGATTTTATCATTTTACAATAAATAAATATTTACATTTCATAATAATATTTATATATGACTATTCGGAAAAAATATAGTTTTAAATACATTCTAAATAGTGCTTAAATAGAAAGTCTATTATGTCAAGGCACAGGCAAAGCTTTCTTAATCTTAGACATCGATCTATAACAAGCGGCACGGCTTGGGAGGCCTACACTTCTGATATTGTATTTTGTATATATAATTAATTATATTTATCACTATATACCAGCTATGACCTATTTTTTGGATAGTTTTAATCACATCCACATATTTTGTAACATTTTTACATCTTTAATACATCAAGTGGAAGAAGAATTGTCCATTTTTTCGCATCACTTTTTGTATAAGTTTCAGTTTCGTAAATGGATTTGTGCCTGTGTAGTGACCTTTGCCGGTTTCATTCCGATAGAATACCTGAGTGCCATAAGCTTACACAATCAACTAGAAAGTATCAAGTGTAATTTATTAATAAATTGAAATAGAATGTTCTATTGTTATATATATGTAAATAGTTCACAAATGAGCCTATAGGTCTCTAACACTGCGGGTATACTGCACCATGTCGCACCCCAATACCTACGTCATTAAGTTACATAAATTATTCAATCACTTACTATTTGGTAGTACAAATCACGAGCAAACTATTATAGCTATGAAAAACTTTATAACGCTTGATCATAAGTGAAAAAGTATAATTATAGAATATCAATTCATCTATTCATCCATTATTCATAGATTGAAATTAACTCCAAGTCTCTAATCATCTACTCTAGTTTTTTTTATAAATATTTAATGTAAACATTCCTCGGATACGATAAAAATACAGAGGTTATTTTTTTATAAGAGTCTTAAATTACTTTTAAGTTTCTCTATGTAGGTTTCTTTCTTTGTAGGTACTAGTACGATTTCCTCAGAATAAATGTATTGTTATATTTTATTTATGAAATATACTTCAAAAGTATTTCAAGAATAATCAACACTTCGTTAATATAAGAAACTAAAATAGGTTTTGTTACTTTATAATAGTGTTACCGAACGTAAACAAATAGTTTTGCGGGTCTGAATTTATGTGTGTATAATATAAAACAAGATATTCGATAGCAAAACAATACATTATTAACTGGATTCCCTATTTCTATGATCTAATATAAACAATGTTATATTAAATAAGGCAAGTTCAGCACACGAGTTTCTGAAACATACAAATGTGGGGAATTAATTCGATTGACTTAATCTTGTATCAAATCTATTGTATTATGTATTAAATGCAATCTAAGTTTCTTGTCTCTTTTTATAAACAGAACTTCTTTTGTAGACAGCGGTACCTTTTTTACAAATTTACTGACCGACATGATAAGTAAATTAGATGATTCAATGCCGTTTCTAAAGAACAATTCCAAAGTATAATTTGATTTGATTTGAATTCCAGTTATTTAACATTTCGAATAATAAGAAAAATATAATTTAACCATTGAATTCTTCAACACAAAAAAAGCGTAAAGGAAAAAAAATTCGATTCAATCTTTTAAATGGCGATTTAATTACTTTCATTACATAACGGGATTTTGTTTTCAATCGTTTATATTCAAAAACGTTAGACTATAGAAACCATTCACTGCTATAAGGAAGATTTCTTGATTGCTTTCAAATTTCGATAGGGAAGTATCAATAAGCTTAATTGAATTTCTTTATATTACATAGCTATAATTTTATTTCCACTACAAATATAGTAAACTATTTATTTGTTTGATATTCCTTGTATATCACTTTTATTGGCTACAAAGAAGATAATTTCATGTTATTTCATGCCTCAATTGCGCTATGGGTTATAGTTTCTTTAAGTGCATTTAACATTACATCCTAATATGTGTAGGAAATATGGAAGGATTTTATTCTAATTGCGAGTATGGGAACTTAAGTTGTATAAATAAATTCTTAATTAATTTCATTGGAATTCTATCCCGCCGTTCTAGTTATGTGGAATTATAGTGAAGGTCAACATGCTACGTTCAACAGCTTATTTGCTATGGCTTATTTTACATTGGAGCAATAAAATATTTTACAATGAAATTTTTATTAAAACTAAAAATCTATTTTCTATGGGTTTTTATAATGATTTTTGTTTTAATATACATGTTAGATTCGGTATTGGATTTTGTACATAGAGAATGATATCATGTACACGTAGATTAATCATAGATAGATAGAAGTGAAACAAGAAATAGTAATATAAAACAGATTGGAAGGAGGTTGAGTTCTTCCTAGCGGGATATATTTAGAGTGATCTAGTTATTGGTATAATCTAACTACAGCAAAAAAACACAACCGTTTAAATGTTAACGTAGAAAATGTTGGGCTAGTAAAATATATGGAATAAAAATAATCGTCTACGTAATATCTAAGTATAAAAAAAATAAGGAACAAAAATACTGTAATGTATTACCTATGAAGTATAGCATCTTCATGTACCCGTACACGCCTTGTTGATTTCATTTCACCTAAACATTTATGCCAATCAATAGGTATGTTATTGCACAGCATATAAAATCATTTTTCAGGTCGTGGCCGGTTATGATGATTGTCTTGAACTTTACCAACCATAGTGTCAATAAATAATAGTCATAGGTATCATAGTGATTTATTATTTGAGTATTGATTCTACATATATAGTGTAATATATAAAAGTTAATCATGTTGGTGTATTGACTTTCGTTTATATTAAATTTACTTAAATCATGGAATAAAATATACTATTTCAGTATTTTAGTGTAATTTTGTAATAAATAAATAAATATTTTGTCTTTCATTGTCGAATCGAAAAATAATATCGTTAGTCGAGGCTAGCGACGGTACATTGAGTGATTACCGCCGCCGGTCGTTTAAAATTATTATTATATTTTAAATATGAAAAATCTGTTGAACCCAACACTACGTTTAATGGTAAACTATCGATCCAAATATAGAAGGGCACTTTGTGCGCCATAAACTGAAGTTTCAGTTAGCATTTACCTACTTAAAAATCATAAAGAGACAAACAGTGCGACACAAAGAGCATGCTTTATTTCAACTAATCGTTCGAGTAAATGTCGTCCAGCGAGATTAAAACAATTTACTAACATTAACTTGTCATGAAAATATCCCAACCAGGCATTACTTACATACCTTGAATTTCACAGCCAATCTAAACAACTAACAACTGACATCCATAAATATTTACATTCCGGTGTATAGACGTAAAACGCGTAATCGCGTGCGTTACGGGCTACGAGAGGCGCACGTAGACGTGCGCCGAGGGGACGAGGACGGCACGGCGCTGTGGCGGAAAGCGCGCGGCGCGTGGCGACCGGCTCCGGGGCGCCGGCATAATAGCCGGCTGTAGGAGACTGGCCCTGGCTTCGAGCGCCGAGTGCCGACTGCCGACTGCCGACTGTCGACTGCCGACTGCGCCTCCGTGCGCCGCCGCGTCCGCTCGACCCGCCCGCGCACCTCTAATTCTAATTGCTGGCCATCTCCTACGATCCAGGTCATCGTGCCCCAACACGAATTCACTGCGTTATGAGAAATTCGTTTGTAATTTGAATATTCTATATTCGCTATCATTTTTTCAATTCGCGCTGAAATTACCTTTTGCAGCGGAAAAAGCTTCCGACTCTAAGGCCAGGCAATATTCTCTGAGCTTTATGAGGAATGGGGTATTCCTTCTTTACTTATACGCTGCTTTTACCTTAATTCTCTTTTAGCTTCTAATTGACTTAACAGTCTAGATTTTTGTCAGCTCTGTAATAATTAGGTTCCTCGTTTAAACACAGACACAGTCTAATTTATTTGAAGTATAAATTGGCCTCCATATTATTATTCCCTAGATCGATATCATTTATTGGAAATGTTCAGCTGTTGTAGTGTCAGCCTATTAGTGGGCAAAGATGACAAGCCGCCAGGCACTTCTAATGAGAGTGCTTCTAACCTTTGTAGCTCATTAGCTAGAATGTGAACTTATAAAAGAATACATGTGCTTCAGTTTATTTTTACAAGACTATACCGAACATGGAAATGGCTATGATTGATATTTATGATCCAATCATTTGTATCGTTCAATTTAGAAATATTTATTTAGACCTATATTAAAACTAAAAAAATTACAGCTTGTTTGATAATTTACAAAAAAGGTCGAAGTGATAAAAATTATATATAAAACATATTTCCTTACAGGTCGTTTAACATTTAGTTTCTTAAAAATAAATCAGAATCTCATATCCTAACTACCGCACGGCACACAGTCTTCAGACAGTGTAATCACATTTTGCGTGCATCCGATACGTTAGCGACCGTTGTAGACTAGAAATAAAAGAGCTTTGTTTACATTGTTTTAGTGAGCTTTAAAGATGGCAAAGGAGAAAAATAAAAACTCATGTTTATGCGAACATTTAATGGAACATCTTAAGTTTTAACTGCTTTGTAATATTTATAGGCAAGGAGCTCGGCTTACAGCGTACTATATAGTTATTGTACATGCATTAAAAACGTGGTAGTGAAAATAAATGGTTCATATTATATAGACTAAAATACCTTTTAAACACATATGTACATTATTGATTCCCATTTTATTTTAATGTCTTCTAAGAGGGACGTTTTAAGAGTTAAGATATCTTTCTGTTTTAGCACTTTTTACTGTCTACCATTGTAAGTTAAGCTTTATATCTGCACTTCGTGCACTCTGTCAGCGACGGGAGAACATTTCTGAAACTTTCTATTCTTCTGTGCTTGTTGTTTGAGAACGCATTTCGTTTCTTTCAACATATATATATCTATCAAAGAATTGTTTTAATATATTCAATATTACTCTTGTGATAAATTTCATTAAAATACATTTTTTCGGAAATAACTGATTAAAAAAAAATATTGTATCTACCAGTCGGGAGTTTCACTCGGCAGTCCCTTGTGATTTTATCGAATTACAAATTGGAGCACTTACGATATTCGTTATTAACTAATGTGGTTGTTACATTAAATATACAATAATAATAATAAATTATTTGTGTACTTTTAATTTATTAAGCAGTAGAACATCTAAATTTATTTATGTCTCTTTGGCGACAACGAACAGATTGTCCAAATAATATATTCACCTTCGTTTATTGGCAACTTCGACATACTCAGTTGTAGATAATTTCATCCATTTACTTGATAACTTCGTCTCACGTGGAAAATCAACAGATATGTTAATATGTATAAAGCAAACTATTAAGAATGATGTTGTGTTATATGTTTAGTTTTTTCTCTATTACCTTTGTTTGACCACAGATGTAAGTGAAATAGAAATTTACATTTCACACAAATATAAGGTTATCATTTAAATCATCATAAAAATTTGGTTGTACTTTGGCGACTGCTTGTATTGTTACTTTGGTTAGGGTTGTTAAATACATTCACCGTCTACTTAAACATTAATGTCGTTTTTACACCCGCTGCTAAAAGAAATTTAAGGAACAATAACAACGAAACTAGTACTAGTAATGTGTCCATAATTGTCCACTTTCTTTTTTTATTTGAATTTACTTTCTAACTTCATACAGATATGTAGTTCAAGATCCTAGGGCCACCAGATCTTACTTTCTGATGGACAAATCATATGTAACAGATTAGTTTGAGTGTCTACAGTATACGTAAATATTTCTGATAGCTTTTACCTGTGGCCAATTCTCAGGTACTGGGTGTTACAGATAAGTAAAAATTGTACTCATTTTACTAATAGTCTGACTCATTTTTCTTATAGTCTGAGGTTTGATTTTTTATAATTTTGTAGGAATTATTGTAAACAATTTCAAATGAATATTGCTATAGGTACAACTACGTGTTAGCAGCATTTTTTGCCTGATACTTTAAACATCGCAAAAAACACAATGATATTATGTTACTTATTGTCTGACACTTGATTATCAAATTTAATCAATAGGAGGCTATTTAAAGGCTCCTATTGATAAAATTTTTTAAAGGCTATTTTGTACTTGTCAGACCAATCCTAGGAGCCAAACATCCATCTTCCAACCATCCAGCTTGCATGATAACTAAGTGCCTCTTTAATAACGTTTTATTAAAATTATCTTGGGTTTTGTCTAGTTAAAGATATCAATAATAATTAATTAAATGATTTATCATCATCTAATTGTAAAACGATGAATGAATGAATGCTGAACAATGCCAAAATCGCAAGAATTTTTAATTTTTTTGCATGAGAATTTTTAGAGATGTCGAAAATCATATAAAAAACTTTGTCGGAGTTAGGAAAATAGTAGTAAAATAAAATGTTATTATTTTGAGGTTATGTTAATTTATGATAGAAACAATAAACATATGTTAGACAGAATTATTATGTAGGAACGTATTTATAGAGATATAATTTTCAAATTGTATAAAAACAGCAATCAAAATGTTATCCATCATACACTTGAAAATACTCTTTATTTTCAACAACACTCGGGATGTGTAGGTTATTTATACTTCTCATACTTACCGTCTGAGTGATCAATCAATGACTAAAACACAAACACCTATGTTTTGTGTTTCGTATATACTACGTAGCTACGGTATAGACGTAAATTGAATATATGTTAGGGCTACTGCCAAAATATTCAACATATGAGACAACATGCAGATATTTTCCATAATACTAGTATACTGTTAAATATAACATGTAATCATGAATATTTAATTTTTTATTTGAACTACATGCAGTGTTTTCTTTTGAACTTAACAGTTTGAGCAAATATTTGCCAACATTTGTTAAAGTTAATGTAACTACAACACTTGAAATGTTATTAGGTACTTTTAACTAATAGTACCCTAATAATATTTCAAATGTTCCGTTAAATACAACAAATGCATCATGCTTAAAATATAAATTTGGAGCAAAATTTTGTTAAAAAAAACCGAAATCACTACACTAATGACTAACCCTATTAAAGTATCTAGTTCTTTAAATACATCTTTAGACAAAGTTTGGAAAATATTGTCTTTCATAATAATTTAGAAGTTTCCATAAAAAAATATAGCACTAATTTGTAACATATATTTAAAACTAACTACGAAAATTAATCTTGCTCACTAATATGTTAAAAATAATATGAGACGATTAAAGCCATAAACGTTTTCAGCTTTTTGGTTTCAATGCAATCAGACTCCTTTAACATTTGTAGATATTCAAAGTCATTAAGTTAATTAAACCTTTCTTAACAGAGTCACTGTTAAAAAGATGTACACTTTTATTTCTAAATGGAGTATTCGATTTATTACCAGTAATAGCGTTCATGAGAAGAAACCCTCATTGCGTCTATTGGTTTATAACGAATTTTTCTTACTCATCTACGATCAAATTTAAGTTGGGTAAACGTATTATGAACGTATTACGAAAAAAAGGAATGTTTGCTACAATACTTACTATTTCAACAAGTGTTATATTTCCGTGACCACACCGCAGGACCTTGGGACACCGTGAATGCATAATGCCGTCATCCGGAGTGGTACGCCAGAAAATTAAGAAATCGAATGCAGTAGGTGATAAATAACAAGACCAATTGCCAGACATTTACATCTCGTCTGCCCGCGATCACGGTTGCTGTAAAGTAGTCAAAACGTCAGGAGTATGTAGTTTTTCAAAAATAAAGTCGCGTAGTATTTTCCGAAAAATATTAGTTTCATTATTTTTTTGGATATAAAGTTAGACGTAAATTGATAAAACAACTTTCTGAACCGGAGCGTTTGAACTATCCTCTGTTGAAGTAACTTACTTTATAGAATTATTTTAATTTTCAGTTACTTTATATATCAAACAATTATTTGTGAGTATTTTGTTTATTCTAAAATCATAATAAAATTAAGAAAGGACGCTGAAGAACAATTTAACCTTTAAACTAAGTCTGTTTTAACATAACTAACAATTTATGAACATCCTACATTTTGTTTTGGTACACGTTGGTGCTTTGAAGGAATATTAATTAGGGACAATAAAATATGTGAAGAGACAGCAAAGATACTACAGGGACAAGGTTGTACCTTCATTAAAAAGTAATTATATAAATAACTTATTTCTGACATTATTATAAACATTTTCGATATTTGTCTTTCTCTCTCTCTCGCCGTGGCATTTATTATTCCCATCTGATGGTGGGGTCTGCCTTTCTGGTCTTTCTCTTCCACTTCGTTCTATCGGACGCATCCTCTTCGGTAACCTTGCAGAACTTTAGATTTTCTTTTACCACATCTGTCCATCTTGTCTTTGGTCGCCCTCCGGGTCCGGACCCCGTGATGCTCGGATTGGCAAATTCGATATTTGTCCCAGACATAAAAATAAATTTTTAAAGCATTTAGTGGAATGGACTGATTTCATTTTATTGAAATTCTAGCTTTAAGCCGTAGTATCTATGCTCTCCTACACTAAGAGTAAAAACATATATTGCTAGTACACTTCTAATACTACCCAAAGAATTGTTTATCGAAGTGGTGACGACCTATAAATTTTTCTCTATAAAGCCAATCATAGCCCCTAAGAATCCGATTACGTGAATAAATCCCCATTTAAACACGTAATCGGATTCTTATAATTTGAATAAATGTGTAAAAACTGTCTCTATGATGATCAAATTTTAAGCTGTCAAGAATCTTTATAGAAAAATTTAAAAATATAAAATTATATACCGTCCTGGTAAATGTATCCAAACGTAAGTTTGCTCGTATTCACCCCGTTTAACGGTATGTGACATGTCAGTTGTAAATTGACACTGACTTAAATGTATAATCTCAAATCTCAATTATTGTCATTATGACATTTCACCGATTGTGTGTATTTTTTTACAACAATTGAAGTGAAATAGACTGAATATTATTTTGAAATTATGAACTAAATCAACGATCTATAATCATAATGGATCAAAATAGGGTTAGAAGAAGTGATTTAGATGTAGACAGTTTTGGTGGTGTAGAACCAGAGTATGACCGAGCTCGGATGAGACGACAATCTGGAGGTTTTGTAGACTTAGGTAATGAATCACAATATGGGACAGGTGGGCATCAAGCTTCTGGCGCTAATGAAATTTTCGCAGATGTACAGGTTCGTAAATAAAAATAAATATTAAATTTTTCATATCACTGCTACTTAAGATGATCATGTAAAATTACCTTGTATGTTTAAGCCAATAAACTTGACTAGATATTGTTATGTTAGTGTTACAAAAACTTAAGTAAATTGGAGACCGTAATTAAATTTCGTTATATTTGTAGGGTGATGTGCCTTGGTGGAAATCAAATTTCTTTATATCACAGCCAGTACTGTTTGGGACATGGGATGGTGTTTTTACTTCATGTCTGATCAACATATTTGGTGTAATTGTATTTTTAAGATCTGGATGGATGGTTGGCCAGGCTGGATTAGTTAATGCAGTTTTAATAGTAATCTTCACAGGTACATAACAAAATTGTATAAATTTTCTTTATAGCATTTTATTAATATACAATTTTCTGTTTAATAAAATAAACTAATAAGTTTTCACTACATACTTAATTTTTTACAGTATTTGTTGCACTGATCTCAGTCTTATCAGCCGTGGGTATATGTGAACGATGTAGGATAGAAAGTGGTGGTGTTTATTTCTTGTTGGCTCATACATTAGGTTCAAGATTAGGTGGGGCTTTAGGAATGATATATTGTTTTGGACAGGTATGTTATGGAAATGTAAATTATAATTTTTTATTATGGCTATAAAATTTTATATCAATTTAATTGTTTTGGTGCGCTTATCAATAATAGGGATTTGTAAAATTCACTAGATTATAAACTTAAAATACTTATATATAGTAGTTATTTTATAATGTTTATATCATAAGCAATATAATATATTTTTATGAACTCTTTTATAAGTAAAATACATAAATTTTTATATCATATTCCAGGCAGTAGGATGTGCGTTAAATGTGTTTGGTTTTGGTGAATCCATGGCAGATCTTGTAGGCACAGACAATACATGGGCCGCTCGGGGCTTTGCTGTTTCTGCTGTTTTGCTGTTGGGGACAATAAATGTGGCTGGTGTGAAATGGGTTATAAAACTGCAATTCATTCTTCTTGTTATAATTTTGGCAGCAGCATTTGACTTTTTCATTGGATCTTTTACAGCAGTGCCAAGTATGTTTAATTAAGTTTAAGATATAATAACAATAGTTATAAAAGATTGAATTTGAATAAATAATTTTTGTTATTTGTTTAGTTGTTAAACATCTTTCTTTATTAATATTTAGGTAAAGAATTTAAAGGCTGGTTAAGTGGTACCATGGCAAACAATACTTGGGCAGACTATCAAGATAATTATACCTGGTTTAAATGTTTTGGTGTATTCTTTCCAACTATAACTGGCATATTAGCAGGGATTAATATGAGTGGAGATTTAAAAAATCCTTCAGCGAATATACCCAATGGTTCTTTAGCAGCAATAAGTACAGGGTATGGATTTTATAATCTAGAAAAACTGATTTATGTTTATTATGTATGGCTGTGTTAATGCTACAGTGTTGAGTTATATGTCAAATTTACATTTTTTTCAGAACTTTCCTATACTTGATGTTCATAATAACATTAGCGGCAACTGTGAGTAGAGATGCCCTGTTGAAAAATTTTTCAATAACAGCTGATATATCAGCGGTAACAGTACTACTGCTGGCTGGCTTGTATGTCAGTTCGATGAGCTCATGCCTTGGAGCTATGTATGGGACCCCAAGAGTATTACAAAGCATTGCCAAAGAAAAGGTTATACCAGGATTGGATGTTTTAGGTCATGGGGTAAGTGGGAATAGTTTTGTAGTCAATAAGTGCACATTATATGATTTATTCATCACCTTTTTCTTTCACAGAGAGGTCCCAACAAAGTACCCATATACTCGATGGTTGTAGTAGCAGTAGTGACTGTAACATTTATCATTATCGGAGACATAAATAAGCTTGCACCAATCGTCACAATGCCTTTTCTTATTACCTATGCTAGTATAGATTATTCTTATTTTGCTCTCGCCCAAACATTTGATTTGCAACATAAACGTGAAATGAGGTATGGTTCCATCATTTTCTTTAATTTTATTGCACTATTTTACTTTTTATTTCTTCAATAACTGGATCATGCTTACATATTCATACATTTTATTAAAAAAGTATTTTGAAGTACCCATATCTTATTGTCATTTAATTCTGTGATATTAATACTATTGTGATTTAGATTTCAGGGAAATTCTCAACGAGATACCCAAGTGTATGGTGCTACAGGCTCTGACCTCGACTTGTTATTCCCTGAAAGGATAAGGCATAAAAATGTTGGGGTGAGTTTGTTACTTAAAGTTAAAACTAAAAAATAATGGTATCTAGAATTAAAGTATTTTGTTTTTCTTTTTTGTAGGACTTTACTCCATCACCAACTGATTCAGCTATAATGAATGGAAGAATGGCAAATGGAGATGGGAGGCGACCCAGTATACATGTTCATTCAAAAAATAAAAATTGGTATTCACATCTGTGCAATAGATGGCTGTCATTAGTAGGGGTAAATATTCTATACTAGATTAATGCTATTATAATTTAGGTGTAATGAGTTGGAAAGTCATCCTTCAGTAATAAAGCTTAATATAAAGTAATATGTGGAATATTCATACATATTAAATTTAACATGACAACATTTATTAACCAGAGTGTTCATATTTTTGTTTATCAAATAAATAATACTTTTCCAATTACAGGTAGCTATAAAATTATTGTTAATGTTGTTGGTACATTGGATATATGCACTTGGCTGTCTGTCCATACTTTGGCTATTGTGGCTATACATTGGTGCCGCTAACCCCGCAGTCAAACCTGGAAGAGCGTCAGAGTTCAGATTCTTCTACTGGCTGAAGATAGCCTTCTTGCAAGCTATCGGGTATACCTTTTAAATACGTTTAATTAAATATATCACATTGCCAAAAAAGATTTAAAATATAATTTAGTTCATTAATCAGTCTTGAAAATTTTCCAATTTTAAATACATTAGAAACCCGAGTAACCGGACTAATTGTTGTTGATAGGCATTCGGATAATCGAAAATCGGGATAATCGAATGTATGAAGACAAGCCAGTTTTGTGCATATGTACTTAGTACATCATATTATATGTATGTTTATTTAAAAAAAAGTAACAAATACATATCAACGAAAATCAATGGTTATTAATAAATAAATAAAGGATAAAATTTCTTAAATTGCAAATACATACATATACATGTATGTACTAAAAACTGCAGATTTAATCATGAATTATAATAATAAGTTTAATTTGGTTTAGGATATTTGGTAATTGTCATTTGACGTACGCCACTCTCAAGTCTCAACAACACCACTCTCTTACGCTTTGACATATTTTCTTGTCCGGACTTGTCCGTAGTCCGGATAATCGTGAATCCGTATAACTGAGGGCCGGATAATCGAGTTTCTACTGTAACATAGACTGCATCCTTACTTTATAATTTAATATTTGGAGAAATGTGTGTACATTGTGTTTGAATGTAAAAGCACCTACAAAATCAGTTGTATTAATATGTAACACGTAATAATTATATAAATATCACAAACATATTAGTGAAATGACCTTATAGGATCAAATGTAATATAATTTTAAATATTATATATATTTTTTTAGAAAACGTCCATTGGAATATGAACAATTAGTGGTGACTCCAGTGCATGTTGATATACAAGTGGAACAAGAAAGATTGAATGACGATAATGAAGACTTTGCCTCAAGGAGACGTTACCACCAGTCCACAGCTGTTCAGAGCAATCTGGTCAACATACATACTTAATACTCTCATGGTTGTATTTTAAACATTAATACAAACAACTCTATTATAAACAATTCATAGATTTAATTTATTATGTAAACGGCAATAGTCCTTATAGCAGCTTCATCATTGTCAATAAGTTTCAGTTAAAACATCAAAAATAAATCTTTAGGTATATCAATTTTATGATGAGAAATTTCATACCATTGTTGCTGATAATATTGATGTGCGATTTTATACTAAGGCTTCCATATTATAATATTTAATACTTATATAATAATTGTAACTTATAACAATATTATTATAGAAACATAACAGTAATAATTTTATATCTTCATGATATATTCTTTTTATATCTTGTGCAATTTTACCCTTTCATTTTCGGTAAATATTGATAATGATGCACACTAAACATTTCTTGATTTGCTCTTTCATTCCAAATGCATTTTATTTTTTTCTTAGGACTTTCTTTTGTTCAATGCAATTTGTGCTAGATTTTCATTTATTTATTATCTAGACACTAATATATATATTATATGAAGTGAGATTTCCATATGTAGGTATTAATATTCAATGATATGTTAAAAATGTCGTTTTAAAATAGTAGTTATTTATTAGAAAATTTAGCTTTGACTGACATTTTACATATTTATTTGTTTAGACATATCTATTAAAAATAGAAATTAAATATGAATTTGTATAAGATTTTTTATATGTAATAATAATACTTTTTACTCTGTAATTATGAATAAACTCGTAGAAGCTTACTGTAAGACTAAAAATGCTTATTTTAATAAAACATTTTAAACTTTTTAATGGTTTTTTAATAATGTTTTATAAATAAGCCACTTATGGCAAAGAATATGAAAAACATAAAACAAAAATAACCCCATAAAAATTGTTTGCTTATATGATATTCACTATCTTGTTCACTACATTTGTTAATGATATACCTTCTGTCGTAAGATTTTCTCAAACTTATATGTATGCTGATGATCTAAAAATAGCTAAAGCTATACATTCTGAGCGGGATTCCGTGTTGCTACAGAGAGACCTCGACGAGATGGTAAATTGGTGTTTGCGCAATGAAATGGAGCTTAACACTAAAAATTATTTTTTCGTACAGTTTGGTCGTAGGAGAAACTTTGTCACTTTCCAATACCATATTGCCCACAATAGCATCGCGGAACTTGAGCAGATCCGTGACTTGGGTGTGCTATTCGACAAAAAATTGACATTCGTACCACATACTGAACAAATTGTAAATCGGGCTTCAAAAATGTTGGGGTTTTTGCTGAGGAATGCTGCGGGGCGGCATTGTAATAGGGTTCGGATACTGTTGTATAATTCTCCTGTGCGCAGTATCTTGGAGTATTGTTCGGTGGTCTGGAGGAATCACTGTGTGACTCATTCTCTACAGATTGAACGTGTGCAAAAAAGGTTTTTTAACTACCTTTAGTTTGCTAACGGGTTGTCAAAAAGGAAAATGCGGTCTTATCTTGAACGGCTGAAGTACTTCGGGATGATTTTCTTAGATTAACGTAGAAAGCGCTTGGACCTGTTTTTTGCTTCCAAAATTTTCACTAATGAAATTGATTGCCCTCAGCTATTACATAAATTTAACATACGTGTACCAATAAGGCCTCCTCGTTACAAAATAACTCCCTTATATTCACCACCTCGAAAAACTGTGTTCGGATCAAACTCCCCAGTTTCCAGACTTAGCAAGCCGGTTAATGAAAAGAATTCGGTCAACGAAAAGAATTCGTTCACTGTTAAACACCTTACCTCGGTCACCTTAAAATTGTATTTGTCCGTCTTATGGTTCACTTTTAGTTTTTAATTTAATCTTTTCATTGTTTATTTAATTATTTTTTTATTTTATAAATTTACCTTTTTTTAATTTTTGCTTTTGTTTTTACTGCGGCTTGCGCTGGGAGGTCTAATTTAGATAGGAATTAAGCATGATGTATCTACCTATAAATGTTTGTCATACCTAGTTTTAAGTTATGTGTATTAAGTATATATTTTTCTTACGTATGTGATGATGTGAACAAATGTTGGTGGATAAAATAAATAAATATGCTAAAATGAAAACTTATCTCTTACAGTATTTCTTCTTTCTACACAGTTGATTCTTCCCATTAAAAGAAATTCTCATCTCCCGAATCTTTAAATGTCTCTTCATCTTGGTTACCGTTATAAACATTGCGTTGAAATGTGAATTGTACCTAATTGTTCTATATATTTCTACCCAGTTGTAAGGCTTGATGACGAAATTTTAAGCAAAGGCACAAAATCTTTAGTTATATAAGTGTTCAAAGTATGAAAGTGTGAAATAGTTTATAGTTTTAGATTTGCAATGTTCATTATTACCAAATCTTGAATAAGCTATCAGTTTGTTTTTATAGCATCGGAAATCTCATCTAAAAGGTAAGTCGATGAGTATACAATGATATTTATGATTTTCGAGTGTACACATTTAAATGAGACAATTTTTGTGATCCTAGGCGTTTTTATTCATACACCTTCCCAATGTTTCGATTACTTTTCAGTAATCGTGATCACGAGCAATTTCATCTCGTCTGCTCGTCATTGTCTAGTGAACGGAGAACTTCAATGTTTGTTCTTTACATTCGATGCGTATTTACAATTTGTAAATAAGTAATTTGTAAAATACAAACTATGTACTTATTTGTGCGTATTAACATTTTTGATAAAAATGTATTTAAGACCTTGACATGTTTACCGACCCCTAACTTTTTTATACGTAATGTATATGTTATGTACTATTGTTATTCAGAAAATAAAATTTAAGCATTTCTGAGTTGGAGTTCATTTATTTCATACTAGCTTTCCGCCCGCAGCTTCGCCGCGTGGAGTTCGGTTATATCGCGTTTCCAAGAGAACCTTTCAAAAGTCTGGGATAAAAACTATCCTATGTTCTTTCTCAAGGTCAACTCTATCTCTGTACCGAATTTCATTAAAATCAGTTCAGTGGTTTAGGCGTGAAAGCGTAGCAGACAGACAGACAGACAGACAGACAGAGTTACTTTCGCATTTATAATATTAGTAGGGATTGACTAATTGTGGCAAGCTAAACCAGGGCTTAAATTATTGATATAAAAAAAATAACATTCTTGGCCTGATTAAATGAAATTATATTTATATATTACAGTAGACTCTACTAAAATTTGATTTTTACAATAAACCCACCATCCAAAATGTGTTTAATATTGTCTGTGAAAAATTAATATCAAATAGGTAGTTTTTTAATCTATGTCGCAAATACATAATTTGACAAGTGACAATAAACTTTAGGCAAATCCTATATTGTCATGAGATTTTGGAATAGGCATCCTTGTGGACTGTGATAAGATGTTTTTCAATATAAGTATAGGAGAATAAATTATTAAGAAAACTCAGTGCAAAGGCTTATTAAAAAATTGGTTTTATGTTCTCGTATCTTATTTACTGAAATACAATTTTAAGGTCGTACATCACATCAAACTAAAATGGCTGACGATTTGAGAAATTATAATTTACAACTGCAGCAGGTGACTTGTTTATATTGTTGTGTTCAGACAAATGTTTCTGTGGGTTTTGTGAGCGAATCTTATGAATTCCTTATCCTTATCAGGTTGAGGCGGCATTGTTGACAGACCCTGAAAACGAAGAGTTGCTGAAACTGAAATCGGATTTGGAAGAAGTAATTGAGTTGACACGCGATCTTATAAAAACTCAAGAGGGTGAATCCAAAGTGCATAATATTCATAGTTCTAGTAATAATGATGATGTTGCAGCTTCCCTGCTGGCTGAGGACGACAACGAATATGTAGAGAAACCCAACTCAAAGTGGCATCCTGGCGAGAAATGCTTGGCGAAGTGGAAAACGGATGGCGTGTATGTAACTTATTTCTTATGTTAAATAAACATACAATACACGATTACATGGTCTTTTTTCTAACTGATATGTGTAATATTGTTTTGTATGAAATATTGTGTTCTATGAAATGTTAAATGTACATACAATATCATGTGGTCTTTTTTCTAACTGATGAATCATTGTATGTATATTGTCCATGGTGTAATCAATATCTTAATTTCAGGTATTATGAGGCAACCATAGAAGAGGTCTATGAGAATAATCTGAAAGTAAGGTTTGATGGCTATTTAAAATCAGAGATCATATCTATACTGGATATTAAAGCATTGGCATCTGGATCTAAGCGTCCTTTAAGTGGCGATGAAAGCAAGTAAGAAAAGTTTTTGATCTTGTATTCTTTAGTCAGCAATTTTAAAATATCTGAAATGTTTTATGTGATAATAGAATTTAGAAATTAAGTATCAATTCAACTTCTTGAATAATAAATTGTATTTTCTAATAATTAATGATTGGTTATAAGTTCAGTTGATATATAGTTTGTCTGTATTCAATAAATAATTTTGAATTTAAATGAAACTAATATTTTCGGATTTTACTTCGCGTGATCACTGTTGCTGAAAAGTAGCCGAAACGTCGGGAGTATGTAGTTTATAATCAAAAATAAAACGCGAAGTAAAATCCGAAAATATTAGTTTCATTTAAATAAGTACTCGCGAAAATCTTAGATCTCAATTTTGAATTGGTTTGGTGAAATCCTTTAATATGTTTATATTGATAATCAAGGAATTTCTTTGCTTTAAATGTATTTGTAATAAATTCACTTGATAAGCTTGACTTGTGTCTTTTTAGATCTGGCAAAGGTTACAACAGAGAGTATTTAAAAAAGAAAAAACAGAAGAAACAACAAAGATTTAAGCAAATTGAGGAAGAGAGGGAAAGTGAAAAGAATAAGTGGCTATCCTTTCATACAAAGGCATCAAGAAAGCCTGGTGTCAGAACAAAAAGTATATTTGCATCCCCAGACAATTTAACTGGCCGTGTTGGTATTGGTACTTGTGGAATTTCAGGAAAACCAATGACAGAATATACTCCGGGTGAAAAGTGGAAGAAGGGTGGATAATGTTCCTTTCTAGTTAAATTTTTAGAATAAGTTAGCTCTTATGACCTATCAATAAATGAATAATTACTTAATTACACTGTATTGTCTTTAATTTTTTATTTATTATTACTTTTCAAACTAAAAAACTACTCAAAACATAATATCTATTGTTGCTTTTTGTTCAAGTCAAATAAATCTGTGCTTTTATAAGCCTATAATATAAAATTGTTTTCAACCATTTGAGTCTTCAGTGTGGCTAGTCTTCATTTATGATGTCTTTTAAAAACAAAATGTCAGATACATAACAAGGGGATATATAATTATAATTAATGGAACAGTGATGTTATGTTCTTAATGAATAATAAGAGTGGGGGATAGATATATTACATTTGTTTCACTAATTAAGTAATTCTAATGATTACTGTCTTTAATAGACAAACAAGAAATAAACCCTGTAGGCAATTAAAACTCAAATAGAATATAAACAATAAAAACTGAATTGTCTGGTACTGATCTGATACTGATCTGGTACAGATCTGACTGATCTGAACTAGCTTTGGAGAAGTCCGCGTATCTGCAATAGAAGCAGCTTCACAGATAACAAAACTTAATAAATTTAATGGCTTTAAAGGTCATTTTTTCACAGATAGTAATTATGCATATATTCCTCAGTTTACTCATTATTAATTTGTCACCATCATGACTGACAAAACAAATCTAAGTACTCATTAATTTGTGGACTTTTAATATTTTTTTTTAAATTATCTTGTACCTTTTTGTGAAAAGAATGGTTGGATTTTTTTAATCTGTATATTTTTTACATGAGAGTATAAGGGTAAATATAGATTTAAATTCGAATATGATAGTTGGTTTATAAGCACAGATATTGGTATAATATGTATGTCTAATATTTGTCAAGTAGATTCCATACTATGTATGATACACACATTCCCTTTTTAAGTATCCATTTGTAATCTCCCGAAATATAAATAACAGGCAAAATTCAAAAAGGGAATCAAGGCAACGTTATTGTAATAGAAACATATGAAGCTGGAAGATATATCTAACAGAAATAGACAACCAAGTTGATCTTTGTGGTAATTTGTAGAATACATCAGAGAGTTGTATAATAAAGCCTCGTAAACCTCAGCTGTGGCTAGTTGGGAAGAGTAGACGAAGAAAAATAAACACAAGTCGTTTCATCTCAGTTACAAACTTGAAAAATTTTAGGTCTCGAAAACTCGAAGTGAAAAAATATCAGCTGATTATACCTATCATACTGTGTTATACGGCAGCTTAAATAAAATTTGTCTTAAATAAAATTTTACTGACAGTAGCTTATATATTATTTCGGATAAATACTTAGGTCAACTGATGTACGTTGATGGAAATACTGTCATATGATACTTTAAAAGTTATTCCATAACATTTATTGTCGTTACAAATGCACCTGTACCTACCGGACCAGGTTTCCGTTTCCCTGAACTTTCTGGTCCAAATATTGTTTATTTACTTCAACTCTATATAATAAAAAGCTTACAAAATTTACTCGTACTTTATCCATTTTAAAATTATTATATGTTCCTTTAGGTTTTGTGAAATGCAAGAAAAGCGAAGTAACTGATATGTTTTGGTACGTAGGTTGTTCCCAACAATTATTTAAGGTGTTATAATATTTTAATAGATTTATAATTAATACTATTTGAATGTTACTTGAGTGGTTATAGTTACGAGCATTTTAAAGCTGCAGTTCCTTTCTAATACCATAACTGAATACCATCACAAAGTTCTACTATTATTTATCTTTTCATGTAACTCTATGGCACATGCTGCTAATAGCATTCTTCATAGGGATCATGATAAACTGAAAATTAAACAGAAATTAATATAAAACGTAATTCGTACTACGGAAACATAATAAAAAGTAATTACTATGTAGAATTGTTATTAATTTGTTTAAATAAAAAGTGGATCCAATAATTACAAAAGTCATTTTTTTTCTGAACGGATTAGAAATATTTATCTCATAGGATTTTTAATACTAGGTTACAAAAAAAATATCTGTCCGTCTGTTTGTTCCGGGTAAACTTAAAAAAAGTTTAATCGATTTTGACCGGCACTTAACCTGGCCCCTGTCATATTAAGACATATTAGAGAAATTTTATAGTTTACTTCATTAAAACTAATCCAAGTGAACGGAATCGTGGATATGGTGAGCCAGTTAAATTAAAAACTTGGTAACGATAGCTACTTTTAAATAATTCTAGTTTTATGGGGTCTCTAAGTAAACATACTTACATTTTCAATCTTAGAAGCTTGCACCAGAACAGTAAGGTTGTGTAAACTAAACTCTTATTTACTCTAAATGGAAAATTATAATACACGAATAAAACCATATTGCATTTTTTAATTATTTTATAATAGCTTAGAATGTCTATTTAAATATCTTTGTATTTTTCTGTACGTGTATTTAAATATTTTTGATTATTTTTTCTCGGCTCTACCTACTGCTCATGAATTTTAATTTTGTTGTATATTTCATGTTCTAGTGTTTTTAAATAGTGTTTACATTTTATGGCTGTATAGTTCTAAACTATGAGAGATTTAACAATCAATAATTATTATAAAGAACTAAAAGGAACTTAAAACGCTGAATGGTTTCTTTTTAAATCTTACAAATATACAGGGTGACTGGTGAATTACTATCGATAATTGAGGACGTGATATTTGACGATCATATATGACAAAATAAAAATTAATATAACATAAATATTAATAAACTTCTAAGTAAAGTGAACCAAAAGTTATGTAATTAATTACGCATAGTGTGAACACCCTACAGATTAGGTATACACACACACTCACACAGACGCGTTTGGCGGCGTGGTGTATCAGCACGCCGCCGCACGCGTCCACACTTGGACCACTTGGAACGTGTCAACACTTTATTTATTTATACGGAAATTTTGTCAAAAATTAAGTACCTATTTTTTTTACATAATTCGAATGAGAATCATGTACCGAGTATTCTCCTTAAATATTGATAGTAATTCACCAGTCACCCTGTATATACACCAATACATACTACGTATTCGAGAAGAGTGACTATGTGAATTTAAAACCATGATAGAATAAAAAATATATATTTCGAATAGGTATTTGATAAAATAAATTCAGAAAAATATTATTTTTCAAGTATTAATATTGATTACTTTAATATTAATTAACTGTGTTTAATTCTGAATCATATTTTTTTCAAATTATCCATAATAAACATTTTTAAAAATTCAAATTTACATGTTAGACAATGTAATATATTACAAATAAAATTGTCATATGATGGACGTCTGTTAAGACCAGAGCATAATATTTATTTATGTAGCTGAACAAAACACGACTGCCAGGGAACCTATTCGAATGAGCCTGAATATAAATGGTACGCGGTCAGCTGAGGTAAGCCAGGAATGTCGCTATATATTAGCGTTAGCTTCTCTACTGAGCGTGTCTTATTTCAGCTATACTCTGTGACTGGTAATACATAATAACAGAAGTTCTACTTTAAGTAACAAATAAAAAGTAGAACAAACTATAACTTGAATCAATAGGACAAAACTTTATCTTATGAATATTAAATATCCCTTGCAGTTATAAAATTATCAGTAATTATACTTGTCTAAGTATCTGTCTAGATATAGAAACGTGAATATTTTAAAGATGTCAGTAGGCCCGTTGTAATTTTCTTTTGTTTTTTCAAAGTAATTTTAAAAAGGTCTCTTATTTTTATGTATAAGACATATTGCATGTGGCAATCTAAGAATGTAGGAGATTCAGCAATTCTACTATTTTGTCCTAATGCTATAACTACATTGAATTTTATTAAAAAAAACGCTGGTTTTCATGCATTATGAGCACCTCCATGTAAAAATAAGTTTATATCAAAACTATAATTTTTAAGAATTCCTTTGTACATGTAACTATTTTTAATTATATTTTTCTCTTCTTGGTTTTTTATTTTTAGTAACTTAGGAATTCATTCCTTGAAACATCTGTTAAATTTGTCGTAAATATAAACAGATAACAAACAAAGAATAAATTAGTATTAGGTGAAACATATAAAGTTGTACCTACTGCTTCTTACTTGCTTTAAATGGAAATTGAAGTGTTGCTTATTGACCATTTATCTCTCAGGTAAACGACTCATCTATTTGTAGTTACTCATGAACAAACAAATTTTTGTAAATGTATCAATTTGCCTTTGGAGTATATCAACAAATAATAACTTCCAACGCTAATGTAGAACTATTATTATTCACTCCAAGTATGAATTTATATAAAGTAGGTATAATTAATAAAAATAAATTTTGGTAATTATAATGACAAAAACTCCTAAATCATACTAATATTAAACAACTATTGTAATAAGAAACTTTACTCTTATATTTCCTTGTATTATAAAACATATTATTAATCCAGTTGTATTTTAAGACATATTATACAATAACTTTTGTCGTCGTAAGTAATTGTTAGGAATTTGAAATATTTCTCACCAGCTTTGCTCAATATTTCATTTAATTAGTGCGAGAGTTATTTAATTTCTATGTATGTCAATTCTTACTTTTTCCAACACCGTAAAATTTTGAAAATAATAATATGTGGATAGTTTTAAATGCTATTGGAGTAACCTCTTCTCACATTTGTACTTATATTGGTGGCAAATTAATCGTGTACATTATAGCAAGCTTTCCTCTTTGTACCTCGTAGCGAGTGGCGATGAAAATATATTGAAGATTGTGAATTATTAAGTGCCCAAAAAGGGTGCATCTGTTAGAATTGTATTAGTATTTAGTAGTCTACAAAATAATAAATCTGAAATTTAAATTAACATGTTTTCGAAGTGTAATGGGGTCTTCAATTATAAGAAAGCTATTTTTAACCTTTGATCTGTCACAAACGGATAAGTTTCTGTGGGTTCCAACTTAGGACCTCCATATTTTTGCATGTCAACGAAAAACCCCGAGGGTGCTTAAACCAATTCAGGAAATCAATTAATTCTATGTAAATCTTCTTTTTTCTCTAAAAGAATCACTACAGAGGACTGGCTCAATTTGAGGTTTCGTAAAACAGTTAAAAAAATTAACTATTGAAAATTAAAATATGTATTTTTATAAAATTAATTCTTTGTTCTATTTTTGAAATTAAGTCCAAAACCAAACAATTTTATATTTAACTCAATCCGTTTACACAGTTTTAATAAAATTAAGTCTCTTTACAATTATTTATTTCAGTATCACTTTAATCCTGAGCGATATTTGCTAAGTAGAAATTCTTCAATTGAACAACATTGGATTCAAACTCATAGCTTTGAAATTTTATTTAAATTAAATCAGGAACTATATAAACACAAAAAAATTAAAATAAATTTCAAATCAAAATGAAATGTTAACATTTGTTGTACCTATACATAATATGTAGGACTTACTTAGCCACTAGGATGACGTAAACAACTTGATATGAGTACGTATATTTATATTTATCCTTCTGTAAAATACACAGGTTGTGTAAGAGGTTTTTGTAAAATACAGATTTCACAAGTTTCAAGACTTTTCAAATGTTTCCGAGTCTATTGAAGGGGGCAGTGAAATCTTCTTTGTTTGTGACATAAAAAGATCTTTAAGAAAAATTCGATCGAAGTAGTGAGGAAAAGAATTCGTGGAAATACTGTTCGAAAGCAAAAGATTTTATCTCAGGAGATGAACATAGTTCTTTGAACCATGTTGAAGCTTATAAGAGACGTACTGGCTAATGCCTAATAAAGACTTAAAAAGAAATTTTGATCATACAATTTTTACAACTAACAATATGTTTTTATAACAATGTGTTCATATTACAAGTTCCGTTTTAGTTTGGTTGATTATTAGCTATGAAGCAGTTACTGAGCTATGTTTTGTGAAAAAGGTATCAAAAGTTTTTTATGAAGACACTTTTGTTAAAAAGATAGACAAGTCTTTTAAAAGCACTATGTTAACTACTTAAAAATGGTTATAAGCAAGGTTCGGCATCGGTCATAAACCTCAATCCACCCATTCTTCGGATCGTCGAACTTTCTGAACTATATCAGAGCATCATCTAGTATTTATCTCAATCCACTTGATTATGATCTATAATCAGTTTTAAATGGTAATAGTGCTTACGCTAAACGCCAAGAAATTTTGGAGTTCTTGAAACAATCCATACGGCTGTCCGTTGATTTTCCCATCATATTTATTTGCTGCTATTGATACTGGCCTCAAAATTTTAATAATACCGTGTAGCCAATATATTATTAATTTTTTGAACTAAAATAATGTAATAATCAAATCAGTTCAATAAAAAATAAACTTTGTATTAATATTTATGGCAAAACTAAATATATTATTTAAAAATGTTCAGGAAGTTTATACAGGGTGACTGGTGAATTACTATCAATATTTAAGGAGCATACTCAGTACATGATTCTCATTCGAATTATGTAAAAAAAATAGGTACTTAATTTTTGACAAAATTTCCGTATAAATAAATAAAGTGTGTACACGTTCCAAGTGTTCCAAGTGTGGACGCGTGCGGCGGCGTGCTGATACAACACGCGCGAGTGTGTGTGTGTGTGTGTGTGTGTATACCTAATCTGTAGGGTGTTCATACGATGCGTAATTAATTACATAACTTTTGGTTAACTTTACTTAGAAGTTTATTAATATTTATGTTATATTAATTTTTATTTTGTCATATATGAATCATTAAAAACTGACAGTTTTTAAAACATTCAACTTTACGTACAAAGTACTTCTTCTTAATATTGATGTCATCGATGACTAAGAAAGGTTATGGGGTATCTCTTCGAAGTCAAAGGTTAAGAGTCATATAATACAGCGATATTTCTTATCAGTTGTATATTTACCTTGTTATATGACATAGGGAAAACCTGAGGATCTTAGAATTTTTTTCCACGTCTTTTACAATTAAAAGAAAGGTAATTGGGACTTACATATTGGCATTGGCATGACAGATGACACAATAGGGGAAAAATTAATTAGTAAAATATTGATTAAGTAAATCGTATTTCGCCACCATTATGTATGCACGAGAATTATATTTGTTGGTTTAAATTTCTTGTCTTTATACCAATGAAAGTTTTAGATAGTTCTCTTGATTATCGTTCCATTGTTATTACTTGCTATATTAATATAATTTATTTGGTGAATATGTACTTTTTTTTTCAGAATTTCATTGGTTCCACAGGCAAATTTTTAAAATAACCCATTTATTTTAAAGTTTAACACGGTTATTTCATGTTTATGTTTTCTGATTTTACGTAAAAGAAATCATTATGAGTTTGTTCTGATCACTGTGAGAAAAAATTAAGCAGATATATATTTTTATATTGTTTCTCAATACATTTTATTTACAACCGAACTAATAAGGAAGACTCTAAAACGACAATATCCATTTGAACATATTTGTATTTATATGTATTTGAATGTATAGTTACTTAGCAATTTAAACCCGTATATTGTTCAATAGTCCTCACATCCCAAATAACTACATATTTTTTGGAGTACGAGGATACATACTTTGTGAAGTTCTAAACTTAGGTATAAAGTACGTCCTAACTTTAAATAAATAGAGAAGAAAAATACGAGTATAGTAAAATGAAAGGAAGTCTACTTTCGAATGTGCGAATACTTATTGAAATTCGATATTCCTGGATTCTTTTTGAGTTATTAGTATCTATAATATAAATAAATTGTGTTCTTGTAAAAACACAACCATTATTAAAAGAATTAATGTTACATTTATGTATTTCATTTCTATTGTCGTAGTTTAGAATTTAAATGTTTAACTTCATATAAGGTTGCAAAATTTATAAAATATTATTTATTATTCTTAGTATGTGGTATATGTGCGACAAGATAATTAAAATTATCTCTATATATATCACTGTTATAAGTGAATAACTATTCTTATAAGAATTTACTCGAAGGTTATATAAATTTAGTTACATTTATAGTACTACATAAAAAAATATTAGCATTAAGTTTGTTACCTACAGCGTTTCAATTAATTTAAATATTGCCTATAATAAGAGATTTTACTATTAAACAAATTGTCAAAAGAAGTTTATTAATAAAAGAAACTTAAGTTATAAATAAATTAAAAGTTATTGATAAGTGATATTATATAAAAATTACCTGACTTTCAACAAAAAACGAGATAGCTATCTTGAGTTAAATCGATCGCTGATCGTTTTACAATGTGTTTATTTGGTTTACAAAAACTTATCAGAGGCCTAATTACGGCCACGAAACCACCTGTCCGCTATCATAACTGTACATAGGCCTTCGCATATACTTCGGTGCGTCTTACGCGTGGGCCAACCCCCGCTGTGCTATTGGTTGTCGGTGTGTATGCGCGCGCAGGGCCCTCCTTGCAGCCGGGTGTGAGAGTATGGTACTCCGCAGCAGCCCGTCGTGGTCGCGATGTGGAGAGACAGTGCTCTCGCGACGCCGCTGCCACAACGTCGCCACACCACCGACGCGAAAGCGCGCTTCAAACTCTCGCCGTACACTACACTCGTAACTTAGCCCGAGTTTACTAAACTGGCTGGCACTAACTTATAAGTTATGGTATGAAATTATTTTAGATTTATATTAGTGTTTTTGTTTATTGGCACTTTATTGGTGATGTGCGATGGCTAAGCGACGGGTTTATCAAGGCTATGGAGAGCATTGTGCACGATTTTTGGCAGTATGCGCCTGGGCATGCGCGCTCGTAGTGACAACTATGGCTGAGCCACACGCGGACGTTGATACCTCCACCGGCCTCGGTGATAACACACTTACCAATTCAGGTATGTGGTCCAATTAAATATGGCTGTACACAGTATCAAGCCTAAAAATTATATAACAGGTAAAAAAACACATACAATCACGTAAAATGTTTTCTTCTCAAGGTTTTCAACTTTAAAAGTAACGGTTTAATAAAACGGTGAAGTAAAAGTAAATAATTTCAAAATCGGAAAATTTGAAATGCTACGTAAATTTTTACATTAACTGAGTATGATTTCGAAGATAAAATACAAAAATATGTAACAGTTGTACATAAATTTATCACAAGTAAAAGAAAAATAAGACATACTTAAAAAGTAAAAAATTTAAAGGTCATTTAAGATAAAACAAAAATATGCTCTTTTAGTTGAAGTTAAATTATTTAAATACTTAGTATACAACAATCATAGGGACACCAGACAGACTGCATTACCTATTGACGTAAAATATATATTGAAGAACTTTATGTATATTTATGATTTTCAATATTTTAATTAGGGATATTTTTTTTTAATATCTTGTCCTTCGTGAATATAAAATACGTTTTAAGACATATTTTATTTCATAAGTATATATGAAGATTGATAATAATGTCAATATAAAAAATTAAATCACATAAGAAGCGGTCAAGTTAAAAATTTTGGACCTCGATAAGGGATTTTAAGAAGAACAAATTTTGACCATCAATTAATAATGTTTTTACTATGATTAGGATGTATAAGTAATAATTGCTTCTAAAATAACAGAGTTATAAGTAAAAGATGCCACTTTTCAGAGTTGTTACCTATTTTTAGGTTGTTAGAAAAATATGTTTTGAACTCCGTAGCCGCTGTGACGGTTTTTGTATGGAGTTACTTTCATTAGAATTAAATAAAAAGTTTCTTAAGTACAGAGTAAGATAAATACATACAAGCTTTATAAAATCATCCGAATGTAATCTGATAAATTAGGCTTCTAAGCCCAAATTTGTCATTTAATTATTATTATTATTAATAGTAAAGGTAAGCCTACCGTCATTCATTTAGCAAATATTTCTCAAAGGTATTTTCTTCACTTTAAAAATAAAGGGTCTCGATTAAATAATTCAGTAACAAAATATATAAGAAAATCGGATTTAAAAAACAAGTTGAATTTGAAAATTTTAAAGTAAATAAAAAAAGTAAAAACAGAGTCCAGGAAAGCAAAAGTATTTCAAACATTTATTATATTCTTCATACTAATTGTATTTTTTATACACGAATTATTATAGTAATTTTTTAAACTTTATCACAAAAAGGTACATCTCAAATTTTATTATTTTAATTATAACTTATTGGCATACCACAACATATAAAAATACAGGCATATGAATAGACAGAAATAAAAAGATCATATTTAAAGAAAAAAACAAACAAGCAATATAAAACGTATATTTTTAAAAAATATGCATAAAAAAGTCACGGCATAACGTCACTGAAAAAACGAAATAAAGCTGATACCTTTATGCAGTAATCAATGGTCTATTTTGTCACCAAAATATTTTTATATGCATAAGAAATATCACTACGTTAAAACGACTCAGTTAATAAAAAAACCAAAGCTAAATATTTTTAATAAATCATTAAATACCCCCAGGCTCCTATAATTTTAGGCATTTAAAGTTTATTTTGGTTTGTGTACAATGTTATTATCAGTTATCGTTGTGTTACTTGACCTGTAAACTAACCAGAGTACAAATTAGTACGTTTGTGACGCTCCGACATGTAATAAACACAATTGCAAATTATTTATAATCATCAATTGTAGTCAAAATAATCGTTATAATTAAACCTTTTTCTATCTACATAATTATAGTTATATTAAAGGTCTGTTTGCAATATTAAATTGCTTTATTATTGCGTATCCATTATATATAATATTTTTTTTATGTATCTTAAAATATATAATACTATAATTATGTCACCTTAAATAACATTATTTGCAAAATACATAAAATTCTTTTATCTGTCCATCTTTGACTCCAAAAGAACGCACTCTTTTTGTAATATTTTTTTCAAGATTACAGTAGAAAGATGGTGTATGTCAATATTGTAATAATGTTTGACGCCTACCGAACTAAAAATATGACAAAATCATTTAATAATCCTGGCAATAAACAAAATCGAAACATACATATCAAAGTTTATGAAAGGTCTGGAATTATTATTAAATAGGAAGAGTAATGATTCTATAGAAAAATCTAGAAATGTTTTTCTGTTGATTTAATCTTATTTGTACCCTATTTCATCAGATTCGATGAGGAGAGATAGTGACTGCTTTAGTATAAAAATGTAGCTAGATTGTCATTATTATGCGTACATATTGACAATCATTTATATACACATCCATGTTTTAACAGATATAAAAGAGTTCAATTGTTACAATTAAATATCCATGTTTGTAAGCTAAATTGATTGATTCTGATATCGGCATTAGTTATTCTGGCATAAAACATAATATTTATTTATAATTTTCATTAAAAAGAGCTTTGTTCATAAATAATTTTAAACACATGTTTTTACAGGAACTTGAATAAATGAAAACTGAATATGAAAAATAATATAAAAAATCTTTAATTTTTTTTAAAAGGTTATAATTGTATCATATAATTTTATTTAATTGTGTTTTAAATGTAAATACTTTCTCTTTCTTTTTCTTTTATTATTTTCAATTCATTTGTCTGACTGATAACTTAAGTATGTATGTATTTTTTGTAATCTGTATAGTGTAGGTATACCTTATTTTTCTTACTGTTGTCATCGCTGAATAAAAATAAACCTACATACAGATTTGTTCCTTTTTTGCGTATAATTTTATGAAAGTAACAAATTAATTCCCAGAATAATATCCGAACATTAACAACTGAAAATTTCTATTTTTTTCTGCTTACATATCATGTAAAGAAATAATGAATCTTTTGAGCCTCTCGTCATTATTTTTTAGAGTAAATCCATTGTATGATTCTCATTTTAATTAATTCGTTGTCTCAAACGTAAACCATTTTTTTCCTCTTTTACTTACGAACAGAAATAGACTTATGAATATTTTATGTTTCACAGATTCAAAAATATATTCCTTATAGGTTTAATTGACCTTTGAAACTAATTGGGGCTTATTTAGATTTCAATATAGATTTGTAAAATTATAATATATACTTTCTTCTAAAAGGATTTCTTGTCAATTAATTATTTCTTGTGTTTTCAATTTTTTTTCGGTCTTTATGGAAATTCTGTGAAAAATTTAGAAATATTTTGCAGTTATTTAAAAAATAATATAATTATATTAAGCTATTTTACAATATATGGACTTTTGAACTCAAGCGGCAGAAAATGATCATATCTATATACATATACAGGGTGACTATTGAATTACTATCGATATTTGAGGACGTGATATTTGACGATCATATATGACAAAATAAAAATTAATATAACATAAATATTAATAAACTGCTAAGTAAAGTTAACAAAAGTTATGTAATTAATTACGCATCGTGTGAACACCCTACAGATTAGGTATACACACACACACATACACACGCGTGCGGCGGCGTGATGTTGTATCAGCACGCCGCCGTACGCGTCCACACTTGAAACACTTGGAACGTGTCCACACTGTATTTATTTATACGGAAATTTGGTAAAAAATTAAGTATATATTTTTTTTACATAATTCGAATGAGAATCATGTACCGAGTATTCTCCTTAAATATTGATAGTAATTCACCAGTCACCCTGTATATATATATCACAGTATGTAATTTGTAGATATAGAAATATATATACATATAATATGTGTTTACCAAGACGTTACCTTTGCACGTCTAATAAAAGTTTACGTATGATATAATTTTCTCATTAATGTTTTTATATATTTATTTAAAATCATAATTTTTTAAGGTTTATGTAGTATTGTACTATTAAATGAGAAGTATAATTAAGTAATTTTAATGAGGATAATCAAAATTACTAAGAGAAGCAGAGGGGCAATTCATAACAGTATCTACTCTTCTCCCTTTTTCACTACCCTCCATGAGACAAATCAAACCATTCTCGATGGTTTTATTGTAAAAATTTACTCAAAATAAATTTTATTTCCGCTCCTGATCCTAAACCAAGACACTCAGATGACGTTCTAGAATATGCAAATGAGTTTATAGTGAAGATTAAAAAAAGTTATTATAATTTAATTAATGGCATTTTATACATATTTAAAATTGAAGGAAAGTTGTTAATAAAAGTTATCTCTTTATTGAATTAATTAATACATTATATCTTTCAAAAGTGTGAAAGTTTATATTAAATGAAGTATTTTCTTAGTAAAACACTCGAAGGAATTTGTTCAGAAACGGTCATGATTAACAAACATATCGCCTTGATTTTTATTTAAGTTCATGACAAATAATAAAGGTAGCAATTATAATCTATTCTGATAAGGCGACTTAAATGGACATTGACGAAAACATTGATGAGTTCATGGTTTGCTATGTGATCAGCTGACAAAATTTACCCTTAGTTAAAACAACTTGAGCTAGACCAAAATCACAACGAACATCAGCGAAGTCACTGTTAGTTTAGGGAGGACCGTCCACGAAGTGGGTCACATATGTTTGATTAAAAACCTTAGACAAAATTTATGATCAAACAGCAGCAAAATAGTTTTTAAATTAAAACAGATTAAGGGTTGCAAACATTTGAATATCTCTATATAAAACTTGCGCTACGTCTGAAGTAAATTTTCGTGGGTGACCTTG